TGACAGTTTTGCTCTAAAGACTGCTGTCTATTTAAACACCTTTCCTGATTTACCCAAAATGTGTTGGATCAATTTTTCACCACGTTTGTGGCTTTGTGTGGTTGCTACATTTGCCAAGTCTTTCTTATACAACAGGCTTGTGATCCTGACGGGACTTCCCGGTTAAGTTATGAGACATTTTTAAATACGGGGGCATGTTTGATGATGATTTTACACATTTGAATTCAATGTGAAGAGCAAAATGAACGTGTCAATAAAAGCTGCTTTCTCTAGGAGGACTTTTTTGCATGCTTTGTGCCTCAATGCATGCTTTTCTTTAAGGATATGTCAGGATGGATATTTTATTAATCCCTTGTGGGTAATTGCATTACAACAGCAAATAAAATCACAGTCAGTCAGACAAAAACATCAAACAATGAATATCACAAACATTCAGGCATGGTGATAAAAAAGAATCCAAATCAAAACACACAAAAAAAACACCAACAACAACAAAAAACATTGAAATCCACAGAGAATGAAAAATCTAATGAATTCTCAATAAAATAGATAAATGTATACATATAAACTTTTAATATTGGCTGAAATATTTCAGATGTTCTACTTATTCATTAAATATTTAATAATAAGTAATATTCCAAAATAGGAATATTTACTTTAACCCTTATGTTGTGATGTTATGGGCCTGAGTGCCTTCAGTCATAAGTTTGAGATGAAGTAGCAAATAGTTATTTAATAGAAAATAAGAGTGAGATTGTTTTCTCTCCTGTCTCTACTGTTGTTATTGTGTGAAGGATCATAAAAAGAAAGAGAGACAGAGAGAGGGATATGAACCGAGAGAGAGAGACAGAGAGAGGGATATGAACCGAGAGAGAGAGACGGAGAGAGGGATATGAACCGAGAGAGAGAGATATGAAGAGAGACAGAGGCAGACAGTTATTTAGCAGTCCTTTGTCCTTGGGAGTGTAATGAATTGTAAAGTGAACAGGCTACAGGCCATAATGCTCTTTCAGTGCAGCTCCCACGCTCATCACTCCACCCAGAGACTGTCGATAACGTCCCAACACACCCCGCAAAACATACACGCACACACACATGCACACACAAACACACGCACGGGTGTGTGTGCATGCTAAATTTACACCACAGCAGTCTACACTCCATACTGTGAACTACACAGCTGCAAACATCTGTCACACATCACAATAAAGACCTAGCTGCTATTAAATCTGTTTTAATAAATGCACTCCTGAAAATTTCTAGAATTTTCTTTGAATATTTTTCCTGAAAATTCCCAATTTTTTTTTTCTTGTCATCTTCCTTTAAATTTTCTGACATTCCCCTTGGGATGTGTGGGGTGAGGATGAGTCTCTGAAAAAGGACATGACAACAAAAAATGCAACATTTGTTGTCCTCATCTTGAACATGAATCTAACATCTTTAACTCAGTCCAGTTACACATCATGATTCCACATTTGCTATGTTGGCATGTTTTTAATATCTGTCCTCTACTCTCGTGCTCTGTTAAATTTCTCAAATTCCTTACTGTCCCATCACCTCATCCTGAAAAAAAATTGTATATAGATAAAGCTAGGTTGAATTTTTTGGTCTGTTTGTGCCTCACACACCACTGGGCGCAGCCAGCAGGGGTGGGTGGGGTCAAGTGTCTAGCCCAATGATACTCTAGCATGTGGACAGCTCTGAGATCGAACCCCCCGACCTTCTGACTAAAAGACAACCGACCCCACCAACTGAACCGCAGCCATCCCCAAAGATACAGAGCTGTAAAAGTGATGGTATTTTCATCGTTTGAAGTACATCCCAGTAACCACTTGTTGACATGTTTGTCGATTGTTTTGGTACATGACACAATAGTTCAACAGTCCAGTAGTAATCAGCTACAAAGGGGGTATATTGCCCCCTACCATAGTGAAGTTGAACACCCTTTTCACCCTTTGGTCCACAAATCTATTCTTTCCTGGTGCTGGTTCGGTGCTGGTTAGCTGGGACAAGAACCAAAGTCCAATTAAATCATGTTAACAGTTCATGTTAATGTAATTTACCTTACAGAGTTCACCAGTTAAAGTCAAGGCTAGCTTGTGGTTGAATAGTTCCTGCCAAAAAAAACTCTAAAAACAAAGACAATTTGAGGAATCAATTGTTCAACTTTGGACTGTTTTTTCCAACACCCTGAGTGTCCCCTGTTTCTTGCAAGTGAAAATTAGCAGCCCTATCAATAGCACTGTTATTGTTAACCCCTAAATGGTTGACTTATCTAGCTCTACCAGTATGTTTACATACAGTTAAGGAAGCCACAATCAAAGCTAGATCTGGCAATTTAATTGATTGATCATTAAATGTGTTTCGAGTTGTTGCCTTTACTCTTCGGTCAGCTCAGTATCTGGTGAAATTTAGTATTGCATCTGATCATGCATCTTGCAGAAAGTTAGTACTTGTGTTTCTGATAACTCATAGGATGACATTTTTTCACAGCAGCCGCAAAAAAATGAAAGAAAAAACACAGTTTTAACAAAAACTGTAACCATCAGTATTTTAGGAGTTATTATAAAGAGCAGTCTGGACCTGTGATTCCTGGTCCTCAAGAGTTTCATGTGTTTTTATAGATCTTTGAACTGCATTGACGTGCGCTCATTCAAGATATTTTGGGCAATACTTCAAAGATTGTGCTCATTAGGTATTTTGTTGGAAAATTAAACCTCGAGACAAAAAACTTTGTTACATTGGAAGCTCTTAAAAGGAAAGCCAGGCACAGTTTTCTCAGTTTTCTCAGCTTCAGTAGTCTTCTATCTGGTGAGCGGTTCCTGTGGTTTAATCATGTGTTAATCATGTGTCATTTCCTGTCACCTTTCTTTATCTGAACAATCAGAGGCAGCAGGTGATGAGATGAGAGCTGAGATGAGATCAAATTTTAATGATCCCTGTGGGCAAATTGAGTTTTTGCAACTGAAGCAGCAGAGGAGACAAACCAGCATCCTCACAGAAGAAACCCTCTGATTAGATCACTTTCATTTATTCTACTTCAAACACAGGACGGTGAGTGGAAATAGCTGCAGATGAGAGGATACAACATGCTTTGCAACACCTGGCCATTTCAGTTTCAGTTTTATTCGCCTTTTATATCAGGTGTTTTTGTTCAGTCAAGGTGTGACTTCTACCACAAAAATTTGTTAGTGTTTTAGCACTCTTCTACCAACTCCAAATACATTACACAAGACATACTGATATTTCAGTGACTCGACAAACATTTCCTGAAACATAAAGAAACACCCCAAAAATCACACAAAATGAAAAATATTTTACAACATTCAAATCTATTGCATTGAAATGTAAATCAAACTATTAAAAAAATTGGTATTATAAAATATTTTTGAAACATTTTTATATTTGGTAAAAATATTTTGTATCAGAAGAAAAGCTTTTGTTATTTTTCTAAAATTTTGTCAAATAAATTTTTGTTCATTATTTATTTTTGTTCGTTTTGTGAAATGTTTTTGTTAAGTTTGTCTTAAGTTTTCTAAATCTATTAAAGACTGTATTCCACATAATATTTTAGAATTTTTAAAAATATTTTACAATTTAAATGAATAGTTTTGCATTTATTGAAATGTTGTATCTTGTTTATCCTGGCATATTTGTATCTGTTAAAAGATGTTTTTCATCATTTTCTGGAATATTTAAGGGGAAAAAATGTCCACTGTATGATATTTTTGTTGTTTTTTTAAATATTTCATGATTTTATGGAATATTTTTGTATTTTGTGAAAAGTTTACATGGTGCGTTAAGTATTTTTGTCATTAGTGAGATGTTTTTGGCATACATTAAATAGTTTGTTCCTTCAATGTTTTGTAGTTGACCTTCAGGGTCACCATACTTTGGCTGTTGCAACACTACAAAGACTTGAATCTTTGGCAATAAGTGCATTTTCCTTTGAATAAATAGCTATAACAGTGCATCTTAGAAGTTTTAAGAGTTATTTAAAAAAAAAAAAAAGTGTGGAGAAAAATTTGACTGGGAATTTGACAAAAAAACATGTTCCTTGGATGTCTGGCCAAATGTAAGGGAAATTGGGAATTCATAATTACTGTGCCATTTTAGAGCATTTTAATTGTGTGCACATCTTTTTACTTAATTTTAGTTATAAAAAAGCTCAACTTTTTTTTCCCTTTTTTAGCCTGATTGATTATCTTGACAAGAGAAAAAGACAGATGAAGACCACCATGTGCAAATTTAAGGAGAGTATTTTTACGTTTGTACTAAATAATAACGGTAATAATTTTACATTTTAAGACTGCATCTTTAATATAATTAAAATAATAAAGGGAGAATAGATAGAGTCAAATATGACAGAAGGAACCCACACTTTTATCCCTAAGATGATCTGTGTTGAAGCCTTAAATCGTCAAGATTTTGTAGGAATACTACACAATAATGATTTTTGGTTTGGCTTCCACCCACTGCAGTTTTTTTCCAACAGCGTATTCAACAAAATCGCCAATTGGTCAATTATCTCATGCACCACACCCTCTACATCCTATCACTCTCTCTGATTGGTCCTCTCCGCCCTGTCAGTCATACAGGAATGCCGCCTCCCCTCCTCCCCCCGCAGCAGGTTAGGTTGAGCGGTCTGCTAGGGGACCGTGGACAGCTCCCGTCTGAGGAGCAGAGTAACGCAGGAGGAGGAGAGGACTGGATATGGGGGAGCCACCGCACAGGCCCGCACGATCTAGATAAAAAAAAAAAAGGAAAAAAAAGAAAAACACTTTTTATGTGCTCACACCGGGAACAACACACAAAGAGCGCGAGCTGGGGAGGCCTCAGGGGGACGAGGAAACAACCGAGGAAGTGAAGGAGAAGAGGGGATACGGCTACTGACCCATCCCGGAGCATCAGGGGGGGAAGCGGCGAGAGAAAGGAGGAGAAGAAGGAGGACAGGAGGAGAGAGAATTCCGCTCGACCTGATGGACTGAGAGGACAGATGAATGAAGACTGCCTACACTAACGCCTATCGATGCCTGGCCAAGGACCTGGACGCTTACGCCATGAATACGGACATGACAATGGACGGCATTGGCAGCCTGCATGGCGGGGTGGCGGTGAGCTCCATGCCCCCTGATGCGGAGCTGATGAGCGGCCACAGCCCGCACCACGGCCGCGGGGGCTCCTCCGGGGGGCATGGGGCGGCAGCGGCAGCGGCGGCGGCGGCAGCGTCCACCCTGCGGATACATCAGGACCTGGCCGCCGCCGCCGCGTCCTCCCGCTCGGCAATGGTGACCGGCATGGCAACAATCCTGGACGGCAGCGGGGAGTACCGTCCGGAGCTGTCCCTGCCGCTGCACCACGCCATGAGCGTCCCCTGCGACACGTCCTCTCCCGGGATGGGGATGAGCGGCACATACACCACCTTAACCCCGCTGCAGCCGCTGCCCCCCATCTCCACCGTATCCGACAAGTTTCACCACCACCATCACCACCAGCGGCTCTCCGGAAACGTGAGCGGGAGCTTCACCCTGATGCGGGACGAGCGGGGGCTGCCGGGCATGAACAACCTCTACAGCCCCTACCACAAAGACCACATGTCCGGGATGGGTCAGAGTCTGTCCCCGGTGCTGGGGAACGGCCTGGGCTCCATACACAACACCCAGCAGGGTCTCCACAACTACGGCACCACGACGCACGGAGGCCACGACAAGATGCTGAACTTCGACGCGCACCACACCGCCTCCATGCTGGCCAGAGGGGACCACCACCAGCACCGAGGCCTCTCTGGCCCCACGGCCGGGATGATGCCGCACCTGAACGGGATGCACCACCCCGGGCATCCGGCCGTATCCTCGGCGGGCCACCATCCCCACTCCCACCCCCACCTACAGTCTCCGTCCCACGGGCCAGTGTTGGCTTCCACCCGGGAAAGACCGCCCTCCTCCTCCGGGACGCAGGGGGTGAACAGCTCGGGGCAGCTGGAGGAAATCAACACCAAAGAGGTAGCGCAGAGGATCACGGCGGAGCTGAAGAGGTACAGCATCCCCCAGGCCATCTTCGCCCAGAGGGTGCTGTGCCGCTCCCAGGGAACCCTTTCGGACCTCCTGAGGAACCCCAAACCTTGGAGTAAACTTAAGTCAGGCCGGGAGACCTTCAGGAGGATGTGGAAGTGGCTGCAGGAGCCCGAGTTTCAGAGGATGTCGGCCCTTAGACTGGCAGGTAAGAGCGCTGAAACAAACCGTGGTGCCGTGGAGCTCTTTTTATCTCTTCGGTCTCTGTGCGTAATCCTGAAATAACTCACATAATTTGGAAATTCCTAACCCTTTGCTGGCTTTGTTTTGGAGTTTCCTCTTGTCTGCACTCCGGTGGAGATGAATGAATTTTTTTCAGAACCACTGGTGTTATGATTACCATTATTGATCAATAACAAACAGGGATCGATACGAAATGACAAGGTCACGGGATTTCCCTCCAACAAACAGACCTCTCTGTCTGCTCTGCTGTAACCTACATTTTATTTTCCCATTTTTGCGCCTTCAGAAGATAGAAATACTGTTCATTTTAAAATGCTTTGAATAATAGTGCTGTCAGAAAGCTTCATTTTGAATTTGAAAATCATTTGAAATCGTTTTTGAAAAAAGGAAATTCAACACTTAAATGCAGGAAATAATTTATCAATTAGAAACACTTTAGTTTGTCTGTTTTAGATGAAATTAAAGCAGAGTTATGAAACGTTTCCTGCTTTTATTTGGTAGATTCCTCTCTCAGCTGCTGTGATTTGTTGTATTCTTGTATTCCTCTGGCAGAGGTGTGTGAAAGCAGACAGAGAGGGTCTGCAGAGGGGTTGTATTTCATGGTGAAGACCCTGAGGTGATCACACACACACACACTGTGACACACACACACATATAAAGGTCTGCAGCATCGGTGGGTCTGGTGCCCCCCCTAGTGAGGAAGCCGCTCTCTGTCCCCTCAGTCAGTCTCTATTGTCTGTAAGGGGGACCAGAGAGCAGCAGGGACCCGACCAGGTGGATGTCAGGATCAGGCTGAAAGTGTGGCATGTTGGTCTTTATTATAGCAGAGAGCTGAGTGCTGCTGTGGCAAGAGTGTAAAAGATCAGTCTCTTTTATATGACAGAGGGGCTTATTTTGGTCAGAAACTTTGGATTCTGCTGGTCTGATACTCGTGCATGTTTGAGTTTCATGTTACCTTTTGAACCACAAGATTGAAACATTTGCATGTGAGTTTCTGTAAGTGATCAGTGTACTGAAAATTAATTTGCATATTAAAATTTTAAGTCTTTTTTAAAATTTTAAAAGTCTAAAAATTAGATAGGATTATGGACAAAATAGCATAACAAGGTGCAAAGTTGTGTTTCTTCAATGCAAGTCATGAAAGAGTCTAATTCACTAAAAAACATCAGTTCAGTTTAGAAAAACTCACCTCTTTAGGTAGAGCTGTGTCCAGTGATAAGACTGTTTTTAGCTCATTTTAGAGTGGTTTATTTGTGCTGCATTCAGTGCCTTTTAATGGTTTGAATTACTGAAAAGAGAACATGAATTTAATTCAGTAAAACCAGTTTGGACCTGCATTCATTAGCTTTTTCAAGCAATTAACACAGAGTATAACTTGTACTGTCAAAAATAAAAATAATAATAAAAAAGGGAATGAAATTTGTCCATAAAATTAAACATCTAAAAATGATAATTATCCGCGAAAAAAAAAAAAGTATTCAGTTTTGTTGTTATATTTCTCAGTAGATTAACACAAACACCTAAATCATGAAATGGAGACAAACTCAATTGACTTTTTCAGCTACATGTTTTGTGCTTAATCTGTTTTAATTTATAATGCACTAATGCAACACACTGACTGGTGTTTATTGGTTGTAATCCTCGAATAGATTTCAACCTCTATAGATTAACACCATGAACCGCAACTTTGCTAATTTTAAACCTGAGTTAGTGTCCAGTTTTGAAAACCGTTTATATTATCTTTTATTTTCTTTGCTTCCACTACATTTATTCAAAAAATGACTCTTTCTGTTGTTGACATCTCCATATTTCACAAAAACTTTAATGTGCAAAATTTCTCAGTTTGGCCTGAAATTTTTGGAGGAAACTGTAAAATAAAATTGCAGATTTATGGAGACACAAACTCAACAAATCAAACCATTTTAAGGGCTATTTGCATTGATAACAGATTTGAGAATAGATGTACTGTTTCTGTTTGTCAAAAATATAATATAAATGACTGGACAGAAAGTATCCATCTGGAAAAGTATATAAGATTATATCTGAGGTAGCATTTAGACATGACTTGTGCAGTTGTCACTTTGACTGACTTAATAACTGTCATTTCATCAAAGAGTATCTGTAGTGGTTTGTAGTGACATTTCTGTCTCTGGAATTTAAAGTTTATTTTTTCTTTCCATGAAAAATAACAAAATCTGTTTGATTTGGAGTTTTCAGATTAATTGAAAGCTTAAATATCTTTAAAAAGTGAAAATCTTTAGTTTTGATTGGCTGGTGGCGGGAAAACTATCTTAACTAGTAATTTGTTTAAAAAGTGTTGATGGTTTTGATGCTGAAAAAGTGTCCTAATTTATGACACTTTTACACCCCTCTCACTGGACAGTGTTTTCCTGTTAATATAGGTGAATATATTCTGCTTCATTAAAACAGTTACTCTAAAACTTGTACTCTATATTCAGTTTCACAACATTTTTGTATTTCTATGATTTTTGTACTGTGTGATTTTATTTCTTTTTTTAGAATATTTTTAAACTGTAAATTCTGATCCAAACATCCCCCCAGAAAGAAGTCAATTCATGGTTTAGAAGAGATTTACTAAAAAATTATATTAAAAATGACAGAAAACTTTAAAGAGTATTAAATTCCCTACCTGATGAAAGGGATAATGCACTTGTATTTCAGAAATACTGAGTTAATCTGAAGGGGGAACATTTATCCAAAAATAAAAAGCAAAAGAAGTCAAGAAGAAATTTGTAAGAAATGTCAATTCTGTGTACAACAGAAGTAAACACAACACAAAGAAATAAAGAGTAGATGATAATGACAGCAATTGTAATTATTACATAGATTTTGCAGTGAGGTTGTATGTATAAGATAAACCAAATATTATTATTGAAAGTTGTAGAAATATGAATTTGTCCTTCTAAATATGAAAATGAGTCAGTATCATCTTGATGTTTATATTTTATGTTTTTATTTAAGTGATTACTGAAGCTGAATTAACTAGACTGAAAGAATCCCTCCACAATCATGGTAGGGTGTGTTTTTAAAATGATTATTACAGAGAAGAGCTATAATCGCAGTTACACTGTAACCCTATAATAATTTTAAAAATCATACAGTTAATGCCGTTACTGTGCAGGTGAAAAAAACAAACAAACATGGTAAGAGCTGAGAAACTGAAGAAAGAATAAGAACCATGAGGTAGGTTAGATCAGTCATTAAGGGATTTTTATGCAAAATATTAAATATTATATGTTTTGGTGCATTAAAGAGGCATTTCAGATTACTATTGTTTTACACTCACACACCTACTAACTCATGAGGTCATTTTACACAAAAAAAACAAAACATTTCTCCCCATAGAAATCAACTCTTATTTATCAGATTTATGTTCTGTTATATCCTCTGGTATCTATAATATATTTCCATTTTACTTTCAGAATGATAATGTGTTTTTTATTGGAGGTTTTCACAGATGGTGTCATATTTCATAGCCATGATTTCATCTGACTCATGAAGTTTCTGGCAGTGTTGACTCTAGTATGGCTGCAACAGATTGCAGTGTCTATTGGTAATATCTGTATTACATCCTTTGAAATTTAGTCCTCATGTTACTGTGTTTCAAACAAGAAAATCTGCATGTAGGTAGACAGTCTCAAATAGCCTGTGATGATACAACAGTCTTGCCTGCAGATCTTTCTCAGAGTCATTTTCTTGAGTGTAAATTCACACAGTGAACAAGCCTTAGGTACTTGCAGTTTCTTCAGACGCAAGTATTGCAGTGTCTGAGTATGGAAGGGTAATCATGCCAAAAATTAAGACTTTTTCACCATCTTACCTAGAGGAATGGACTGTTTTGTTCTTCAATATTTTGTAAGATGCAATACTTTAAAGCACCCTAAAATTAAAAGTTGACATGCTGCGTAAAAGAAGATCATTTAAAGCGATCAAGAGTTTTTTGTATCAAGTGTAGAAAAAGTTGTTTGGAAGTTTTTATTCTGTTATTATGACATTCATACATTTATATTCTCTGCACACACTGGCTTACATGACACCATGAATTCATACAGTCTGGGGTCAAAGTGTGTAACAAGTAAACATTATAGGACAAGAGAAGAAAATTAAACAAAGTACACACTGACACATGAAAATTCACAAATTAAAGAAGCTATCTTGTCTTCTTTTGCAGGTTTTTGAGACAGTATCAGCAGCATGAGCACATTAAATTATACAGCCCCCACATTATTTCAGGTTTGAGCAGTGCAAAGGAAAATAAAACTTGGTATCCACTTTATCCAAATCTCAAAGCGCACAAAGTCTGTTTGTTTTTAGGGAAATTGGCAGAGGGAGAAAATTGAAGTCTTGACTGTGTGACCAAAGATCTTTGGCTTTTAGATGAATGACATTTTACATAATGTTGGGTTGATATTTTATTTAAAAAAACATCCTCAGTTTGGACAGTTTGGACTGAACATTTTCTTTCAGTTTTTCTTGAAATATCAATATGAGGTTTTACGTATGGAATCAACGTTACAGAACAGATTATTCCTGTAAACAACAACAAATCTAGCTCCTCAAAAAACTAGCACAACTCCTTTGCCCATGGAGAGTTGTGTGTTTTACTCCACAGAAATACATAAAAGTATTCAAGTTTATACTGAGATAATTCATCAGTACCTAACCAAGTCCTTTAAAGCCCTTTCAGGTCAGATATTTCAACAGTCAGTTTGGTCGAGTAAGGGCCAGGAAACATAATCCAGATGCTAACTTCATTAGACATGAAAGTACATCTTACAGGGCTAACTAACTGGTAATGTTACTGCGAACTGAGTAGCTTCATGTACTCCTATTTTCTGAATAGTTTTTGAAACCAGTACTTAAACTTCAGTATTTTCTGTAAAAAGAATTATGATCGGCTACAGTTTATATGAACTTAATCGCCAAGCAGGAAACTACTCAAACCTATAAGATTTCCATTAACTGAATGACAGCCAGCTCATTAGATGATGTCAACATTACAAAAAACTCAACTCTCTCCTGAGTAGATTCCTCTCAATACTCAATGCATTTTCATGCAAGGTTCAAATATGCATCTTAAATCGAGATATTTCAAGCTATTAAGTTCTTATTTTTCTTATATCTGTCCTTTCCACACAGCTAACTATGGACAAGAGTATTTAGAGACCATCCACAAAGTAATACCAACAAATTATAATGCTGCTCATTGCAATGTGAGGGAAAAAAACAATTGAGAAGGAAACTGAACAAATTTTACGTGAAAATAAAACGCCCAAAACTGTATGTGCCTGACAAAACAATGATCCTAGACTGAGTGAATTTGTGCTGCTAAACTAAACAAGTCCAGACAGATCTAGTACTCAGTAAGACCATTTCACAAAACAAGAAAGACTGGAAAGCTAATCCCAGAGGGCCAGTTCTGATCGACACTAATCAAGTTTTAAACTGAAGCCCAAAGATGATGATCGCCATGTTGAAAATGCTGACTCAACGTAACTTTTGACTTATCTAGAAACATACAAGACATGGATTGTAGCCTGGGCTCTGATGGAGTTTCATTCAGCCTCAAAGGGACACTTAAGTTAGTGCAGGTCTTTGCACTGCCGTAGTCTTTTTTTTAATTTTGCATTTTATCACCCACAGTATCATTGGTGTATTTGGTTAAGCTCATAATAAATTGCATGAGCTTATATCTGCAGGATAGGCTTTTACTTTCTCACACGGCTCATTGTATTTTAAGCAAAGTTTGTAGGACACGGTGTGAGTAGAGCTTGTGGAAAACAAGATAAACGCTTACGCTGGTTTACTTCCTGTATTTAGACAGTAAGCTAGCTCAGGAGACAGGAGTTAACTTTCTGTCTTGTTTACTAAACATGAACCATGGTTAAAGAATCAGCTTGCTAGCATGCTAACAAAAAAGTGCAAAGAAGTTTTCTATTCATCTGCAAACTGAGTATTGTGGGTAATGGGAAACTATTTATGTGTAAAATTCCTTTTTTGTTTGCTTACAGTTACTTTCTTTTCTTTTCGTTTTTTATTTATTGATCTCCAAGCTTCGCTGTTCATTTCATCGCTCCCTCTCTTCTCCTCAGTGACTTTAAAATGTCTGTAGATACAAAGGGAGCTTCAATTTCTAGATCAACAACGCTGCTAGCAACCAATAGAGCTGAGGTCAAAGGTCATAGCTGCAACACTGAGACAATAGATGGAGCAAATATCCCCCTGACCCTGAGATGAGCCGAGAGAGGAGAGGAAGAAGCTGCATGCAGGGGGGGGTAGGGGGATGTAATGAAAGAGATGAGAGATAGGGTTGGATTTGGAGCTGCTGTTACATTACAGCTGCATTCATAGTTCTGAATGAATGATTCCCCTCCCTCTTTTTGATTCTGTTTTCAGTTTCAGTTGATTCTTCCTTTCTCATGAATACTCACTGAATACAAAAACACGTATGTTTTAAGTTTATCTGTAGAAACATGGTGGTGCAAGATAGCAGCCTAGAAGAGGGTCTGCTCTTGTGTAGATATAAAGAACTCAGGCCTTTGAATTGTATAAACCAATTGTTTGTTATGCTAAATCCTCCACACTGCATCTTCAAAAATGTCGGATCAGCTTTCATTAGAGTTCGAGGTTTTATTTTTTGAGCGTTGGGGGTAGATGATTTGCTCAGCCTTAAAGTGTTGTTTAGATTCTCTTTCACTCTGCTGGAAACTTCCTGCAGAGCTGAATATGACTGATATAAAGCAGTCAACAGAGAGCAGATATCCGGCTGTAAATGGGCTGAGTTTTGTGTTTTTGTGCCTCTGATTTAGAGTTCTTCTTTTTCTGCACTCCTCTTTGCTTTAACCCCACTGTTGGAAGTAAATCCATGGGTGCTCAGTCGCTTGCATCTGAGCTCTTGGGATTCAAGATTCAGGATTTTTGATACACGCCCATACAGACTCGCAGTGAAATAAAATGAAGATGCCCAACAGACACGTGAATATTCAAAGAGTGACAAAAAGAAATCATAATTAAAAACTTGTTAAAAAACAAAGGAGTGGTTAAGAATAGTGATGCCATCTTCATACAAATATTAACAAATTTGATGAATGAAAAATGAAGGGCTAACAAAATAAAACAAAAATACAAACAGGTTTAGATTACAGGTTTGCAGCTGTATGAGACAAAGACTGTACAGGACAAACTTCTGAATCATTGTAAAATGTGTCACTCCTCGAAAAGCTCACATGAAGCTTAGTTTTTAAGTTTTTCTCTGAGGGGTTTTGGCTTATTAAGAATTCTGAGATATGATAAATTTCAGAATAAAAGCATTATTACTTTAAATATTGGAAAAGAACTGTGAAAAAGAAAGATGTTGTGCCCTTCACGGCTCTACTTTTTTGTCTTTCTTATACCTTATGCAGATGACACCCTTACCTCTTTTACTCTGTGTTTGAGCAGTTAGTGAATTAAATGCAATTTGAAACTGACTCCCTTTGCATGCTGACCATTCATTTGAATTTGATAAACTGAGAGTTTTTGCATCTGTTACAGTACTAGCCAAGATAACATTTCAAAACTTAACCAAACCAGTATTTCTTACTTCTCTAAAATGCATCAGTAACTGCAGCTTGGTTTCAGCAGATGCCAGGTTTTGGCATCACATATTCAGCTTTTGCATACGGAAGTCGAAACACACTTCTTTTTGGTACTTAGCTGTCTCATTCTTTGTCTTCTTACTTCAACCATGTGGACATGGACAAAATGTTTTCTAGATTTTTAAACATTTTTTTTTTTGAGTGAGAAAAAAGGAAATAATGTGCACATTGAAAAGAAAAACACTATAACAGAAGCCAAGGTAATCTTTGACAATCTGAGGTCCTGTCTGGAGGCTTTTCTCTGTATTTCTCCCTCTACCTCGTTTTGACTCTGTTCCTTTCTCTCACCATATCTCTCCTCGCTGGACCTGCCTCTCCCACTCTCTCTCTCTCTCTCCCTCTCTTTTGGGGGGAGGTATTATGTGATCGTCCAGGGAATTGAACACAAGAGCCGAGGCAGCAGCGGCCCGATGAATTATTGATGGGAATCTCGGCGTGACCCACCTCGGTCTGCTCACTTCACTTCTTCTTCACCTCGCAGCCGGGTTAACCAGTCAAAATGGAGGGAGGGAGAGAGGGAGCGAGGTGGAGGGAGAGAGGTGGAGTCCATTGTTTGGTTGGAGGATGCTGCCTTGCCTTTGACTCCTTGTGAATTATGGATAAAAAGACTACAACGCCGAAATCACTGTACGGATAGATGAACAGAAAAACGGGGGAATTAAAAACTGAAGACCGCCTTAATTCAGCTAATCTTGTTTACGTGGCCCATCAAACAAACAACATGCTGCTTTTAGTGACTCTTTTCAATGACAATTAAAATCTCAATCTCAAATAGAGGCTCTCAATCAGAGACGTAATCTGATCATTTCAGTCAAGACCACAATTACTGAAACAATTCCTCCGTCTTTGTCTCATCTGCAACCTGCGATTTAAATGCCCCAGTTTTATTGTAAGTATATAATCAAACAAATCCAACCAGACAAACAGAAAATAAAACTAGCAACAGTCTTTTTAAAAAACATCCAAAGATACCCCTACAAAAATGTACAGCTCTTATAAGGAGGGAAGAAGAAGAAGCCAAGTTAATGGTACATACCTGTTTCATCACATTGTTGGTTTGCTTTTTTTGTGCCGTCAATGAGATGTGTCCATCTTTTGGACATTATCTGTATAAATAATTTGGATAAAAAAAAATTAAAAAAAGTGAAATACTTCCAAGCTCCTGTGAGAAAATTAGGATTTCTGTTGATTTTTGAAACAGTGTCTTATCTCTCAGTGACACCCAAATGAAGTCATTGGGATTATTAATTTTTCAGGCCTGGATTTGTAAGATTAAAAATAAAATCCTTGGATGAATGTTGGTTCGGAAAATAAAGTGAGTTCACTGAGTGGGAAAGTGATCACATTATCGTTGTTTAAGGATATGGTATCAACTCACAGGTCATGTTAATAACTGCCTGGGGATATCAAATGATCCAGTACTGTATGATACATTACATGATGGTATATTATGATGCTATGACACAGTATCAAACAGTACAAAACAATTCAATGCAATATGGTTTGTTATGATACAGCACAATTCCATACAATATGATAGGATACAGAAATCTCTTAGGAGACTTGTACTATTTTCAAATAAATCAGTATTTTGTCTCATCCCAATCCCGACTCTGCTAAAATATTTTGGTACACTGATTTCTTTTCCTCCTTCGTTTGCAAGCTTGTGACCCTTGTTGTCATTTTTAAAAGCTTTTTATTTGCCGTCAACAAAATAAAAACCTTCCTTCAGCATGAAAAGTGAATCAGACGAGGATTATGCTCTCTGGGCTGCTCAGATGATTGTCAGTGTGTTGAGGGAACACCGCTAACTGATGTTTTTTCATAGATTTTGGACAATAATGGAGCTTTATGGCCCAGAAAAATAACAGGCTTTACACAAACAGTTATTGTTAGTGAGATCAATTTAATCAATGGGTTTGTTTTGGTCTTGTCAGGTTTTTATCGACTAGGAGAATTATATATTCAATCAGCCAACATGCCCTGCAGTGTCTTCGATATAACAGAGCAGAATGAAACCACTTAGAGTCAAAGTGAGCTGAAAATCTGAATGACTGAACCTAAATATTTTCCATTTTACGCATCCTGCTGCAAGCAGACACAGTGCATTATTTATGAGCTGGACTCTGCTTTATGACACAGATTACCAGCAGTTACCCTGTGTGTGTGTCTGTGTGTCTGTCTGTGTGTGTGCGTGTGTTCGGTGTGTGTTTGTTCTCTTGGTTTCCGACTGTGGGAATATACTCTATTTTGTGTCAGTTTCCAGGGTTTCTTTTTCTGACTCTCTGCATATTCACAGGCTGTTATTGATCTGAATTAATGGATTTTAGGCTGCTGAGAGCAGACGTCTGATGTTTGTTTGTGTGTCAGCGTGAGAATATTTGATGGATCCGGGGATCTCTTTCCTGTCACGTTGACAGCAGTTCTGCAGACTGAAAACCGAGAGGTGACAAAGTCTGTTTCGTCTTTTACTGCTTCAGCTAAAAATGTGGGAAGTCCAGATGCCCTCATACAGAGTAGACAGTCTTTGGCAATGATCTTAAACATGTTTATATCACAGCTTGGCCGAGGGAGGCTGCATCCACGTGGATTTATGTAAACACAGGTCATTCGAAAAGGACAGAGATGGTAAAGTTAAGTGAGGCATCTGCTGCTACAATATAGTGACTTGTAGCCTCTAAAATAATCAATACTTGGCTGATGTTTTGGCAGATTTGTGCTCTTTTTTTTCTTTTCTGTCTATCGACTGTAATCATTCTTTTAATACATGTGAATAAACGGGCAAAGGCACGTAGCTGTTGAGAAAAAAGAAAGTACTGAGTTTATGATTGGGTTTAAGTGAGCTCAGTGAGTCTACCAGCTGTTTGAGGCTACACTAGACACTACAAATATCACACATCCATGAATAACTTTTGATTTTATTGGATTATATGTGAAAACATCAACATCATGGTGTAAATTTGTAAGAAGTAAACTTATGGTTTAAAGCCCAGTCCTCAAAAATAAAAATGCTGATTGGCTCAAACCCTGAAAACAGGTAGTTTGAAAGCAACAGAAAGATCAGAAAATCAGGAAATCTAATCTTTGTTTTCAACCTCCTATCTGTAGTCTGTGTTACTGAATGCTTTAGGGAAAACTTTGACCCTGAAATTCAGGATTGAATCAAACCCTGAAGCAAAACAGGGATTACAAAGTCAGGTAATCTAATCCTTGTTTCTGATCTCAAACCTTAAATTTGTGTTTCTCAAAACTTCTAAGACAACCTCAATCCTTAAAATCAGGATTGTCCTGATCCCAGCAGAGGGCTGGATTTAGGTTTAGGTTAATATTTTACAAAATTTTAGAAAGCTTTTAAATCTGTATAACACAACAACATTAAAACCACGATATTCATACTAGAGACATTTTTTATTGTGTTGCTTTTATGCTTCAGTGACCGAAACAAAGTTAATTAATTAAAGTAATTAAAGTGTGTAGAAATGAACATGTCACGCAACATCTAGCAGTCAGATTCTACACTGACACGCCTCCTTGCTCATCCCTCCCCCTGCTAAGAAGCTCCTGTGATACATGATCAGTACTATCATCCGTATGTTAGTTTTTTTTCCATCTTTTCTTTTACTCCTCTTCTTTTCCTGACTGCTGCTTTTCTCTTTGATACTCCCTAAATACAAAAATATGTTTGGCCTCTACAAGTTTGTCCATTGTGTGCTACCGTAGAAACATGGCAATACACAATGACAGCCTCCATGAACAGGGACTGACACCAAAAACAAATACGTTGTTCTCAGCTAACAAAAACCACAAGGATTTTAGACTCAGGTGATCATACACTAATGTGGACATTCTCACGCTTATATTATTTCAACCATGAATCCTCTGCTAAAATTTACTTACTGCACCTTGAACTGTCAGGATCTTTCAGTTTGGGTCGATTATAGTGAGGTAAAGTATTCAGTAGTCCTAGTTAGGGCTCTGTAGTCCAGATTTGTTTCTTGATGATAATGATTTTAATGACTTAAAAATGAAATAACTGAAACAAAACAAAGGAAAAAATGTCTTTTCCCAGATTTGAATTATTCTTTTGGTTTGAAGCTAATGCATAAAAAAGGGCTTGTTTCAACAGCAGCATGTAAAATTAATCATTGTGTAGCTTTCCCATCGCCTTTGCTTTCTACTGGACTTGTATTTCCTGGCGCGAGACCTCATCTATGGTTACCAGCTGTGAATATAAAGGCCCACTTACATCTGTCATTGTACCTGAATAATGTTTGCAGATCATTTCTGCCTCCGACTGCATCATGCTTCTCGAGCAGAGCAGAGCACCAGATTCTTTATCCAAACAGCCCGCCGTGTTTGGACTCTGCAACCTTCACTGTAGCCCCCAATAAGAAAATCAGAGGAATAGTGTAGTGATTTTTTGTTAAGACTGTCTACACTAATTATGGGACCCTGCTGTTGCTGGAGCGGTAGAAGTGTTTGCCGGGGCACACTGAGCCGCTCGGGTTCAGAGGAGAAAATGGTCCTGTCGCCGCTTTATTACAGCGGTCAAATCAAAGGTGACACCTGAACTGTGAGCTCATCGAGACGGAGAGCGGCGAGAATACACACCGACGCGATCATTCAGAGCTGCACAACATCGCACAATCAAAGGAGCATATCTGATTTTTTAATAGAATTCAACAAATGTAAAATGAAATCTGTGCATTAGAGGTAATACCTCTCCACAGGACTATTATTATGAGCCTGCGTTTCTCAGATTACAGACTCCATCAGTCCTGTTGTTTAGAGGCCTTCCCCTCCTCCAAGAGAATAAACATGCCAGAAGTGATTTCTCTCCATCACTCTGTCTCCTCCCAACAATGAATTCTCTTAATGCTAAAGCCGTTTGTTGTCTGATGTAAAGACTTGCAGCGATAGGATATGAGAGGCCTGAGACGACATGATAACTGATGTGTTTCTGCTTTCTTAGATTAAATCTATCAAACTGTTATTTATTTCTTAGTGAGCGCCCTCGTAGATGAGGAAATGTAAATGAGGTCTGTTGAGAAAATCACAGCTGGTGATTTTATTAAAGATCCTGTGACTAAAGCGATCCACAGCGATCACTGTGAGCAGCAGTTTGTGCAGATACAACACAAGTGCCAAAGCTGACCACATTCATCCTTCCTGCTTTCAGCCCAAAGCATCCTTTGCTTTTTGAGAAAGATTATAATGTTGTAATTCTTAATGTGCATTTAAAACAAAAGGCAGAACAGTGTTTAGTTGTGGTGCTACACGTTTGGGGGGTGTGGTCGCCTTTGGAAGCCTGAGGTGATGTTTGACTCCTCTCATCAATTGGATGAATCATAAAAAAGGACAGATAGATAGATAGATAGATAGATAGATGTACTTTATTAATCCCGAAGGAAATTCAAGAGTGGTCAACTGCTCACAAGAATCAGTCACACACACATATGATATGATAAAAACAGATTATGAATAAATATCTAAAAATAAATAAAGAAATAAAGAAAAACTAATGGCAGGAGGGAGAACCAACTTGGGGACAAAGGCAGGGACAGGTAAAACAACACACCACAACAGAAACAGCGACAATGAGGACAGAAGTGTTCCAGCACTTCTGCCTTTGAGATATTCCCCCCACACCCGCTTGACTCCAGCTACTCCTACTCCTCCTCCCGTCTCTTCCTCCCGCTCCGGGAGTTGTGCAGCCTGATGGCGCGGGGGACAAACGACTTTGTGTGTCTTGTTGTTGAGGAGTTCAGTGATCGCACCACTGTAGCTGACTATATCCAGGGATATTGAGATCACGATAGTTAAAAGCGATTATCCACGATTAGACATCTGTGCCACACACATTTACACAATTCAAAACCTCTTTAAAGCTTAAAAACTCTTCATTTCTTGAAAAACAAAAATATATATTTTAGCTAAGTGGTTTAGCCGATGTTTTTTGGTCGGATGATGGATGATATAATATCATATGCACTGCTACTGAGAGGGACCAGTCATCACTTTTTCACTTTATAACCTTTGGCTTAATTTTGGGGATCATAATTACTAAATTTAATAACAGATTTCACTTGTAGTAAAGTATTTTATGTAACACCCTTTGTAACTAGAGATGCACCGATTTTTTCCCGATCCAATCCGATACCGATAACTGGGCTATCGGCCGATATCCCAGTCCAATACCAATCCAACACTACTGTTGAACGAATGAACTGTATACCTTGCCTTGTGAGTAAAGGTATCAGGCTTGACATTAGCCTTGTTAAAAAAAAGGTATCAAATTAACAAAGATATACATTTACTTAATAGTATTTATTAACAGACAACAAATTGCACATTAGCACACAGCAAAAAGAAGTAAGACTTCCATGTATTAAAAGAAAAATTAATAAAAAAGAAAAAAAGACTGGATCAGAACGCTGGATCGGCATCATTCATCAGATAATTCGATCCAGTTAATTTTTCAATATCAAAGCCGATATCCAATCCAAATATCGGATTAGTGCATCCCTATTTGTAACATCTAGATTCGGGCTTGTATTTTTGAAGTCGTGCTCATTCTGTCCCTTCGCTTTTTAGACACACACACAGATACAAACACCTGCCTCCTCCTGCTCTCCTCTCTCCATCTCTGGCTTCCTGATAGTTTGTAAGGCTGCTGTAACACAACATGTTGTAGTAACAGCAGTCCTGGTGCTCCCTAACTGTGTTTCTCTTGAGCCGGGCTGCTTATGATGAAGCTCTTCTTGTAACATACTTTTCTCCAGTTGGCAAAAGCAGCTCTCCAGCATCCATTCATGTTGAACTCAAGGACTTGAATCTCTTGTTGGATTTAACAGGGATATCCAGCCATGACTGTTGCCCTACTCTGAGTGACTAGGACGATGTTTCCTCACCTGTTAACTGCTTTAGACAGCACTCGCTTTAGCTGTTGACAAAGTTCCCATTATTCAGCTTTACTCTTTGTTATAATACCTGCATCTGAATTAAAAAAAATATTTTTCAGCATCATAAAAAAATTGTTTTCTGCATTAAAAAAGCTTGAATGGTATTTGGTGTGAGGCTGGCACAACAGTCAGGAAATCTCCACTGCGGTTGTTAAATGTTCAAACTTTTTTAAGGTCTTAAAAGTGAGAAATTCGCCCCCAAATTTCTGCAGCTGGTCCACTTGAAACTTTTGGGTTTGGTGGTCTGCCTTCTGAAAAAAAATGACGGGCTTTTTCAAGGAAAATTGAAAGTAGACACACCTGATCAGTTATAACTGCATATAGACTTGGATATTAAAAAAAATACACCTGTTTCTTTGATTTACAATCCCTGACAGAAAGCATAATTCTATTAACCAGATTACGTTTGTAGGTGATGTATGTCAAAGGGGCTTATTTTGTACACGACACAGTGTGTTCAGATTTGTTCAGTGATACAGGTTATATTTGCTCTCCATGTTAAAGTCTGCTGTTTAATCAATATTTGAGACTCGTAGTAATTCAGGTGAGAGCGGGGCGAGAACAGAGGTGGACTGACAGTCTGGATTTAAGAAGAAAAGCTGATGATTTGTTTACAATAAGTCTCTAACATCACACAGTGTTAATTCATTGATGTTTATATGAAGCAGATAGAGCACCTTTAAATAGACTGAGCCAGCTGAGCGCTCATCTCCAAATCCTATTAATTCTTCTCTGTCACTGCTGGTTAGTTTCTCTTTTTTATGTCTTCTTTCTTTTGAATTCTCTCTCTTCCTCTATCTCCTCTCTCTTGTTTCCTACCTCTCTGTGTCCCTCCCTCCCTCGGGTTCATTAGTATTGGTGTCACAGCACGGCTGAAATAACTCTGTCCTGAGGCGTAATGAACGGCGACAGGCGGGACGAACCTGTCAGGCAGCGAGCAGGGTTTATGGTCAAAGACAAAGAGTTAAAAAAACAGGTGAAAACGAAGGAGGTCTGGTTTGACCTTGTGTCTGAGCAACATCCTCTAAAACAAACAAGGGAATACATTTTATTTCCACCGTCACAATCAGGATTATTATCACTCTGACTGTTATAAATATTAGGATAAATAAAAAACAACAATGTATAAAAAAACACTTTAAATAACACTTTAAAAATCCAAATATGATTAAAAACATTGAAGGTTTTTTTTTAATTTTTCTGTTTTATTTTTGTTTTTAATAGTATCCCATTAAAACATATAGTTTTATTACCAAAGGAGTTATTTTTAATGGAAAATATCAACTAAAAGATGTTAAATGTAACATTGAAGTATTAAAATAAAATAACCAAGACAGTGGATTAGACTTGCGATCAAATTAAATTTTAAGTATACTTATTTGTACAAGTCCATCTTGCGTTTTAATGTCTTCACAGTAGCCCAGAAAGGACAAACAAGTAACACACATATTTTCATATTTAGTGTATGGCACAAAATACACACCTTTGTAGGCTCTCTTATGTCGTATTTTCTTTTTTGCGTTATACTGACAGTCCTTCAACAAAAACCTTTGACTTCTTCTGTAGCATTCTTTTTTAGTTGAATGCAGGATAAGGTTTAAAATGCAAAGACAGAAAGCGTACACCCTCATACACCCTGGTGGACATCACAAATTGAAAGTCTATAATTTGGAGAAAGAAGATCAAACTCTTTGATTGCATGTTTAGAATAAATCAATAAATCAATTCTTGCACCAAAGATTTACATGATGTCCACTCCAATTGATACATCTGTAACTTTCTCAAAGTTAATGCCAATTATTTTTATTATGTTAAACTATAATACGAAAGAATATTGCTTTTTAATTCATAATTTGCACATGAAAATCTTAAAATGATTCCACAGCTTCAGAAACAGTGGACCAAACCTCATACACATTTTTACAAGGTCTTCGAAATGTCTGTCCGCTGGTTGAACTGGTAGCTGTGTATGTAAATGTTGTGTATCTATCGCTAATCAATACTGTGATGGTCACACACACCCACACACACAAAGAGGGAAGTCGACACACGCTCTGTTTGTTGTCCTTCCCGCTGCTGTCTCTGCTTACGTTGTTGTTGTTTTCTCTCTCTCTGTCTGACAGTCTCTGTGTGTTTGTCTCAAAGGTGTGTGTGTGTTTAAGTGTGTGTTTGTGCGCGTGTGTGTGTGTTTGTAAGTGTGAAGCAGCAGTTTTGGGCTCGGCCGTGCGTGCGGATGGATGATGTGGATCAATGGCTGTAATCCCGAGCAGATTAAAAGAGCATTAATACTGGCAACGATAACGTAAACGGTGTGGACCCAGATCTCCATTGATCTGCAGGAACCTGATCCAGACCAGTTCCTGGAAGAGATGGGGGGATGGAGGGGAAGGGAGGGGGAAGTGTAGACAGAAAGAGAGAGGGGAGAGAGAGGACATTATCCAACAGAGAGAAACAAGCTGTGTCTGAACAGCTCATGGAGATAATAATGTGAACATAATCACTCCAAGAATCAATTTTCAATGCAAATGAATGGCTGAGTAATGAAAAGGTATCTGTTTGGTCTTTAAGGGATATGAACTCCTCCGATACATTCACAATACAGTACATACAGCATCTTTAACACTGGAGTCTGTGAAAGGGATTGCCTCCCTCCATTTTTGATAGGGTCATTTAATCTGTCTTGATGATAAATGTTGCCCATTAAAGTAATAAACTCCTCAGAGCCTGCTGAGAAAAACTGAGCTGCACATTAACACATGGAGAATTCCTACAAATACCATGATGCATTGCACGTCAGTCTTCCTCTGGTTCCTTACAGCAGCTGCGTACACTGACCTGGAGATAAGACTCTTTGCAAAAACACTTATGTACATTTTGGGATTCTGTTTGCTTTTTGTGAAGTGCTTTTGTTGCTAATTTGCAAAAGCTGGATGATGTATAGTGAATGGGTTGTAATGCAACAGGTGAACATGGCTCTGACATAAAGCCAGCAACTGAAATATCTACAAAACTGAGAAAACCTAAAGTTACGCCAGGGCCTTGTATGATGGAGTATAAGAACCATATTTAAGAACCTTTTTTATTTTAATTTTTATTTTTATCAAACCGTATGTGAGATATGATATGATATTTACTATATATAGAGAGATATTATATCATATTATGAGAATAATTTCCAGTTAGAGGTAACTGAGTTTATTATCATGGGGATAATGAACTCCACATTGCACAGTGGAATGTGAAAATAAGCCATTACTCACAGATCCTGTGTGTTTTACACAGAATTTTGCTAGTTTTATGTTGTTTACACCGAATCTAGTAGTTTCGTTTAAGGTGTAATTTCAGGTGTAATTGACCACAGTACTACAGACAGGGGAAACAGTCTGTATTTAATTTCCTCTGTCACAGCAAACTTAATTCTTAAAATGATTCATGATCTTGCCACCTGTCATGAAACACCTAACTGCGTTTACTCCTTGCTTCTCTACTAGTGTGATTCAAAGTATCTAGATGTTGCCAGATGATGTTTCTGTGTTTCTGACTGTTTATCTTTTTGCTTTTTGGATCAAAACCATCACCTACCTCTCAGTTTTAGGAGGTTTCACTCACTTTTTCTTTTGTTATGCTGTAGATATGTTGTCCTATTTATACAGATGTGTGGTTCATATTAAAGTATTTTTTATCTTGTTTTTTGTTGTTGAACTTTTTAGCTCGTGTTGGAGGACTTTGAGTTTCAAGAGCCACTGTACTTAGACGTTTTACAGGCTGTGATGATGTGTTCATCTGCTTCTCTGAACCCTTGTGACCCGAAAGTCCCACCTGAAAATTGTCTGTCCTTTTCCCCGTAAGCATGACAGTTTCTTTACTCACCTGCACAGTTTGTATTCTTGGGCTGACCTTTTGTCTTATCACTGGTACTGTATGTGCTGATTAAACCCAAAGCAAACAGAAAGCTCAGTTTGAGGGTCAAATGTTGGTATTTTCCCTGCTGCAGATTTGCTGCTAAAAGCATTAAAAGCGGACAGCTTGATGAGAATGAGACAGACGGATTTGAAGGGATCCTCTTCGATTTGATTGTGCCACATAACAGGATCAATCAAGCTGAATCTGTCTGTAATTGGGTTATGTTTCATATTGGATGGATGGGATCCAATTGTAGATTTAATGGCCTCTAAAGTAGGCAGGTTTAGCAGAACAAAGGAGGCAGACGCATTTCAGGGAAAAATCAAAGACAGGAGACACAAATTAACCAGAAATGTGCCAGAAAAATGGGCAAACTGAAAAGATCAGCCGGAAGATGTTTATGATTCAAATTTTTGAAAAGTCCAAATTCTGTTCGATTAATTGAAGTGAATGAAGCCTGTCTTCTGTCTATCTTGTCAGTCGTCTATCTCTGAGCTGCTTTTCATCTTTCGCAACAGGAAATCTGATCAACTGGTATCGCTTGCCGCTGATCGTTCAGAGACAAACACGGCGGTGAGCGGTTTGCCAGGATGTCCGTTTATAGCTGCCCAACCTCCTTTTGATCAATCACAGATTACAATACAATCTATTGATCAGGGAATATTATCTGCCCGGCTGTGTTTGCTCTCCGCTGGAGCTGTGAGACTGAGCGGCTTCAGGCTGCCAAAAAAACAAAGCTGATAAGAGAAGGTACTGAGAGGCTGGTTAACTCATCATCTATTAGTCCATCGGTGTGTGTCTGTCTGTGTGTTTGAGTGGGATTTCTACACAAAGCATCTCTCTGACGTAACCTTAATGTCAACATTCAGTAGGTCAAAGGTCAGTAAATGTTTTCCCTGAACATTTTCTGCTTTAGCTACAAACCTTTGCTTCTGACTTCAAACTTCATTTACTTTTTTTTAACGCATTTTATTCTTTTATTTTTTAAGAAAAAGGAAAATTCTGCTTCTCTCTATGAAAGGAAACTGAAACTTCAAAGTTTAAGTCAGTCACAACAGAACATAATTTTAATATTCATACAAATTACTATCTTTTTGTTAACAAATGAGCCTTTTGTATTTACTGAAATAGCAGGTCTGCTTCCACACGGATGGCTTATTTTCCACCGTCATGTTTCTACGGTAGCCCAGAATGGCCAAGCCAAAAATATACAAGTTTTTGTATTTAATGAGTATCTATGGAAAATGCACCGTGCACAGCATCATTTGTAAGAATTAGTATTGATAGATATTGACAATGAAAACTTAAAATGATGGGTCGTACTGTGATGCACCACAGAAGCTTTTTGTTATTGGAGGTAACTGTTGTTGTATTCACAGGAGAGGTGAGCAAGGGAGCATTTCAGTCTAGAATCTCTACACACCGCTGAATACTCCCATTTCTGCATGCTGTGTCTTTAGTTGATGGAAGTACAAACAGGCTTGTGTTGTTGCTGCCAGTGTAGTTATTATTAACAAATTTTATCTCATTAGTTTTAATATCATAATGATTTATTTTCTTCAGTTTTATTGAAACAAAGCATTTCTTCTTCAAAGTCAGCTATCTTTCGTACCTCTTTCTAAACAATATAATTTCATGGGACTTTCTGAATAGACCTCTTGATAAATATATTTTATTGTATTCCTGTTTAAGAGGTTTCAGCATCAGTCTGGTAAAACTGCAAAAAAGTCTGTATCGGTATTGTATTAAAGCTACAGTGAGGAACTCTTGGTTTGTGTCTATTTCAGCGCCCCCCTGTGGGCATTGCTGGCTCTGCTGATGTTGTCCTCCACATGGAGTGACAACAGTGATTTTCTTATATTACCACAACAAAGAGTTTGTAATTAAAGTTTGTGTATTGATCACTTACATAGATGTGCCTGCCAAATACAGTTCAGTCTTTGTAGAAAATGTTATTCTGTCTAAATCTGTCGTTAAGAAACATCCACATGTATTCAAGCTCAAATAACGACTGGTGTAAGTATGGTTTTTGTTTTTCTTTAGTATTTCAATATAAAAGTGTAGAAAAAAAAAATCCCAGACAGACAAATAAAGGGTAAATACCGAAGAAAGGACACATAGGGAGAGGTGGATGACACAAACTCCTCAGAGGCCATTTCCCCATCAGCTCCATGACATCACTGGGCCAACCCAGGCTGTGATTGGTCAGCCGTTTTCTCCTGGTAAACAAGTGGCGATACATTACAGCGTGTGCATGAGTGTGTGTGTAAAAGAGAGACAGAGAGAGAGGGAGAGAGAGAGAGGGACCTTTGTCCGGTGATGTCACCGCTGACCGTGTGGATGTACAGATTATTCACTGATAAACCATCCCTCTCTTCAGACACACACACACACACACACACACACACACACACACACACACACACACACACACACACACACACACATTGATTCAGCGGTTACACACTCTTCTCTCTCCTTCTCTGTTTCTGAGTGCAGATAGTCATGGAAAGATTTCAGCATTTATTTAATCTGACATAAATAGCAGGATAAACACAAATATCCTACAGAGCCATTTATTCAATTCAATAAAGACAGCTAGTTTTTGAACAATATTATGGAATAATTTTATCTACAGGCTACCTTCTCATTCATTAAACATCCTAAGGATAAACTAGAACCAGTTACATGTATTTAATTTGTCTTTCAGTACTTACCTTTAAAGTCTACTATCAATACGTGGAAACAGAAGTGAACACCCCCATGTAAGGAGTGTTTTTTTATAGAGACAGACCAAGAGCATGGTTGGGCTGATTAATCAGGCTAATTTTTGGTATCTTGAAAGAATCAGCATTGGCAATTTTTTCTGCTCAAACAGGCAATCAGAAATATTAACCGGATAAGATCTGCAGACACTGCAGGCAGCTCCTACAGTGTGGTTGCCATTGAGGAATGTTTATGTCCTCTAAAAAACTGTGCATTTACATGTTCAAAAAAGTCCTTTCATTGCTTTAGTCCCGCTGAAGCTGGACTTTTAAGAATCACGTCAACACTCCAGAACCTCGATAATGCCAATGGGAATAGATTTCCTCTGTCATGTATACTCTTTGATCACATTTAAAACTGACCTTTGCGTCATGCGCATACTCCGGTGTGCGTACTTCCACATTTGGTTGATTGTTTCGATAGGTAATAGTTCAACCAGGAGACAACCCAATAGTATCAAGCTGAAATGAGGTATGTTGCACCCACACAGTTTTAGTCTATTCTTTTCGTGCTGATTCTGAGTGTTCGTTTTTCACACAGCTTTAGTTTAATAAGTTACTCAATACTATAAAAATGATGTGCAACACTGTGATTGACAGCTCTGTTAACAAGCAACAGCGAGACACAAATATACCAGATTGACCACCTCTGAAGGCTCTACAAACACCAATAGCGCAACATGTCAGAGTACTCAGAGAAGAGGGTTTTGGCTTCACTTTTGAATTACAGGAGGTGTTGGAGGCAAGTTGTTCATCTTTATCTGCGACCAATTATCCAGAGGAGAGAAAGACTGACTGGGAGGAACCAAAATACTCAGCATGAAAATAAACATGAGTGCTTTTGTATCACTCAGCTGATGAATTGTTAAAGGAGACATACTCTCACAGATTCATTCATGCTCTCAGATGAGTTGTGTTTGAGCAGAGAGCAGAGACAGAGGGAGACTTCAGTCTGTTCTTCCATTTCCGGTTATCATCACAAAACAGATGGAGGGAAGCATCATAGTGCATTAAGCATGGACACACACACACACATGCACAGACACACACAAAATTGCTGTATAGTGCTGACTCCTACAGTGGCACGTTCATCTCTCTCTGTGTGAATTTGTTGCTAAGAAACACTGCATTAGCTGTGTCTGCCGTGCTCAGTGTGTTTGTTTTTACACAAATTTCCCTCAGAGTTGATTTCTCATACTTAGTTGTAGCCTTTTTGTTCACATGTGATGGTAAAGTTGCTTTTTATGACTCATTGGCCTTGTTTTTTCATGATCATATGGCCTGTATAAGTTTGTGAGGGACAATAGCACCGTAAACAAGTAAAGCTAGGAATTATCAATGAAACACACTTCATCGTCGGCATATAAGGATCTCCAAACATGGTACAAAGTAGAATCTTTGACCCAAAGCTTAAAAGCTAAACTTCAAATATATTCATTCAGATGAACTTATGGTTATTTTTTGAAGATAGAGTTCAAAGAAGGCTCATGCTCTTGTAGCTAGAATGAGTTATTGGGCTTGAACTCCATCTTAATGGTCCTGCATCAAAATGGTCTACCTGTTGGTTGGCTCTTTGAGTTTTGCTGTTGACCACTTGTTTTTTCCCCAATTTTTTCTGAATGCACATCATGAACAAGATACTGGGCACAATGATAGCTCCTGTAAAGTCAAATGAAAATGGTTTGTCCTGCATAATTGTCCAATGAAGTTTAATTGAAGGTATATTGGCAGGTAAACAACTTGCTGGTTTTGTATTGTTCATTTACTTCCTATGGCCCAAGCCTGGACTTTTGTCATTTCGTCATGACCCATCTGTTAACTTCTGTTGGCACACCAGAGAGCTAGATTTTAAGGACTTGACAGAGTCCCAGTAAAGACTTCCTTTCCTGTGCATTGTCATTATTTTTTGGGAGATGGCTAAGGATTAGATTGTTAGCTGCACATGTCTACAGATATCTGTTTATAGTGATGGAATCAGGCTTGGTTGTCATAAGATGACCACCAGTTGGATTCTGTATTTCACTCTGTACGAAGATAACAAGTCATTCAAAAAACTGATTCATTGTAATAGCTGGAGTTTTAATTTACCTGTAAACATGTTAGTCCAACTAAAATCATTCTGAGTTGAACTTCTTATGGTTGAACAGATGGGGATTGTTTTTCTCCGTCATGTATACTCTTCTTTCTGACTGAAACTGTCCTCAGCATTCTGTGCATGCTCAACAGTTTACATGCCAGGCTTTGGCTCGCAATTTCGAGGGTGTAAATGGGTTGGTATGAAGCTGGGTAGTAAAGAAAACCTTGACAGATAAAGAAAGAATGTAAAAAAAGTGTTTTGATTGTTTGATGTACACCCAGCGAGCCACTTGCTAATGCATTTTGTCGATTGTTATGGTTCTTAAAGGGATAGTCCGGCGTAAAATTAATTTAGGGTCAAACACACCGTAACACCGAGTTAGACTCCCCCTCAAGAGTTGAATGTTGCCGACCGCTTGCTTCTCTAGTTCTACCAACTTTAGTAACAACAGCACGATAGCAATACACAGCGGATAATAGCCACAGATAATGTTCAGAACAGCACCTAACTTCATCAACAGTACATATAGAGTCCTAGCCACCAAACATCTTTTTAACTTTGCCTAATTTCTTTAGCAAAGAGACCAAACACAACTCGCCTACTCTCTTCCAGCAGCCGCTTGTTTGTAGTGAGACATCAGGCCAGTCCATTATGGACTGCTGCGGGGTGACGCAGCTCAAGGAAGAACATTTATGATCATTACTTTATCATTTCCTTGAAGTAATAATCTTCTTCTGCCTTAGCGTCTCGGTCTGATCGCATTTCCATGAAGAAATGATCATATCCCTTTAACAGGTCAACTGGGAGATGACCCAGTAATAAGCTGAAATGGGGAATGTCGTCACCTGTTGTATCAGAGTCAGACTTACTTCTGTCAATTGATCGTTTCTTGCTCGATGCTCATAAACAGGGACTAGAACAGTAGTCCAGTTAAAATCACCAAACCAGCTTAACCGTGCGTGTAAACAGACTGAGATGAATTTCATGAGAAAGACTTCTCAAAGATAACATCTGCTACACTTGGTCAAGTTTCCCGCCACTTTTGGTTCTCCTTAAAGTAGTTAGAGCTGTAATAATGTAGTTTAAACCTTGAGTTATTTTTTTCATGAACCTTTGCAGAGAAGATTGGACCTACTGACCAGCACTCCATACAGTGAATCACATCACTGCTCTTGAATAAGTTGTCTGCAGCAGTGGACTCAATACTCACTTACAGTTTAAAGCCTGTAGCAGTATTAAGAGACGGCTGTGATGGCTGTGTTGTCTATTTTGGTGGGAAAAGTCACCTCTGACATCACGTTGACATCACACACATTAAGATTGTCCCAGCTTATTTATGATTCAATCAAATCATGTCTCAGTCCTGCCGGCCCATGACGGAGTGTCGAAGCCTCCAAACGTGGCGCCACACACAAGCAGTGAAGTGTATGTTGAAGGGCGACTTTACTACTTACCCTGCACTTACATGCCCTCTGTGTAATGGATACCAAGGCTTAAGTGGTAATGGTGCAATAAAAAAAAGATACAGAGAGAGAAGGAAGAGGCGGAGATGTGAAGGAAGGAGAAAGAGTGAAAGACAGAAAGGTAGGAGGGGCAGGAAGATGAAGGAGAGGAAGGAGACAAGACAGAGGCAAGGAGATGGGAAGGAAGCGACATAGAGAAAGAGTTAGAGAGGAAGTGAATAAAGAAAAACCACACAGGAGAAAGTTTGAGACAAAAAGAAGGAGGAGAAGTGGAAAGATAAATGGCAGATGAGACAAAAAAAAAAAAGAACAAAAGACAAACTGAAAAAGAAAAATGATTCAGGAGAAAGATGAGAGAGGGCGGAGAGGAAAAGAAAGATGGTGATGGAAGACAAAAGAAAAAGCAAGACAGCAATAAAAGATCTCACAAAGAAAGAATTGAGACAGAGGAATAGTAAGTGGAGAAAGAGCTCTTCAGCTGATTGCAGCCTTTTGTGCTATAAATCTTTTTTTTCTCACAGAATGAAGCCTGTCTGTCTCGCTCTGTAGACTCCTGACAGAAATAAACGGCTCTATATTCAGCTTTATTGATCCCAAACTCTCTGCTCCCTCCCTTCTTTTAATCTCTCTCTCTCTGTTGTGTTGTGTCTGTACCTCTCAATATCTACCATTTCATCTTAGTCTCCCTCTTTTAGCTCTGTCTATGTCTGGCCTGGCAGAAGTCTGAGCTTGTGAAAAGGCTGAAAGTGGAAAATATTCAATAGAGGAAACACTCTTGTTAGCAGAGGACGCATAGACAGCTATAAATGTGTTGCTATCTTTTATTAGTCTCAGGGATCGATGCTGTGAAGATCGGTTTATTGTTTAGTTTGAGTTTTAATGTGGGACTTATTGATAGCCGACAGACGCTGATGGCTTTGCATTGCTCTGTTTAAATAATCCTGTTGAGCTGTATCAGATAAAACACATTTGACAAGGTGGTAAACACCTGAAATTTCATCAGACGTGGGTACTTTGTGTCATAACAATAACCGTGTAAGGGTCTGTGTTTATTAAACCTGTACAGCAGATGTTTAACATGCTAAAGCTATCAGGATCATTCATGATGTCAACGTCTGCACATAACTTTTTTAAGATGATGTTACTTGCTAGCCTACTTCATTGGAGGGACTTCGACAGCAGGAGTTTCATGACTGTTGATTTATAACAGTATTAGTCGGTGGTCTTTAAGCACATTAGCCATCTGACAGGAGTTTCTACCTCAGGCGACAGCCAACAGCAGGGATTTTCATGACACATGATACCATACTTTAGTATTTAACTTCATATTTCTGCATGAGGCTGGTGTCTTAGCCCACCCTAACCATGGTTCTAAACTGACCCAGGTTGAGCAGGTCCCAACAAGCCAAATATGAGACAAGGGGCTCTATTTTCATGCCTGCCGGTGGTGCGGTGGAGGTTGGCGCACCCCGCGCAGTGGTATTTTCATCTGGCAGAGCCCGGTGCACAGCCAGTTTGGTATTTACATGGACTGAGGTGCACCGAGGTCCGCCAAGCTGGGCGTGGTGGCGCGGTAGGGGGAGGTGTCGACAGAATCAGCTGAGGCAGTGACATTTTCGTGCTTGCCGGCGGCGTGGAAAGTGCGCTGAAAGCTCGCTGATTCAAACCTGGTCAGCTTTCAGCACAGGCGGAGTGCAGCTGGTCTAGTGGTATTTTGGTAGACCGTCGGCGTAGTGCGCATACGTCACCGATGAGTTTGTGTTGTGATCTGTGCGCACAACCCACCTTTGTCACGTTAGGTTTAAATATATGCAACTTCATGTGATTGTCTTTATTTGTGGAAAAGGATGTTTGTCTTACCAGTGGGTCCAACCTTACACACAACAAATCCCTCTGTGCTTATATGAGACAGTGTGGAGGACGCCCTCCGTAGCGCTTACAGCGACACTTGTTGAGGGGCTGCCTTATGTTGCCATCATGTGGCATTGTTGTCTTCAGCCATCTCTTGATCGCTTTGACTACTTCATGAAAATTGTACTACGCCTCGCCGGATCTAAAGGAGAGCAGAGGAGCTGATCTGATCGGTGAAAACAGGTCTTGGCTGTGTTAAACTCCACGCCCTCTCTACGACTTATGACGCTGGGAGGAGCTGAGTTAGGGAGGGGGGATACTTACGCCAGGCTGCACCGCTCACCAAAATACCAAAATGTGCTTGTTCGCGCAGCTGACCTGACTTATGCCACGCCGCCGGCGAGGAACGAAAATAGAGCCCAAGGAGTTTGTAAATATGGGATAATATGAGACAAGTTACCACCAAGCTAAGTGGTCTTGTAGATGCCAATATAATGTTTATCTGATCACGAGAAATTAAAATTTATGATTCAATTTTTGTATAGACTCAGTATCAACATCATCTTTGCTACAGTCTGAGTTATCAAAACACACCACTCTGTATCGGTGAAGACTTCCTCTTTCAGGTTTTAGGGATGCAATAGTCCTACACTTTGAAAAAGAACAAGAGCCAATCAAGAGCAGATGTCATCTCTATTTGTGACAAAAAGCAGGACACTTGGTCACTCTGGACTTGTCGGCTCGATCGAAATTTGGGAGGGAGAAAATATTTGCAGAGCGAGTGTTGTTTTTGATGCAAGGACCCTAAACAAACAGCATATCCACCATCGAGCTGTTAATGCCCAGCAGGAGATTTTGCAAGATAAAGTTCAAACAGAAAAAAAGAACATTTTGTCTTCTTTTTTTTTTTTTATTTCAAGTCTATTTTGGCCTTTATTGACTGATAGACAACAGTGAATGAAGTAGGAAACAAGGGAGAGAGAGGGGAATGACCCACCTAGACCACTTTGTTATTGGAGTCCCAAGTCCCTCTTTTTTTAGACAGTGAAGTATCTGCATTTTGTAAGAAGACATCTAACTGTGTGTCTGGTGTCAGATTACACATGCATGCACTGTGTATGGCTGGTAAATGCAAACACTGAGCCCTGCACACGCAAACGCTATTCAACTCTTTATTTATTATGAAACTAATTTGAGATTTTGTTTAAAAGGCTAACTCTTGATGTGTTGATGTCTGAGTTGAGGCTTTCTGAAATTATGATTTCTTATATTAAATAGACTACTTTCTACTCAGCTGCATACATTTGCCTTTACTTTGTTGTCTAGCTTTGTTTGTGTAGCTTCTGCTCTTTAAACTTTCTGTTCTTAAAAACTTTTGCTGTAAGTTGATGGTTTCAGACAATCAAAGTTCATCTCTGTCCACCTGCAGAAGCGATCTGTGGGTAGAGTGGGTTATCTCTGGCACTAGATGTTCTCTCTCTCGGTGGATTCCATTAGTCAAGCCCATCAAACTACCAAATGTTGAAAATGTATTTTTAAATGAGAATACCTTCCGATTTCAGGCCACATGGTGCATTTAATGGTTTTATAAAGATTTCACAGCCTCTAATGGAGTGCTTTTATTTTTGTATCCATCGCGTTGTGGAAAATGGTGTCCATCAGCAACAGGACAGAGGCATGACAGAGAGGAGACTGAGGCTGTCACGGTAAAGCTGCCAAGCTGTGATCTATCTTTGTGGTGAGGATGAAAACAGTCTCTAATGACTCTGCTGAGCTCTTCTTTCTCCTCTCTCCTCTCTCCCTCTCTGTCTGTAAAATGAAACCAGAGCCTGCTGGCTCACTCCCTTCCTCTCTTTTAACTTTTACATTTAATAAACACTATGAATAAAATGCAAAGCATGATGTAGAAAGAAGCAAATGATAAACTGGTCAAGAATTGTAATCGGTATAATTAAGTATGGAGTTAGATAAATGTATTATTGTGGAAACTACTCATAAAACTTTTAACACAGCTTTTTTTTCTAAGCAGTTTTTTTGCATTGTAATAAAACTGCAAGAAAATGTTAGAAATTGTGGTAACCCTTTCTTTTACAGTACACTTATTACCAGGTAATTATCAGGTAATTACCTAGTAACAACATGAAGTTATCTGGTAATTACATGATAACTACTAAGTCAATACTGTCTAGCTACCAGGTAGGTAACCTTCCATCATCATACAAATTTGAAGCCGAATTACTCTGGTATTTCCAGGATTTTCTCTGCTTCCTGGAACCACAACTTGCGCAGTTGCATTGTACACATTCGGCGGGTGAGTCGCTGTGATGATGCTCGGCTCAAACAGCGTATCGCTACGCAATCTTTGCACGCCCATAGGCTGTATCAAGTGACAATCGTAGAAAATAAGAACCCCAAATAGCTTTTGAAAATGGAGCTGCACAGAAAAAAGAAAAACTAGACAGTATTGACTTAGTAGTTATCATGTAATTACCAGATAATTTCATTTTGTTACTAGGTAATTACCTGTTAATTACCTTGTACATGTATCAACTCTTTTTAGACTTACTCTAATGATACATGTAATTTTATCTTTGCTTAGCTGCAGAAAGGAGCAGGATCTAAGATTCATATTCTGAAAAGTCAATCCGTGAGTCAGCTTGAATTATAAAATGTACATCAGGGTATCATCACCTTAGTGTTTGATTTTGAGGTTGTGTTTTCCAAAGTTATGGGGTGTAGACTTGCTCTTCATATAGAGGATTGAGGTACATATAGTACACCAATTTTGAGAGGCTCGGCATAATTTTTTTGACGTATTCGTAGAAACTTGTAATATTTGCTTAATTTACTGAATAGAACATAGACAGAAACCTTAAGAGTCATTTTTGTCACAAACTGGAGTTTATGCAAGAGATGGTGATGATAACTACATTTGATAAAATATTCTTATAATTAAACTTAGCTCCTCCCAATCAATCTTTGATTTTTCTATAACCTCTGGTGTCCTTCCTTTCTTTCTTCCTTTGTACTTCTCTTGTCATCCCCTGTTTTTTTTTTAAATCTTACTCTAAGTTTGTTTTACTCTCTTCATTTCTTCATTCATGGTCCTCACTCTTTCACTCACTCCTCTCTTTCCTTTGTCGTGCTTTTTAATTTCCATTTCTCCTCCCTGGTCCTCTCTGCCTTGTTTGTCCTCTCCGTTTCTGTGGAATCACTTGAAACTGCTGCTTCAATAAAACATCATCTTGATGTTTCTATTGACGTAATGCAGTCCTTGACTCTTGAAACCTCTGTTTAATACATTGATGTGTTTTCTCTGAGTGTTACTAGCTCTCAATGCCCGGCACTCCACTCAACCCTATTCAGGTGAATAGAAAAGGCTTTAAGGTGGAGTAATGACTCTCAGCTGCCATATTGTCAGACTCGACCTCGGGGTCAGTTGTTGGTGTCAACAGCTGGTTGTGTTGTGTTGTGTTTTTTTTTCTGTTTTTTAGACTGTGCGTAAAATGTATTGGTGATTTTTGAACCAGGTCCCTAATTTTATGTCATAATGGACTTTATTAGCTGTAGATAACCAGTCTGACTGAAGCTGACAGCCACATAAGCTCCAGGTGGTGGTTCCAACTTGGTCGACTATGTGCTGTTTTCATCTTTTTTTATAACTTGTTCATCTGCATACACAGAAAGACTCAGACAGAAAGTCAAATTTTGTGTGTCCACATTCTTCTCAAAGCTGAAAGATACTTAATTCAGCCCTTTGCCCAGTTAGCCCCGTGTATCTTCAACTGGTCTCACTGCAGTTTGTGACACAGTCATCAAACATACCACCAGTTTTACAAAGAACCCTGTCTAGCCTTTCCATTCCCAAGCCCTCCAATACCCCCCCTTGGGTTCATACCCATAGACTGCTTAAATGGAAGTTGCATTGGTAAAGACACCCACTGTTTTGTCACAACCTGTTTTTCAGTCGACCTGCCAGGGGCTGGACTTTAGCTTCCTCGAACCAGGCTTTAAACATGTTATCTCAGAAACTGGGCTTTTTTTGGCTGAGTTGTTGCAGTTTTTAGCACTTCTGCATCAGTCAGAGGTTTCTCCTTGGTTATTTCCCACCCTTCCCAGTCCCTCCCCTGGTCAAGATATCTAATGACGACCTCTTACTACAGGAATGCTCATTGTAATCATTTCCGATGTCTAACTTGGGAAGTGTTGGTAGAGCAAGTGCAGAAAGACAACATCTTCTGCCAGATTACCAGTCTTTGTCTTCGTATTGAAATGAGTCAAAAGACAGACCATTAATAATTGCATTGGAGTTGCTTTATAGTTGATGTAGCTAACCTCTTCTACAGTGTGCACATGTCCACAGACAAGCGAAGCGAGGATGGAAGGTACCATTCAGACTTCGACCAAAACTTGAGTGTATTTGACACTAAGAAGTTTGGGGTTGTCACCATATTTGACATCATCTCTCAGATTAGTGTCTTTAGTGTTTTTGTCCTGTCAAAGGTGTTTTAAAAGACATTTCTTATAATGTGACTGTAGTGAATATTCATGGAATATCTGGAAAATCTTGGTGAAGGTTTATTAGAGATACTTCTTTGTGGCTCACAGATGATGACATAATGATGGTTGTGCTGTTTATGAAAACATGACGATTATGTGGCTTTTATTTCAAAAGGTTTTGGTTTAAAGAAAGGAGCAGGACAAGTCGTGACAAAGCCACATGACAGTGAATCACATGCTGAAAAACAGAGTGTGCTCTCTGTTTTCTGCTGATCTCGTTTGCAGTTAGAGACGCGTTTAGCAACACCGTGATGTCTGTGTGTGTGTGTGAGAGAGAGAGAGAGGAGCGCTGATGAAAGACAGAGGAACCCTGCTTTATTGATCCCATTGATTCACCCCTTACCTTTAAAGAAAAGCCACCCCTCCCCCCTACCTCGCTCTCACCCCTTCTCAAACCGGTAAACCCCTTTTGAATAATATAATTGCGTATTTGAACCTCACTGTAACCTGGACTAGAGGAAAAAAATCCTGATTGAATCACTCGAGCGTGCTCTTTTCTCTACTGACAGCAGACCGAGAGTGGGTGTGTTTGTGAGTGGGTGGGTGCCTTTGATTGCTCCCTTTTTACACGTAAATGTCTGCACTTTTTCTTTTTTTTCAAACCTCTGTCTGGGTTGAACTGCTGCTGAGCTGCTTTTCATGGTGCTACAGTAAGCAGAAAACATACAGAGGCAGAGACAGGGGGGGAAAGTGTACATTTGATACCTGTGTACACTGCTGGAAATAACATTTCAAACACTTATTAGTTGACCTTTATGACACATTTGATCTTTTCATGTCAGGTCAGTCTCACTTTTCTCTCTCTTGTGATCCAAAGAGGGTTAAAAAAAACAGACATTCTTGGACACCCATAATATTCAGACTGATGCTGTCTCCCCTGATATTGAATCACTTTCATAACCCATGTCTCCTTAGGTATAAAGTATGTACAAGACCTGCTTACATGGTGAGAAAACAATAATTCATGGCTCTTATTTACGGCTGTGTGAATGGTCCTTAGCGTCACTTTTATCTGCCTGGAAACAACTGAAAATTTCTTGAAGCTGTTTTATGGTGGGCTGCACTACCAACTGAGGAAAGAGACAGATATTCGTTTGTGAAAATGTACCTGAGAAAAAAAAATTGAAGATATAAGCGGATACAGGCAATGAAATGAGGAAACGTAAGAAATCCGGATGCACTCAAACTAGCGAAGACCAAGTTTTGTTATCTGTTGTGGCAGCTGTTACTGCTGAAGTATGTCATATTTGGTGACCAAAAGCAGAGCAACAAAAAGTTAAACAATGTGAATATACTTTTTCACTCTGGCAGGCCAAGTTGTTTCTTTGACAGGCTCATTTTTGTTTTTTTAGCATGTTCCACCTGTTTTGTGTAAGGTTAAGACCATGACAACTGAACCTCGTCATCAGTTACTTCCATTGTAAAGGAGTGTAAGAGAAAGTATGCAAAAATACTGAAGAGAAAGCTCAGAATAAAGACAGATCAAGGAAGCTTAGGCTACATTCACACTGCAGGTTATGATGCACAATTCAGATTTTTTGTTAAATCCGATCTTTTTGTGCGGTTGTTCACATTACAACAACGAATGTGGCATCTAATGTGAAGGAACTACTCAGAACTACTTTAAGACGCCTGTGTGGGTGAGAGTTAGGTCAAATTAGGTTAGACTGTACGCGCTACCTCCCCCTAATTTCCTGTATAACATGGAGATGAGAAAGAGATTTATAAGATGGTAGCAAGAAATCAGAACATAGAAAGAAAATCTGTTAAGGCAACAACTTAACTCCTCCCACAGTGTCAGACTGTACACTCTACCTCCCCCTACCTCCTCATCTCCACGAAGGAAAGGTGGAGAGAGAATAAAGAGGAAAAAAGGAAATTTTCTTTAATTTTTTTTTATGCCCATGTGGCATCATTGCTTCTTATCTAGACCCACTTTCAACTCAACGTATCTAAATATCATACACCTCCTTCACAGAGTCTTCCCATGACAAAGTCAGTTTTATGACATAAATTATTTTGAAAGCTATTTTTTATCAGTGTGACTTAACACATGAATGAATGTTATTAATTATAGTAAAAGCAGCAAAAATATCCTAGTTGTACATGTAGAAGTGTAAATATTTATATCATGAACAGATCAGTCATATCTTTCTTTTTTCCTTCCAAAGATCACACTGTACACATAGAGGTTCAATGTCCAAGTACAGATAATTTGGACTTTGAATAGACAAAAACACAAATCACAAAACTGGACTCATGTGGATGTTCTTCCACAAAGCAAGTCTTATCATATCAATAATATGTTTATGCCTCTATCATCCAAGGAGAGTGGTCAAAGTGAAATAATAATAATAAATACATGTTTTTTTTAATTAAAATAAATTCCAATCTTGAAGCTGTTATTTCAGATGTTTTAATTTATTGAAGTCATGCAGTCTCTGTTTACTGTAACTTCATGTGTGATGACTCAGAACAGACTATGCTCTTTTACTCATTCTCAGTAACACACACAAGAGCACTCAAACACACACCTACACACAAAGACACTGATCATATTTTCAGACTCCAGCAGTGTACGGGTCTCGCTGTTCACCGTATTCACAGATCAATAGTGCCACCTGTCAGCGGCTGACCGTATTACAGCCACAACAGTCTGACTCCTCACAGTTTGGAGGCTTCACATAAATTCTTAATAACGTTTGATTTAATTACTCAGAGAACAAAACAGGAGGAATGAACAATTATTTTCTCTGAAACACACAACAGGGACATTTAAGTTTGAGTCAGTCAGTCCAGAAACAAGATTCAGGGCTCTGAGGGCTTTGAAGGGACTGGACCATCTATCATGAGACAAAGAGATGGAGCAGCAGATAAAAAACAAGCTGTGAAGAGAGGATAAGTAGGCGTGTGTGGGTGAATGTGTGTGCAGTGAGTGTACTCTCCTCTTACATAATAGTGTAGTGACCAGATTGAGTCATTATCATCAGCGGGGCACTGACTCTGCATGATCATTGAGGTGGGTAATTAAAACAAACACAGGCAGACTTTCATCTCTTCTTATTGACCTAAACACCACTGCACATATGAAAGGGGGTGTGCTGTTAATGTTTTTGTTGTTGTTGTTTGTGATTTACTGTACTTATTCTATATTTTTAATACACTGCATTTTTAAAGAGTTCATTTGACGACAAATTAGACAAAATGATTGAATCAAGAAAACCCCTAAACCTTTCAATGGTCCGTTTACTCTACTTTTGAGTGTTTTTGGTGGTATTTTTGTCCTGAACGGAAAGTTTTAGGTTCGGATGGCTGGAAATAGAAGGAACTTTAAAAAAAATCATTTTGAAACATGTTTTTTTTTTTTTTTTTCTCGGGGGTAATGAAGCAGTGGTTTCCAAGTAGGGTTAGGGTTAGCGTTAGGCTGTGTCATAGTTCTCTCTCTATACAGTCATAGTTTTATTCTGCGAGAATCATGTCTGACATAGAGTAAGCATTTAAAAACACAATCCAACTGGGCCAGACCCTGTCTTTATGTTTACCATCTTTGCAGTGCGCCTGCTGCAGCATTCCCAAAGCAGATTGTGCTGCTCATCTTGAAACACTTAAGGACTCATGAGGAAATTTTTACAAATAATGTGCAACCTGCAGCACACAGATTGTCTCACTCAGGTACATGACTATATATTTTTTTTCTTGAACTTAAGTTATAGTAAAAGTTTGACTTTAATGTCTGTAAAAAGACTGAAAACTCAAACAAACATGCAAAGTGAGAGTACTTAAACTAATACTAGACGTCCACTGGTCAACAAGGCCTTCTATTTGTTTCAATGACGACACAAAATCCTGCTCCAGTATTTAACTCTTATTGAAACATTGGCAATATTAACTTTGTTTTTGTCTCTTCCTCCTATCATCACCCTCCTCCCCTCTTCCTCTCCTCAGCATGCAAACGGAAGGAGCAGGACAATGGGAAGGAGCGCAACAACACGCCAAAGAAGTCGCGGCTGGTCTTCACGGACCTGCAGCGGCGCACCCTGCTGGCTATCTTCAAGGAGAACAAGCGACCGTCCAAGGAGATGCAGCTCACCATCTCACAGCAGCTTGGCCTTGAACTCACCACTGTCAGCAACTTCTTCATGAACGCCCGTCGCCGGAGCCTCGACAAATGGACAGACGATGGAGCCAGCCCCGGCGGCCAATCTTCGGCGTCCAGCACTTGTACCAAAGCGTGATAAAAGATGGGCAAGGAAGGGGGGAGGGGAGTGACAGGGAGGGGTGGGGTCTTGGGTTGGGGATCCGGGGAGGGGTTGAGGGAGCGGATGGAGGTTTTGTCCAGTTGAAGGGACGAGGAAAACCAAACTTTTTACATTTTTCTTTTGTTTGTTTGCCTGTTTGTTTTTGTCATGGGTGACAAACTGAGAGAGGGGCTGCTCACTGTGACGACTTGTTTGTAGCCTAACCGCCTTTTGCAAATCCATTACACATCCATAAAAGAAGCTGAAGGGTAAACTCAACACAGAAACCTCGCTGTTAAACAACTAAAAATTCCACTGCAGACACACTAGCCCAAATACCAAAGACTAGAAGACAGTGCGTGTTTTCTATTATGCAATATAAGCTAGGAACCAACCAACTAACCAAACAACTTAGCAAGAATCCAGTGAAAGCTTCAAGACTGCAGAATGTCTTATAAGCTCTGGGATCAATCTCACTAGATCATATTTAACCAACAATCTCCAAAATGCTGATGGTGCAAGTATTTGGTAAACAGGAGGTCAGATTCTGGAAATTGCACAGCCAAATTTATGCAGCTGATGTGGCCAAATTGAATCATAAACAAAAGATCTTACTCGAAACAAAACCAAAAATCATGAGGTCTTATTTCTGGGTCAAAACAAACCATACAATGATTGAACACCAAAGCTCTTCTTGGCCTTCGAAGTACAGGTTGGATAAACTAGCTAAGCAGCTGTCGTGTTCTGTACTTGTTGGTGAATGGTAATGGTTAATAGATTTGGCTGTGCAGTCCCTGATTCCCAACGTTGGTTTAACAATGGGAAACCAAAATCTGATTCCATTAGACAAAACTGACAACATTTCAGTCAAACGTAACGATTTGACTTTATAAAGATTCTTAAACTCGGTAAAATATGCAAGCACAAACACACACAGATACACAAGCATTCGCCAAGGCACATGCAGCTTTCCTCATGATTTGAGCCAACATGTAGAGTCACAAGTTTTCCCAGCATACTACGTGGAGTATGAGTGAACGATACATGAATATATACAACATATGTGAGCACAATCTTGAAGCACATTTTCTTTGCAATAGAACTGGGGCTCCCTGCCAAGCCGAGTGGTCTTCACATCTTAGAAAAACTCAGGATACCATTTTTTCTAAACGGTGGCTGAGATCCATTCGGCATCTGTTTTTACACACTCTGAAGTACGAATGAACACACACACACACACACACACACACACACACACTGTTGTAGACAAGATGATCCATCTGCTTTACAGAAACACTGAGTTCAAAAGATTCATCTCCCGAATAATTCCCCCCAAAAAAGTCATTTTCAGCAAAACCAAAGCTAAGCTCCAGGTTTGCCCAAGCTTCATCCAACCATCATTTGTGTTACCATTTTTAACTCATATGTCAAGGCAGCAGCTTCCTTTCAGCATCTTAGTGTTAGCACAATCTTTGTTTTGAGTTCAAACATAATATTATTTCTTTTGAAAACTGGTGCTGTGTGATTTTTGGCTGACGAACTGTGATTTTTAACATTCTCAGTCAAATCTGTCATGAACTAAAAGTAGTCTAAGATTGGTCGGCATCGTTTTCAGTGCACAAACTCAAACATGCATAACTATAGGACAAAATAGAAGCTCCCATCTGGACTTGGATGGTTGCAGAATCGACGTAAAATAGTGAAAGCCCAAAACGAAAAGCAGTTTCATGTCTCAGTATGCCAGTTCACCACTGTTCAAAATGCCACGTTCACCCCATCAAAGAGGGTCCACTGAATTATACAAAGGGGTGAAGTGACATACACTCTTCAGACAATCTATTCTTGAAAGCATTTTGTCATGAAACTTTACCCTAAATGAAAAACCTGATTGTAGTTTCCAAATCTTTCCGTACGTTTCAAAAACATTGTCGAAGATTAGTCAGATCTTAAAGTATCCCTATGCAGAGTTTGTGCACAAATGCAGGACTGTGAGATCATTCTTGGTTCCTCATAGCTTTACAAAACCATGATTTTCCAGATTTATAGAGCTAAAATGCTTTTTGGAAGCCTCCAGCTGCCGACAAAGATATCCCCAAGACCACAAACCAGAAAATCGTACCTGCCACACTGAGGGGAAGACACAACAGCAGAACCAGTCAACTGACTGAACCCTCGGAGGACGAACTGTCCGGGCGAATCAGGGCCTTTGTAATAGTTAAAGAGGACAATCTAAAGACGATGCCTGGCAGGTCTGTCTCTTCCAGAGGGTCAGTGAGCTGGAAAACAATAAGACAGGGATCAACGCTGCAAACAAATCATGAAAGCCAGACTGTATATTCAGACAAAGAGAAATCTACAACCTAGAAGACTTGATTTTTGGTCTTTGCAGCGTAGGAGAGCTGGATGCTTGATAGAAACCCCTTTCAATCCACTTAAGACTGACAGAAAAACTCTGCCTGTCTTTGTGTCCTAACAAAATCCACCGAGCATCCGTCACTACCAAATCCCATTACACCCATCAGTTTAATTTTCACACCCTCACACTGTACAGCCTGATGTAAATACTACGAAAACCTCAAACATCACCGCCTTCACCTCTGTCTTAATAGGCTTCACCGTCCGCAATCACCTCATCAATCATCTCACTCAAGCTATTGAACCAAAAAAGAAACAAAACCAAAGGAAAGGCGTCAGTCAGCAGCCCCTGCTCCTTAGAAAACCCCAGGCTGAGTCCCGGCCTGGTTAGAGGCAAGCCAAAGGCTTTAAGAACGATTTAAAATAAAAAATGGACACTTGAGACTTTTTCTATTTATTGACAAATCGAAACCAAAGAAAACCTTTTTCTGCACCTAACTGTTCCAACAAACAGAAAAAAACTAACTGAAGATGGAAGAGAATTATTACCAAAAAGAAAAAAAAAATCCAAAAAAAGAGTGGTGACGATGTCGAGGATAGAGGATGACGTCATCGACGAGGAGATGGAGGGAGAAAAGAAAGAAGGGTGACATCTGGGGAGTGGCGAAGAAGTAGCTTTGTTCTGCCTGATGTTGCATCAGGCCATCTTTAAGGGGAAGCAAGTTTGGGACTGAAAAGGGTAAAACCACAGGGGGAAGGAGGGAAGGAACCAACGGAGGATGCCGTCGCCCATTTTCTTCCCTCCGACCCCCCAAAAAAGGCAGAACATTAATGTGTCTCTCACGGTTGAAGAGTGTCTTTAACGTGTGCCTATGCAGTTTTTCAAAGTAAAAAATGGTTAAAAGAACAACAGAAACCTCATCAGCTAACAAACCAAAGATCCACCGTTAACTTCAGTAGCAGTCCTCCTCCCCCCTAAAGAGAGAAACCTCTACTGCTACGACTTTCACAAACCGGGACTCTACATCTGTGAAAAACAAACTTGTTTAAGTTAGTGTGTTAGCCAATCAAAGTTGACTTTTTCTCAAGAGTAGTGTTTCTTTTTTTTCTTGATTCATTCAAGGTTGTAAACTCGCCCGTGATGCTCATAACCTTTGTCATCAGGATAGTCAGTATTTATGTAGTGTGCTAACCGCTTCATTCCGTTAACCTGTTTTCAGTTCAAGCACTAGCACACACCCAGTGTTTGTTGAATTTTGGCTTTTCTCCAGCATGGCAGCCGTCATACTTTAAAATGTGTCACATATACACAATTTTTGTCACATTTCATAACATCAGTGAAGACCAAAAAGTGTAAGAAGCCTCTAAGATTGACGCTGTAGCTTTATTTCTCTTCCATTCGTCGTGTCTTTCCCGCCATAAGTCATGCCCTGCTCCACAGGACAAAGTCTACCTCCAACAATCTCCTGCAGTAGTAGCGAAAGCTGCCAGGCAACAGTACAGGCACGACGTCTTTCTTCATTCCCTTTCATATCCAAGCTAGAAGCAGCTTTGTGCATCCACATTGAGTAATCTCAAATGCTTCCATCTTCCGCTCAGTTTTGGGATTCAAACACGCCTCTTGTTTTTGTTAAGCTGGCTGTTGTCTGGCGGATTTACTACTGCGGAGATAGTGACAAAAAAAATGCTATGTGAAGCGTACAGTGCATACCAAAGATTTTTTGCTGTACAAACAGTAGCACACTGACACCTTTTGCTTTGGTCATACCCCTTCAATCAATTTCACTTTTGCTTTAGGGCAGTTTCACCGTTGTCAGTATTTCATGTCCAAGGATTTCGTATCCAAGTGAAAAGAAGGCGGGCTTCTTCACTTTGCTTGTTGAGATGTGTTCATAAAAGCGTGTATAGAGTGTAAGAAGACAACAGAAGTGTAAATGATTTGACTGTCTCGGTTACGGATCTGTAAGCTAGATGTTTGGCGAACTCCAAAAGCCACAAGAGCTTTGGTTGAAGAACAAAACTTTGAAAATTTCATTCCATGATTTTTCCTTATTGCCCTGCTGGAGGAGAAGCCTCGCAGTGACAGTGATGCTAGCTGTCCACGGCGAACACTGTTAGCGTTTTCTTTCGGGGGGAGGAACCATGCTGCTGCTCCATTTATACAACAACAATAAATGAAACAAACCAAAAATGCTACACCTGCTGAGAGAAACTGCTAAATATCGGTCAAATAGCTTTATCCTGAGTTCTCTCTCTCTTTTCTGTATGTAAAGCTTCTAGTCCAAAGAAATCTTCCGCCCACCTGACCCTCTCATCCTTCTGACTGCGCCCAATGGAGGGGCGCGGTTACGGTTCAGGGGGGCGGCGGCCATTTTCCATTCCCACTTGCAGTTCTGTCTGGATGTAACACAGGCTAAACCTGCCAAACCAAAAAGAGAAAAATAGGTACGAAACCAAAAAACTGTCCCAAAGAGGTTTTCATTGCTTGTTTGTTTTTGAGTACTTAAAAATTATTTGCCAATACTTGTATGTCTACTATTACTACTATGTTCCTTTCTAGGTTTTTGCAATATGTGATTTTTTTTTTTTAATTTAATGTGTTTTCTTTTAATTTGTGGATTAATTTAAGCGAACAAATTTTGTTGCCAAATCTCCCTCTGAACCCTTTGACCCTTGACGATGATTAGCTTTGCCAAAGTTTACATTGTTTGTTCCCTTTTCTTTATGTTCAATGCTGTATTTATTTATGAGGTGTTTTAGAACACACTAGTTTTGTACTCAATAATAATTTAATGTTATTTAATTAGATGTAATTGTTTTTGATGAATATTTATGAGTATTTAAGAATGTTAGTTGCATCAAAGATGCAGTGCTTATGCCAGGCCTGTTAATTTATTCTTAGTTAGCTTTACTTTAAAAAGCAAATGAAATGTTGTTTTATGAATGTTTAGATTTAACGACAGAACAAAGTAGGAACGTCAGATTAGACTACTAGTACTTCTGAGTGTCAACACTTGCTCTCACTCTTTAGCCAATCTAGTTTTCGTCCTGGTACTGATTTTTTCTTTCTCAAAAATGAAAACAATCTCTCTTTATGACAAAAATAGCTGACCAAATGATGAGCACTGCATCTGATTTTTTTGTTTCTTCCTTGTGGTTTTTATGGCAAATTTATTGGTTGCTTTGTTTTTTGATTTATTTGCATCCCACTGACCATTGTTGAACAAGCAATGAATTTCAGACTGATGTTTTAGTGACACTTGATCAGGTGACGTAAGGGCCACACGTTGATATAAACTGACTCACCAAAGATAACTGGAATCCTTGAGAGGCCAATAAACGGAGTGTGTTTCCATCCACGCAGCTTGCACCCTGGTTAAGGTCTTATTCGTACATTCAGTTTGTGAAAGTAGAAACAGTTAGAGCTCCAGAAGAAAAATGTAACTAGGTTATACCTGATTAACTAAGAACAGTTTATTGCAAATCTCTTAAATTTGATTGTTGCACGAAACAGCTGATCTTCAAGACTCAAATCTGCATATTTCCCAAACACCACAGCCTACGTACACGAGGTGCACAATAATACTGCTGGATCAAACCATCAGCCCATGCCAAAAATACACTTTAACAGCCTGTAAATGAAACTAATTGATGTCATTAAAAAGATCAACAATCTATTTTCAGTTGATCAGACAACACCAGCTCAATATCAGACACTACTGGTATAAATAGCTGCTAATTTTTTAGAGTCATCCTAACTTTAAAAGATTCACAAGAAGAATAACAGCAGGGTTTTTATGTTAATCTTTACAAAAACAACAGCAGAAATGCAAAATAAGGAAGGCAATACAAGATTAGACTGACAAGCCACTTCATAAACCTCTAAAAAAAATCCTGAACTAAATCAAGCACAGCACTATTTCTACTGTTGTGCATCAGAGCAAACACACACATTTCTGAGTGTTTCAATGTGGTCTTATAAGAGTTAATCCAGATTGATAAAAGCAGGAGTCGATGTGAACACACACCACCTGTACGGTATAATTCCAGCTGTGTGCGCACGGCTGCGTGAATGCAAACACACCACCTTGTTTCACTTGTTAGGAAGGAAAACTGAGGAGTCCCTTAAAGCTAGCTGCTTCCAAGACTGACTTTGTGTGTACGTAAAAAGAAAAAAAAACTTTCTATTTCAATAGTGAGAACCAGAGAGGCTACCTCACTGACTTTCCATTTGTCCTCTTAATCGTGTTGATGAAACCAAAGAAACCAAAGATTTTTGTCCTCTTCAGTACGGTCTGCGCTCAGCTCCATGCTTTTACTCTCATTCTTCTCTTCATAAGGATAATGAAACATTAAGGCCTCTTTACCTTTCTCCATCTCTTTCTCTCTTTTTTTTCTCCTCCCTGTCTTGGCCTTGCATTGTCTGTTTTCCTCAAAGACATAAAGTGTGAAGGGAAAAGGGGCAGATACAATGCAGGGTCAGGTTGGATGCTGGATATCAGGGAACACAAAACGAAAATGAAATTTGCCACTTTTCGGGCTTAAAGTGGAGTTTTCATTTCAAATAGCCCAGTATGACTTCTCAGCAAAGTGACTAGTTTCAGAAAGAAAGAAAACCAGGTCATCCGTTCCCTTTTCTAACTTTCAACAACAGCCTGGCCAGTGCCACTTATTTTAACACTGTAAAACAAACAATACAAGAATCCCATTTGGCAACTATACTGAAGGGAAGTTGGGCACAGTAATCTAACATAATATCACTTAAAGCAAAGTAACAAAACAAAGATTATGTCATGGAACATAGCATTGCTCAACTCAACACAACCTGAACTGGCTTAACTCAAGGTGATGTAACATAACAAAACAGAACAGAATATAAAGAACAAAAACATCACGACATTTGCCACAAAATCAAGTAATGTGTAGTAAAAGTAACGTAACATGATTGCACCCAAAGTAACAACATTAAATAACCTAGTGTAATATAACAGGACATGCTGCATAGTAACATGACAAAGAAATATGTCATGTAATGTTACTTATCTCGTAACAAGATGTGACAACGTAAAGTAACATGATACGTAACACAGAGTAACTATAACATTACACAACGACACATCATCAAATGTAACTTAACATAACTCAATGTGACTTGACACACCACTTCACAATATGTCACATCACATCATATGACACAAAGTAACAATAACCTTGCTTCACAGAATGTAACTTCGCTTAATACAACTTGTCATAATGTAACGTAATATTAAGCAACGTAACATATTCCGCGTAATAATGCAATGACATTTTATAAACAGATTTAGACTTTAAAAATTGCCCGTTATTCCTAATGTCACCAAGTCATTTTGGTCCTTGTGGTCCAAAACTCTAAAAGACTTAAAAGACTCATTATGCCTCAAACAAACCAGGTGGCATAACAAATAAAATAAAAGTGTGTGTTACTTATCCGCATAAAATAGCAAGAAGGACATCACAATCCTTAACTCTGATGCTTTTTCCAAAGGAGGTTTTCTCAGGCCTTTTCTTTGAGGCAAAAGCCTTTTTGCATATGGACAAAAAATGTTGTTTTGCACTGAAACTTAACATCTGCAGATTTACCAGACTTAAGTGATAACAGGTTTTGTGCTCCTATAGCTGAAGAAAAAACAGTATTTTGTCTTGGAGTAGAAAGTGGTCTGTATAGTTATCCTCATTCCCCTTCTTCCACTACAGGCCCTCTTTCGTCTGTTTCAATGTCAGATAACATTTGTCCCTGTTTCTTCTCTAACCTGGTAATTAGATGGCTGACTGTCACCAGTTTTGTGCTGCATAGCAACAGCAGGGGAGCAACACTGCTGTGAACCTCTCTGACCTCTTTCTGTTTGAGTCGTGAATCTTGAATCCTGTTAGAAACTGCTGCTTAAAGAAAACCTTAAAGACGAGGAAACTATGACAACCAGACTTTAAACTCACAAGGCTCATGGTGGTCATCCTACAGTAAAAAGCCTGCCTGTGTAGTATCTGAGATGTCAGATGATGTAGTAGAGTCGATACTGTGTTTTGGCTGCAATGGATGGGTCAAGCAGTACAGGATTTTCATAAGCAACCTTGGGATTAATCCCCTGGTGAAAAAAGTCAAGATTGGGTTATTTCACTCCACAGCATATTTTGTAATGCAAACCTCATCGTTTCCTGCCTGAACTAGAAAGGAAAGACAATACTCCAACACAGATACTAAAAGGCAGATTGAAATAATATTATGACTTATCAAATGATTCATTAAGGACTCGAAACAGATGCTTTAGGAAACCTTAAAACATGCCTAAGGCACAGTTAACCAAGGTTGAAACAGATGGACCTTTAAACAGAGTCTACTGGGTTTCTTGAGATGAAACACAAAACAAAATACAACATGTGGATCTTTATCAATATACTTACCAAAAAAATCAGGCATCCTGGAGGGCACAACAATCTTCAGCTGTTGTTTCAGTGCAAAACATCAACGTCCCCTTAAGACACAATAAATGAACCCATAGTAATCAAATCCTCGGTCTATTAGTCTGGGGTTTTCTTTTTTTGCAGTTTTTAGGCCACCTTCCCCAAACCGAACCTTGAGGGACATAAGAAAATTGAATTGCAGCTTCGACCATATGCTGATGATACTCGACTGTTTGGAAAAACATTTAATAAAAGTAGACTAAAGAAATCATTCCAGAAAATAACCAGTCAGTAACATCTCTTCACCAGCATGGAGAATAAAAGGAGTCATTCCAGTTAATTACAAGCCCATTTTTTTATTTGTTAAACTTTAAACTGTTTCTACACCACAATTTGATTCACTTTATTAATATTTTTTCCCATGAAAATCATGATATTTGAATGGGATTTGACTTCCAGCTGTGCCATTTGGCGTCCCTCAACAAGCATTTGGCTTAAAAATCAACCAGGGAAGCCAAATGGCAATAAATTTTTAACTTGTTCTACTTGTAGGTGGTTTTTAGTCTCTTAGTGTTGCACTTTGCATTTCCAAACTGGGCCACTTCAATAACAAAGACGTAGAGAGCGCTTTAGTTGCAAAGTATGAGATAACCTTGGATGAGTGCCTTGCTTGAACCAAAGCGAAGTCTTGACCTCTCTGTTGTGCTGTCAGCTTTCTGTTCCTGTAAAATACATACCTCAGCACTGCTCACGAAAAGCGCTCGAGTTTCTTGTCTGTTCTCTGGTTCTTTGCAGTGCAATCAATGCGGAGACATCCAGAGTTAATACCAAAGTCTTACCTGTTCTGTTTAACTTTACTTTTTTGTTTCACTCTCTTCCCTTCTCCAATCTTTCTGAGCTTGCTTTCCACTTGAAAGGTTTTATTTTCCAGCTTCTCGTGGCCCAGATTTCATTTTCTCATAACTGTGCAAAGGAGATCAAGTCAAATCAGATTTTCCTTGTGTTTCTGCACAGTTACGAGGGAGTGAAATGGCAGCTGCAATGTTTGAAAGGTGTAAAATACCAGCAATTTAGCCATCTATCAACTGGAATTCATTTTCTGTTCGTTTAATGCTGGTTGGTGCAGCAGGTAAGCCCCAAGAGTGACTTTACTCTATCGTATGGCTGTTTGAATGGAAGGCCAAAAATACTCAACCCTTCAGTGGAAATGCAGCTCACTCTCTTTCTCAGTTCTCCTCTTTCTCTTCCCTCCAAAGGTTGCAAAGCTTTAAATGAAGAAAACATGGAGACAAAGCTGTGTGAGAGTTGTGCGCAGACTGTGCTCTCTTTACCAAACTGTTGCAGATATACCTCATAGACACTAGTGTTAGGATAATGTTATAATAGCGTATGTCATAAATTATTCACTTGCTCTTCTTCCTTTTTATTTTGGTGACTGTAACTTTAAAATGAAACAAATGTGGGGAAAAGCTTTACACATTTTTAAGTTGTGATTTTTGTAATAGTTAAAAGGTGCGCTGAAACCAAAAATGAAAAATGCTTGTCTTCTTCTATGCTCTCTTTCTTGTTGATGTATTTCTCTCAGTCCAATTTGCCGAGGACTGAAGGATTTATGGTTTTAAAGCTTTATTTTTTCTGCTTCTTTTATAGGGGTTGTTTCCCCCCAAATGTGGATATTATTGAGATTGGGAAAAATTGTTGGAGCAATGCCAGAATTTTACTTGTTTCAACCCTAAAATACTGTCTTTTATAAATCATCGCTTTCATTTTGAATCCAGCCACAGTTCAGTTTAATTTTATGCATCATTTAAAAACTTTTTTGGTGTCCTGTGTTTTAATGCTAGCATCGCAGTTACATCATCCATACAGCCGTGCTATAGCCCAGATTTAATGCATGAATATTTACGATTAGCTAGCTGTGTAATGCATTGTGATTCTTATTATCAACCTTATTCTGACCATCCTTTTTTTTATTTATTTAAGTCTCTTTTTGCTTTGCAGACCAAACTTTGCATTACATCTCACATCAGTCTGACCATTGACCTGTTGATACGAACCAAAAGAACTTTTTCCACTGAAATCAGTAAAAGAATAATGAGATTTGTTTTTAGACTTACTGAAAAGATTACCCAAAATTATTTGACTTTTTTTTATTTTTGTGACAAGAAAAATTTTTGACTATGAATGACAGGTCTGTTGTTACAAAATTCAATTCAGTGTTTATTGGTCAGGGATATCCTATTCTTCGGATTACATCTTCTTAAAGGAGGAGATAGGGAGAGTGTCAGAACAAAATGAGCCAAAGAGCAAAATGAAACAGGGAGTTTTGATTTAAGTCTCCTCAGCATCTAACGAAATGACCACCTTAGTCAGAAAATACTGGTGTGCTAAAAGGAACATCAGGGTTACTTGAGAGGAAGATCAAAGATTGTTAAAACTTGTCTAAAAGATCAATAAGATTGGTGAAAAGTCGAATTAGTTTCATAACGTTCTGTGTATGTTTAAAAGTTCTTGCAGTGTTACAAAAAGTCAAACCAAAGTAAAGTTTGAGCACTTCCAAAAACTTTCGTCTTCCAGAGCTGATCAGCTTTGAGCTTTTCTCAGGCTGCCGTCTATCTTTAAAGGTAAAATTGCACAGAAGAGTTGCATGGATTGCTGTTTAATGAATAGTAATGAAATGAAGATCATAAGTGCGAGAGTATCCTATTGTTGATGCTATAAACCATCCAATAATAATTAAACATTAAACAAATTTGGACATTCAAACTTAGCTCAATTAACTTCTTACAATTAACTTTGACAGCTTTATGTTGACTTATTGGTATACATTTAATAAACCACCCATTTGCCACAGAGCTCTCATTTTAAATATGTCTTCAAATTTGGTGTTAAAAGTGCATCTTTTAGGTTGTAAACAAAACTCTAGCCAACATTTTCTTTAATAACATATTCTGCACTAAAGGGTCCACTAAAGGATTTATCTTAACTTGTTCAAATGTGTAATGTAATGGTGTTACGGTCAGAACAGCAGCAGTAACAGGGACAAAAGGTCAAAGGTCAGAATCACTTTTATTCCATCTTTAAGTTGCTGTGGGACTTTAACAGCTTCCTAACAGGTGAAACATGGGACCTGTGTGGGATTACATTTTAAAGCGATTTCCTCCCCAATCATAAAGTTTGACCAAATAATCCAATCACAAACCCAGATCATTTCTTCATTTCTGTGTCTTATTTTCTTTCTTTTTTTACCATTTTTCTTTCATGCTCGTCATACAGTAACCAAAAATCAAATGATGCATTTTTTTATTTTCTACATTTGGTTGTACCAGAAAAAGAGAAGTGACTGAAAACTTGTGGTGTGGAATAAAAACGATGATCAAACATGAAGGAGATATTTGAAGAATTAATGTTGTTCCACTCAATGTATAAAAGAAGAAAAAAATCAATAAAGAAATCACAATGGTCTTATCCATGTACAACTTCTCCTCCTGTTTACTTAAAGTCAACGTAACCAAAGCACCAAAACAGACACTCTGTAGACACACAATTAAACTTGTTTGCGTTGACGTAAAGACATGCACAGAGTAGGTATAGTACATTGTTTATGCTTTATCTGACAACAGTTAAGTACCATGAACAGTGTAATTGTCGTATAAGAGCAATATGAGATTGGACATACTACTACTAAAATCCAGTAGGTCAGCACTGTGGATGTTATTGAGCAATCCCCAGATGGTTTTATGATCCACTTGTTCACATCTATAGACTGCAAGTGCATGGTCGTTGACCATTAGTTTCACAGGAGGGTTTTGAAGCCCAATGTTGGCAGCAGCTATGTATTAAAACCATAGACTATATATGCTATGGACAACTTGGTTCTGCCTTCCGCCAGTATACGGATTTGAAGCCGAAAAGCTCTCAGTATTTTCGGGTTGTTTTTGTTTTTGTTGTTTTGTCACATTGTCAGTGTGCAGAAATTAGTTCAAACTCTTTTACTAGACTAATTAGATATGATGTGCCATGGATGGTGCGATTTAGAGATCCAGTCTGAATAATTTGAATGAAAAAGAACATTTATTTAATTGACCTTAAAAAGTTTCTTTATTGTAATCAGCAAACCAGCTCTACAGCAGAGATTTTCAAAGTTTTATCTGATCCAAGATTTTCCAAGTCATCATTTTACCTCCCTCATTTTTCCTCCCCTCTTTCAACTCTTACAATCATCCATCCATCTATTTCTCTGTTTCTCTCTGTCTGGCTTTAATGACTCTATCTCGTCTCCTGTCTCTTTCCACATCTCTTGTCTTTCTGTCTTTCCTTTCTTCTCTCTCTGCCACTCTTCTTCTTCTGTTTTCTGTCTATATAATCATCCCAGTATCCATCTCCCCTCATCAATCCACCTCCTCACTTCTCCACCTCCTTCTCTCCAGTTTTAATCACCCCATCTCACCCTCCTACTCCTCTTCCTCCCTCTGTTGCCAGGGAAACAGCAGTCCATTCTGCGGCTGTTAATCTGGTGACATTGTCTTTCTATTACCTGCGGGTCAGATGCCTGATAAGGAGGACAAAGGGTGGGAAACTGGAGAGGGACTCACTCTAAACGTTTGTAAAATGTTCATCTTTATTAAGACATGTGACAGAGAAGCCTGCAGGAAGTCTCCGTCTCTGTGTAAGCGAACGTTATTCCAACATGTGGGCTGAAAACTAGCTGCTTTCATGTCTTTATGACACTCATAACGTTCAGTTTTTAGTTGACACCATCTGACAAGACCTGGCTCAACCCTGAGGCCATTTTGGAAACCGCTGTTGTGCATTTGATTTGTCTTTAGTATTAGATTTATCCTCTGTAGCCCTTCACACAAACAGACTCAAACACTGTCGAGGCTGCTTCAGGTTTAAACAAGGCCAACACCTTCCAAATTGCTCAACAACTGGAACCTAAGCAACAACAAAGTTACACAATTTTTATCCCCTTTAGTAAGAGAAGCACAGTGATGTTTTAAGTTTGATGATGTTGAAGTTTTCTGTAGTCCTTTTTAATGCAACAGCACCACACAAAGCTTCACTGTTACTATGTCTTGTAACCTGCACCGTATAAACAGTATGACTCTCACATTGCAGGCAAAAGTGTCCCAATTCTATTTTTTCTACTTATATGTAATTAAAAACTGACTTCTTTTGAGCAATAAGAAAATCAAGAGTTATAAGAGATCAGCCATCTTACTACAGGCTGCTAAATCAGGTACAGGTGGGTCCCTGTGCAACGCAGCCTGAACATTCACATGCAACTGTGACGTCACAGTTCTGAGTCACTTGCATTCAAAAGGCTATCATTCACGTCACATTCACGTCCTCTTCCCTCTCCTCTCTTTCTCTATCATCTTCACATCAGTGTTGTAGAAGAGCTCAAATGTTCAAGTGTGAGTCAGTCCAAGCCATTAAAGACAATTACATGATGCACCATGGTTAAGAGGACCCAAATCTAGATCTGCTACACTGCAAATAGTGTATTTTTGAACCTGAACTGACTGTGGAGAAGTCTTTGGATGTGAGAAGAAAACCTTTTCTTTATCAAAACTAGGTTTTGACTGATCCTGTCAGCAGACCTGGAGACTTCCCACTGTGCGTGCTCATTCCAATGCACTTTGGTCCTGAAACATGCAGAAACAGACACATGCTCACGACTATTCCACCTGAAAAAATAAGAGAACTAGTGTTTGAAGCCTACTTTTCTTTACAGTTTTTTTTTCTTTATTGACATTGGTTAATACATTTGTCCACAGATTTCCACCATATGTACAATGTGCAACAAGTGTAAATGTCCATAGTGTCTCTCTTAATCTAACATAGAAGTCACACATTGTTTTTACTGTGCATTGGGATTGTTTCTGGAACTATAACACAAGGAATGCACTGTGTTGGCTAATATAAACATGTATTTTGTGAGTGGAGGCTGTACACTAACCCAACCAACATAATTCAGGAAGAGCCTCACATGTTTTGATAGGCTGATGTGCATATATATCAGGGCTGGGTATACTAACAAGCCTGCATGGCTCATCTCTGGAAAAATCCAAACAGATGAAGTTGACTGTATCAGCTTTATTATTGGATTTGGACGTTATTTGTTTGTGAATGTAATCTTCACAAAACTGTGAAAAAAATATACACAATATAAAAAAAATATACAGAGTGGGAAACAAGCAACAGGTGAGGCAAACGAGCAACAGGTGAGGTTAACGAGACACAGGTGGATATCATGGGTGATTAACGAAGGAGGGAACTAGGGAAGTAAAACCAGACTAGAAACACAAGGAATCAACTACTACAAAATAAAACAGGAAACACTGAAAACTGATCTAAAGAATAAAACACTGAGAACAGGAGGAACACAGGGTCAAACACAAACTGAAAACTCATAAGACTGGACTACAGGGGAACAGAAACAGAAAATACACTCAAATAACAAAAAAAACAGTGAAAAACTAAATTAACAGAACATATCATGATATCTTTGTAAGTCTGCCTCCTAATTCCTTCTTTTGTCCCCTCCTCCCTGCAGACTGAATTTACCTGCTTCACTCCACTTTCTTCTCTCATCTCTTCCCTCATCTTTCCACTCTCCAAATTTTATTTTCCCAAATGTCTCCATGAAATCCCTCCTTTCTTTTCTTCTCTCTCTCTGCAGAAATCAATGGTCGTTCTCTCAATAGGAGGTCACGGGGTTGCAGGCTCTGGCGTCCCGGCTTTTCAATTACTAGCAGCCTGCAGTCACCATAACAAACGCTCACACCTTTCGTCCTGAGTAGCCCTTCCCCCACTGAGCTGAGAAGAGAGATCTCAAAATTTAAAAAGCGACAGTTTGGATGCTGGAAAAAGGGGTAAAAGAGGCACAAATAAGGAGAGATCTTAAAGAGCAGGTTGTTCTCCTGTGAAATCCAAATCTGGGGTCTGAGGGAGTCTGCAGAAAGTCCTCTTTAGTCCCTCGTGTGCAGAATGAACTGAGGGTTTGTACAGTCCTCATCTCTCCAAGACTTCAAGTGAACATTCCTGAAGATTCTCAGAGTCAGGTGACTTGTATTCAGTCACAATCAGTCTTTCTGTTGGTTCAAATTGTCACATTAATCTGTAAAATATTGTCCCTTTCAGTGTAGTCTCCTCTGATGAGTCTGTTAAGATGCTGCTCAAGAAATTTACATCTTAGCTTTGACTGTCAAATTCCGGTACTGTCCAGATGCTTTGAAAGTTTTCTGAAGTGGTATTCACACAAATATTAACAAATTTTCTGGGCTAGCCTCACACGTGAAAAAAGATTTTTTTCACCCTAATTTTACCCTTAATTCCTTTCCTGCCAGCATGGCAGGGCGAGCCAATGAGGGACAACAGTGAGAAGTACAGTGTGAACAAGCAGGTGCAGGAGATTGCATTGATATCATGAAACCTAAAGAGCCATATGTAACAAGGTTAGAATGGAAATTGAAAAGATTTCATCCATACTGATGCTATTATTGATTGTGCTTCTGGATCTGATTCTTTATCAATATCCTGATCAATTCCTGTGGATTATTTGTATTGTGGAAACTAGGCCCGTACCAGTTTTTTGTCTCAACAACACATATTTTGGTGGGAGTTTCAAGACTTCTACTGGGCTTCTAATTGGGCCTGTTGAATAAAGATACAGCCTCTGATTGGTTGATTTACCTTGACAAAGATGATGGCCTTCCACTAGCATAGTCTGCTAATGACAGAAAGCACAAATTCATACATATATCAGATTGTTTCCAGGCACTCCGATCAGAATAGCAACTGGATGTCATGGAAACACAGTCTTTCACTGATCTTATGGAGCATTTGGTGCTCTGGATGGATCAATACAAAATTAAAGTTTTGTTAAGTAAAAGGTTTGTGCAAATTTTCCAAATCTAGTGTCACATCCATGCACAAACCAGCAGCTTGACTGAGATATCAGCTCTGATGCAGGAATGAAATTTGAGGAGTTCATACACAGATAATAAACCGCGATTTTAAATATGAAATATTAAATATTAGGACTCTGAAAGTATCATTATTATGATTTTTGGTCCATTATCTCTGTCGCTGTAACCATACAACTGTTTGCACTATTGTTGTTATGGTTTTCAATCACTCTCAGTCCCTCTCTTTCTGCATCTCCCTCTATCCTTCCTTCCTTCCTTCCTAAAAGTAGGAAGGAAGGAAGAGAAGAGGTAAGAGATGAAAGGAGAAAAGGAGGTCAGGAAGGTGGACAAGACAAAAGAGAAGGTAAGGAGAAAATGAAATGAAAGGAGAGATTGTAGCTGGCTCAGATGCAGGGAGGGGGGGGGGAGGGAGGAGAGAGAGAGGGGGAGGAGGCGCCCAGCCCGGCGCCCTCAGGGGTTATTGGGTCGTGGACAGCCAATCTCTCTCAGCTTAATCAACAGCAGCAGAGGTGATTGCAACACCGCGGGGGACTGCTGGGAAAAAAGATGGAGGGAAAGGGGGCGGGATAGGTGGAGAAGGGGGGGAGAACAAGGTAGGAATGAATGGGAAAGGGTGGAGGGGGGAGGAGGAGGAAGATGAGGAGAAGATTGGAAAAGGAGGAAAAATGGGGGTGAGGATGGAGAGCGTAGGGGAGACCGCAGATTGGAAAAGATAAGAGGAAGAGAGAAAGGTGAGGAGAGGAGAAAAGAGAGAGAGAGGAGGAGGAAGAAAGGGGAAAATTACTTGACAAAGGGAGGAGAAAAGGGGTGGAGGGAATAAGGAGAAAGATGGGCAGAGGGGAGAAAAAGGGGGGAGTGTTAAGAGAAAAGGGAGCATCAGAGTGATGACTGTTTTGAGGGGACATGAATGTGTGGACCAAATTTCATGTCAGAGCGGTGGGAGTTGTTAAGATGCTCTCCTGAAAAATCTCAAACATCAGCACAAGAGTGGCCTTAGATGAAAAAACAGGGCCTCAAACAATCAGCTGGATGTATGAAATCACTGTGTGCACAGGTTTTTCTTCCTGTCAGCTCAGAACATGGGGAAATATTTCACTGGATATGTGTTGAATCTGACCTGCTACAGGTAGCAGAGTCGGGGAAAAACTATGAATATATATATATATATAAACAAACAAACAGGGATGAACCCAAAATATAATCCTAAACTTGCTCTGATTACATGGAGTAGGTTGGCTTTGTGAGCTTTCCTGCAGACAGTCAGTAGGAGGGGCTGTAGATGTTTTGGCAAAGCAACCTCCAGCGTTAAAAAGTGAAGAAGAAAAAGTTACGTTTAATTGTGAGTTGTCAGATAATGCCAACACCTTGCTGTCCAAGTTTGGTTTAACAAGGTGCATAAGTTCACAACAACTGCAGGATTCAAGGAAAGGTTGGCAGCATACTGTACTGTGATATACCGCCCTGCTGTGGTGTTTTTTAGTCATTTTTAATGCTGCTAAATCAGGTAGCCCTGCCCTGAAGCATTCCCTATTTTTATGCCTTTTTGACTGAAGAGCGCCATAATTTGCATCATCACGAAGTATGAACATAGACTGTATGTGTCAGCCTTCTCACTGGGTGAAGCCACTGCAGGAACAGCACCCTCTTGTGATGGGCTGCAGTATAGGTCCTAAAACCCCGCCTCCTCCAGCAATCCCTATGGAGCTGTGGACAAACTTTAGAAATTAACTACAAAGAATATAATTTTTTCTCCTCCCTGGTTGCGACGTTGAAATGTAGTTACAGTAAGACTGGTTTGTGCTCAAGTCCTCTTTTTTTCTGTACAACTCCATTTTTAAAAGTTATTAGGGGATTCGTGTTTTCTATGATTGACACTTGACCTATGGGAAGGTTGCTTAGCTCATCCGGGTGATACGCTGTTTGAGCCGAGCGTCATCACAGCGACTCTGAATGTGTACAATGCTATAACGCAAGTGGTGGTTCAAGGAAGTGGAGAAAATCCCAGAAATCCTGAGAGCAATTCGGCTGAAGTTCGTATAATGACGAAAGATGGAACATAGTTGTCCATAGTATATACAGTGTAAGAGTATGAATGAAGACTGAAACAGTAGACAAAGACCATCATTTTACAGGAAAAATTTTTTCTGCAAAAATAAACTAAGAAGAAGACAATGGAGTCGCCCCCTTCAGGAAACTGGAAATAATGCAGGTCTCAGGTCACATATGAAACTTACGGGTAAAGTCCATTTCTACGATATCACAGAGAATACTTTAAAGAATCACTCAGACACGTCTGGTTTCAGCTCTTGCAAATAGTCGAGTTTTATTCTATTTTGAAGGAAGACTGGTTGCTATGTGTGATCACACTGTAAATACTGTGACTCTCAAACATAAAAAAACAGAGGTCAAAGAGTGAAGAGAGATGTTTGTGTGTTAAAACATAAATAAATAAATTCAACAACAAAATGAACGTAAGCTTGAACATCTCTGTTATATGTACAAAGTGTGTGCAATCCGTTGCCAACCTAACACACACACACACATACACACACACACATAGCAGGAACTCTACAAATACTTGTAGAAACGGACACACTGGGGACATTTCAAATAAATTAACAAACATGTTTGTAAAGGAAAAACCCACCCAGCTTAGATGTTAGCATGTTTTCCTGCTGTGAGATAAAAGTTCAGCCATCTCTGCGCTCATTTTGATTTTACCGAAGGGACTGTTTTGTTCTTGGATGTTTCACTTTTTCACAATTACACAGATAATCAGTTTAAAGGTTTTATAGAAGTTTGTTTCGGCTAATTGTGCTCAAAATCTAAGAGACCAGAGAGCACAAAGAAACAACATCCTAATCGCTATAATTGGCATCAAAACCATCCCTTTTCAAAAGTGATGTTGTTTATGGTGAGGAAGAAAGCACCAGCTTCAAATGACCGTTTGGCATTTCAGCTATCATAATCTTGGTTTCTGGAGGCCAAAAGTGATCGGATCTTGGTAGATGGTTAAGGCTGGAGAGGAGCGAATGGTTTGCTAACATGTTCAATAATTCAATGAAAAGTTTGTCTGCATCTTCCACTATAGGGACAGCTATTTGTAGTGTTACCTGTCTTTTTATGCTAGAGCAAAGAGGAGAACATGGCAACGAAACCACCAGAGGAAGAACGAGCTTCAACAGAATTTACAGACTTCAGCTAGCCTTAAATCTAGTCAGCTAGCTCATACATAAATCAGACACATCAGTCAGGACCCTCTTTTCCTGGATTTTAACACATACACACACAGACACACACACGCACAGGGCGTCCAATGGCTCAGATCACAGCAGGCACATGCAGAATCAGAGAACTGGAGGATTTTTCCCGTCAGCTTTTGGTTAAGCACGTAAAATAAATGAACACAAAGACATACAAGTCCAGTTTTTGTTGTTAGCCACTGTAAAAGGCACATTATGTTTTAACATAGCAAAAAGAGAAGAGTGGGAGTGAGATCAGAGGATCTATGGTCAAGTTATAAACCATAAATAAGGATCCAGGATATTTACACATTGTTAGGGAGTCTCGTCCAAGTGGACTCGTCACCAGACTGGATCAATCCTGTGAACTCGAAGCATTTTCCTGGAGGTGTAGCACCTGACTGTGAAACTCAATGAAGCATTCAAACAGATTTTTCACATTAAATTACTGTAATGTGGTCAGAGGGGTTAAAGTGTAGGGAAGAGATACAAACTGTAAGATTGAAGCGAACAGAAAAGAAAGAAAGAAATGACTTGCTACTACTGATGGTTTTGAGGGATAAGTCCAGCATGATTGACTCTTCAATGCTACCTACACTCTGAGAGAAGTGCATCAACAGGGACGGGGATCTCTACTATACACTGATACGGTTTAAATAACTCAATGAGAGGGTTTACATGGACTTGAATATCCCAGTTATGAACCTGATCCAGGTTTTGATCATAATCTGGATTTGGTGAAACCTGCTCTCCTGTTTTTTCCACCACAAACTGAGGAAATCTGAAAACTATCAGACCACTGTGGTTTGTTGTGTTTATGTGACAAAGACAAAACTGAAGGGCATTCTCTCTGTAATTTTATTTGATGATATACATTATTAAATATTTTTTAGGGTGTTAGTTTTCCAAACAATCAGTTGTTTTTGTGAAGCCTCTTTTTGCTTTTATTCCAGTTAGCGAAACTGTTTAAGACATTTTAGTTTCATGATTTTGTTAGTTTTAGTTCACAGAGATAACCTTCGATGTTCCTGTTGCTGCCGCCATGTTTCATGTCACATAACTAAAGCTGTAGGTTGTCAGCAGCTGTCAGAAACAAGGATCAGACATATACAAGCCACAGGATCCTATCCAAGTAGCAAAATCAGGTTTCTCAAAACCAAGATCAGCGCTTATCCTGGATTTTACAATCAAGATATGATGGTCCCTGACAAAAGCAGGGATTAATCAACCTGATCAGAACCAGGGTTCTCAAGTCCATGTAATGAAACAGAGAAAGCCTCAGACTGATAGATGGTGAATGTTTCAGGAGGGAAAAAGCCAAAGAGAGGAGTATAAAAATGAACATGTTACTGTCTTTTTAAACAAACATTTTTCTCCTAGCTTGTAAACTATCCGACGACACCTGTTCCTCTAGTTTTACTGTCGCAGTTGCAGACGTTCTCAAAGCTCCAAACGGAACTGATGTAAAAAAGATCGAAACAATTACTCACACTTTTGATTTCACCTAAATCTCAGCGCTGAGAAACAGCAAAGTAGCCGTGCAATTGCCTTTCTCCCCTCACTGGTACCAAGCTATTAAGCAGCAGCAGCAGCATTTAAAGGGGCACGAACCTCCTCCAATCACATTGCAGGGATTGCAGCAGGATGGGCAGTCAATGGCTGGTAGGCCAATTGTGGGAAGTGACAGGTGGGAAGGCTGAAGGGAAGGGAGACCATCAACCAACCAGACCCTCCCTGTGTGATTACTATCAGAGCCGACTGTTGTTCAATTAGCACCAGCAAGAGGAGCAACAGGGTCTCCGTGGGGTTTAGCAGGGGCTCTGTGAATGGAATGTAAGCGAGGGAGCCATGTTTAAAAATCCAACTAGTGCAAAGCGTTTCCCTTCCTGTAGCTTTGATTTGATGTGGGGAGTTACTGCAGAGCTCAACAGTTTCTGCAAATCCTGAAACAGACATTTAGTTTGATCGGGGAGATAATGTGTATTTACGATTCCCGAGTTTTTCAAGATGGGCAGTGTGAACAAAATGAAACAAAGTGATGTTTGTAATATCGGTGTAACGCCAACTTGAAGCTGAGTTTGGACCCAAAAGAGGAGCAAATGTTTGCAATGGGTTACATCTACCCTTCCAGGCATGTCTGAAAACAAAACGCTGTTGTCTTGGAATAATATCAATCACAGCCACTTGAGCCCACTTTAAAGGGTCTGTTTTATACAGCTACAGCAGTATGAATCTAAATTCAAGATTTTGACAAAAGGGGATGTCTGCACTTCAGCTAAAAACGATTGCAAACCAGTGTGTCTTGGACAGAAAATCACAGCAAAAAGGAGAAAAATCGTGGAGTACACAGTCAATTCAGCGATTTTAATACAGAGCAAATAGGATGACACATATTCCTGCTCCACTTGAAAAGCGCTGAATTGACCGATTACTCTAGGATTTTTCTATTTTTTTGCTTAAGACTTTACTTGGTTCTAATGGGGAATCGAAGCTTGAAAGGTTGCCAAGATAACAAGGCAAAGATGCACATGTGTAAAACGTCTGGGCTCATGCTTTTGAAATCTTTTTCCAAAGAGGCAAAAAAATCTGAATCTTTTTTTTTTGGGTTCAGTTTGGAAGTGACAAAGTCTGATGGCACTTTAGGATGTAAGAAGACACCAGCTGATCGTTTCAAGATGCACAAGGCCAATATTTGAACTGCCAACTTGAACAATTCCCACACCGTATTTGAGTTTCGCTACCTTCTTTTGGTCTGAACACTCTTTATATTGTCCAAAATAGCTCCTTATTTAAGTCTATACTCCTCCCTGCTTTCATAGAGGTAGGCCTATGTTCACATGTATTTGCAAAAACTACTCGGCCAGCTCTGCGTGGGATTCTTTCTGGGGAAACTTTGTGCGCTTATTTGTGTCTCAGTCTTCTACTTCACTGGAGAAGGCCTTAAGTGTGTGTGTGTGTGAGAGCATGTTTCTGTGAGAGCGTCTGAGTTTCCTATGAGAGCGTCTGGTTGGCGAAGAAGGCCTTGGTCTCTCCACAGGTGGGGTTGGTGCACAGCGGGCAGCGGAGAGTCAGCTGGCGGGAACATGGTTGATTGGACTTCAGGTGCGACTGGACCAGGTCTGCAAGAGCCTGGAGGACAGGAGGAGGGACACGTATGTAATTAGTAATGAGACAGAGATGATGGCTTTGAACACCTGAGTCTGTTTCTGTCGGGTCTGTTAAATTCTGTAATTAGAACTATTATGGTAACTACTGTATATCTATTTGTTATTACTGAAACTCCTTATTCATCAACAGCAACATTTACTGTATATTCATATGTTTGGACCTATAATGAGTGTACATAATAGAGCTGTATTTAGTCCTACAACAATGGCCAAAAACAACCCTAATTTTTCAGGATGGGCTGTATGAACAGACTTCTTCCTGCCAACAACCTTCTTAAATTTATATGTCAAGTCGGGGGGACCGTGTGTAAGATTATACCAGAAATGCAGAGAGAGAGGGCAAGGTTAGGATTTACATTTCATGCCTAAAAACATCTGAGAATCACTTTCAAGAAGAGAGCAGTGAAGACATTTACTTTGTATACTGTCATATTTGCAACATTGCAAACATCAGCAGTGAACATCTGCTGTCATGTACCCAAGACTAATCTCTCCCTCCCCACCACCCTTGTCGCCTAATAGGGAAACTCAAACAAAAAAAGTTTTCCTTGTTAAAAAAAATTATCTTTTAAGACACACAGGTACTAATGAGAAAAAGGCTTCTGTTTCACAGTTACCGCATACTTAAAAATCCTTAAAATTGGTCAGCAGAGGTGTTTTTTTTATGTAAATTGTCCCATATAGGGCTGGGCGATATGGCCTCAAATCAATAACACAATATATTGAGCAGTTCACCTTGATAACAATAAATGGACGATAACTTCGTCTACTTCAGCTGCCGCTCCAGCCGCTACAACTTTTGAACCGTCCTCCATCTCCTCACCTGTCTTTCCCTCTTTGTAACGGACTGGATGGGGTCGAGTCACATCTCTGATGTAGGACAGCGTCTTAAAGGGACATGAGACCATAGCCTATCTATAAACATCCGAAACCAACTTTTATTTATTACGATTATTTATTTGGTTATTGTCATAAATGTCAGTGTCGAAAATGTGGGGTTTATCGCCCAGCCCTAGTTCATGATATGTTAGGATTGACTTTCTTTTATCACTGATCCTCCTGACAGATTTAAGATATAATTAACAACAGACCACGATTAGTTTCTCTGCTAACTGACATCTGATAATACTTATTTGATATCACCTGTGGATAAAAAATACATTATGTTTATTTGAAGATGTACTAATTGATTTGTATGTTTATGCTGAGTTTGATAACACTCAGTTTGAGAAATGTGTCTTGTCCATTTAAACTCACTTTTTAAACAGACGAGGGTTTGACTCACATGAATCACAATGAATCAAAATAAAGTGCAAGACATCTGGGCGAGGACTTGATCTGATTGTGTAAATTGATTACTTCATCACAGATTTATCAGAAGAAGGAGCCTGAAGAACATTTGCAGCTCCGCAGTAAAAATTATGATGAATGTATTTTTTCCTTTCGGCTTGCAGACGGCAGCAGACTGATGCAGCTCAGTGAGAAACTAAAACTACACCGAGGAAACCATCCTTCAGTAACTACCAACTAATCATCCTCTGATATTGATTTGTACACACACGCTCACACTCACACACACGCACACACACACACTCATGCGCACTCTCAGAGACCTGGCGAGGGGTCTCTGAGCGCTGCGGTTTGACCAGCCAGCCAGCCGGGCGGTTCAGTTCTACTGTAGTCAGCTCTAAAGGTTCCCATTGATCTGCCCCCTTCCTTTAATAAACCCTGCACACACACACACACACTCACTCACACACACACACACACATAAATACACACACAGGGCTGTTACAGCTGGAGGAGTTGCCTGTTGTATGAAAGGTTGTGGGGTTGAGGATGAAGAGAAGGAAGTGGTGGAATGGGCAAAAAGAAGAAATGGAAGTATGAAAGGACACGAGGGAGAGACAAAGGCAAGGAAAGGAGGAATGAACAAAGGAAGAAAAGAAGGAAGAAATAAGAAAAGGGGGTATTTGTATATTGACCGCTATCTGCCTTGAAACGTACCCCTCCTCTTTTTCCCAACTATTTCCTTCTGATAGATTTTTTTTCCTCCAGTTATTCATGAAATTTACTGTATTCCCTTTTTTAAAATAAGTCTTTTCTCACCTTCATTATAAGTGATCATAAAAACCTAAATCCATGAACTACTTTATAACATCCAAGTTTTAAAAAGGACTTAAAAAGAAACATAACAGGCAGGTTAAAAATATGAGATTTATGATTCAGCTCAGTGTGTGTGTGTGTGTGTGATACTTACCCTCATAAAAAGAGGGTTTCCATTCAGCGACTCTGCTCTCCTCAGGTTCTCAGCTCCGCACTGAAAACAGAGGGACAGAAGAAGCACAAGAGTCAAACATTTTCACACTCTAAAACCAAAAACACGTAAACTGACACCATTAGACGAGGAGCAGAAAGAGTCTGGAGAATTCATTTGCAAACTAAATAACAGAAATATTAAACTTTGATGCATAATTCCAACAGTCACCCTGAAGTTTAAGAAAAAAAAAGTGTAGTTCTGTACGTCATACCAATATGCAAAATAAAGACATACAGTGCTGTAGAAGGAAATAAAAATCGTGCAAAATGAAGACCATGAACTCAATCCACAGAGCGCTTTTATGCCTCTGAGCCCAGCCAACTCTCCTATCTGGAGATTCAAAGGCCTCTCCACACGCAGACAGAGTCATGTGACACATTTAACACTAAACAGCTCAGACAGAATCTATCAGAGCAGCCTGAGGGCTTTTTCCTCCTCACCTCCTCCCCAAGCACCTGTCCATACTCGATGTCCAGCTCGTGTAAAGTCTCTATATGGTCGGAGGTGAAGGCGATGGGCACCAGCAGGATGTTCTTCTTTCCCCGTTCACAAAGACCTTTGATCACATCGTCTGTCTGGGGGCCGAGCCACGCCATGGGGCCCACCTGAACAGCCAAACACAGCACATGATATCAGTTTAGGTCCAGTGTGGTGAACATGACACAACAGGTTGTCTGAATCCAAATCTGGACCCCTACTGCTCAGATTTCTCTGAGGATTCCTGTTGATGGTCACAATTCCTCAAAATCGTCCCCTTTTCATTCTGACCGGCTTTGCTCCACCAGCAGCTGTGTGACAGGAGACGAGGAGCTCCAAGGTTTCCAGATGTGTTACAGCTCAGTCATTATAAGACAGACAAGTGGCTCCATCTAGTGGTCACAGTGGGTAAAGCAGCCCTGAACCCCACTGGGATCCCACTGGCTAAAGGAAACTGTTCTGTAAACTGTTTAGAGATTTAGTTACACAGTTCAACAAACTATGAAAAAGAGTTTTCCCGTCTCTGTATTAAACGAATCCTGCAGAGGTTTTAAGTTGACTGAAGTGCTGTCGAAACTCGAAATTGTGAATAATTTAAAACTTAACCACAAAAAGAATCAAAGTAAACAATATCACCTCATGCAATAAAATACCAGGAGCTGGACTTCAGATGTCCAGTTAAGTCAGGACAGTCCCCAAGAAACACGGAAGATTGATTTTCTGGGGTGTCAAACTCTTTTCTGATCATGAATTCATGTGTGTGCCAGTAGATATCTGAGGTTATGATTGGCAAAGGGCCAAATCAGAGAGTGTCGAGCAGCACACAGCTCAGAATTAACCCATACGTTATGCTGAGGTGCAGGAATATGTGCATCCTGAGAGCAATTCTGTTTCAGAAATTGAACAGTTTAATCAGATTGGATGAACTCGAGCCTCCTGAAACTTGGGCCATAATTTTCTACATTTTGTTGGTTTCTCATGCACAGATTTCTCTTTTCTTCATTATTTTATTATTTTTTATTTACTGTATTTTCTTGTATATTTTGCACTATTTCACATCAAGAATTCAGCTCATCCAGATTCGCCGATAAACCGCTGCCTACGAGTTCATCAAAACACGTTTAACAAATGTGTTATATAGGATCATTTGATTCAATGCTGTTACTTTAAGGGCTCCAAACATGTTGTCCATATTAATAAGACACTTATGAAATAAAGAATTAAAGAAAGTACAACTTTATTCAATGATACATAGAGTGAGTTCTTTATGAACTTTTATAATTGAGATATAATGTTTAATTAGGTCCAGAATTCAAAAGACACTGTATTTTCTTTATGTTCAGGTATATCATTATACATGCTTAGCGTTCACTGCTTATAATACTTCATTGGCGTTGCTATAGACAGAATGATAATCGCAACAGTCCTGAAGTTACTATTCAGTTTAAGTAAACAGCCACTAGATGGCCCCAATGGTTTATTAATAAGGCTGCAGTAACAGTTCAAAGTCTGTACTTTTGTGTGTATTTGTATCGTGCGAAGCTGGCCTGTGTACTCACCCGGGACTGCCACACTAGTCTGTAGGGGTTACAGTGTCCCAGTCTCTCCATGACTCTCTGAACTGTAGCTCCAACTTCCTGAGGATACGGGTCTCCTCTGTTTACAACCTGCACACAGAACACAGCAGCGGGACTTAAAGTCGTACCACGAAACTTCAGTAGAAGGAAAAGCATGTGTGAAACTAGCAGGAGGAAGAAGGAGAGGGGAAAAGAAAATTATGCAGCAGGAGCGGCAGCGGTGCACTGATTTTTAGAAGAGTGGTTGTGGCGTAAGTATAGCAGAGACACTCACAATTATTGTTTCGAACTTGCACACACAGCTTTTTTAATCAGGTTCAGCTAAACACGTTTGGTCAATAGATATCAGGGTGGTATTTTAAGGTTAATTTGTTTAATTTAACGCATACAAACTGGCTAAAGATGCTGTATGCTCTCACTGTCCTGATACACACAGACAACAGCAGAACTCTCACTTAATCTTTGCAGCGATTCAACTTTAACTGCTTTAATTTCAGTCATAAAACAGCTGATTGATTGATTGAAAGTTGTGATTTAACAAGAGCAAGGTGGTCCACAAGAAGTTACTGAAGGTGAATTAAAATGTTTGTCGGGTTGATAATGTCACTCAGCTCTCCTTCCTCTTGTCCGATATTTATCCACATGGTAATTTAAAAAACAGTTTAAACCAGTGAACATGGCTTGAGAACATCTTCTGTCATGCTGATCAGTTGTTGACATGCTGTTTTTCTTGGAAGTGGGAAGAGTGGGCTCATGTATCCTGTTATGTCCTGGTTTCTGTGTTGTGTGTTCTGTATCCATTATGTCAGGGGAAACACATTTGTTACAGTGAATGCCGGGGGAAAAATCTAATTTTCTCACAAGTGGATAAATTGTGAATATTTCCTGCGATCAATCTCAGAGACAGTTGCTCCGTCTGTTTACACACAGCTTTTACATAAACGTACATTTTCATTATGGCATCAAGTCGTGTTATTTTGTTCACTATCTTGCTGAAAACATCTCGCTGCGCTTTTGATATCATGTCCTTCATCCTGCACCTCACCCCCTCCCCCTCACCGGGAGCACCTGGGTAAAGATGGCTCTTACACAAGGACAAGTCATACTTCACGGTACTTACAGCCATTGGGAGCGAGTGTGCCGAGAACAGAATGACCACGTCGTCTCTTTTGTCTTCTGGAAACTTCAGCAGCTCGTTGCTGACGTGCTCTGCGAAACACTGCGCACAGACGCAAACACACAGAGTTGTTAGATTTCAAAGAGTTTCTTATTTTCTGTCTCTTCACCATGAGGAAAACATGCTCAACCTAAAAATACTGCCATACTTCTCGGTTGCTATAATAACTAACCATGGCAACTTTGAGCTCATTAGTTTCCATGACAACTTCTTGTCCCCATCAATTTATTTGATAAGACCTGCGCTCTTGTTCCCTTTTCTGGTCGAAGGAGCCTGATGGGGGGCTTTGGGTTTATTGTGTGTGTCTGTGTGTGTGTCTAACCTCCACCAGCAGAGGGTGTGTAGGCCATCGGTCGATGACACTCCAGTTCATTTTCGGCCTCTCGCCTCTGTTGCTGTAGTAACGGTAGATGGCGTTCAGACTGCTGCCTGTGTTGACACACAATCAAACGCAGTTGTACGATAAATGTCTAAGAGTAACAAACAGCCACGGTGCTCTGTTGATCAGTGAGGGGCCCTGATAGGAGAAACAGTCAAACAGGGAGAAGCTGTGTCTGCATTTGGAACTGCTCCAGACATTCACATACATCGTGATAACAAGCCTGCAGAGTCAGATCCTCTACTCTTATTGTTTTAACTCCTTTACAAATGGAGGAAATGGTGTTTTCATTCACACAAAGCAGACTGAGAACATGTTAACGGAATAAAGCTCTGTACACAACACAATCAGTGAGAGTGAGAAATTTGCTGTTAAGTTTTTGGACAAATATTGAAAGAGTAGATAAGGTAAGTAAGGTTAGAAGAGGTGACTGTGTTTATTTAAGTTTGGCTTTGCAGTAAATACACCCTCGTTTTGTATGGCAGCATTGCAGCCATCTTGTCTCGCAAAGCAGAACTGCAGTAATGACACTTATTGTTTTTGGCTTGTTTATAGTCTGATTTATTAAGATATTACCAAAGAGGATTAGGGCCACAAGAAGAGAAAAAACAATAATTACAGGAAGGAGATTTAAGTTGTAATTTCGAGATTTAAAGAATAAAAACATTATGTCATTTAAATCAAAATTTTGAGATTAAAAACTGAAACTTCGAGATTAAAGTCAAAATTTCAAGATTACAAAAAGTCGAGAATAATGTCAAAATTTCGAGATTAAAAAAATTACAATTTTGAGATTAAAGTCGAAATTTTGAGATTAAAGTCGACATGAATAAAATCAAAATTTCAACTTTTTTAAATTTCTACTTTAATCCAGAAATTTTGGCTCAACTCTTAAAATGGATGAACTTTTTCTCTTATTGTGGCCGTAATCCTCTTTTGTAAGATATAGACATAAATTTTATGTCCATTTTTTTTTCAGTTGAACCAGATAATTGAAACAGATGTCGTCAACTTTTCATTTAGTCTTGACTTCTTTTTTGACCAATTCCTTCCTCTTTGTAGGACAGACATGTACCCCTGAAAACTTCCCGTCTAGCCCTAATATTTGACAGCAGAAATCTAAAAGGTGAAAGACCTGTATGTAAGAGATAATGTTGGGGATTATTTAAAAGGGATATGGACAAGATGAGCAAGATGCAAAGTTTGACGGCTTCATTCATCTTTTCATGTGTAACTCTTCTGTTTTCTGTCAAGTTGAAGGTTCATTCGCACCCCTTCAAACTTGCTTGTGTGAACTTTCCTGAACGTTTCATGCGGCACTTACACATCAGCTCATGGGCATTTTACACTGTTACAGTTCAGCTGTTTGCTCACTCAGAGAGTTTGGGTACATTTTTTTAGGAGTGCTGTACATGTGTGAAAAAAACTTGATATAAACTTTGATATTCTTTAAAGAGCAAACTTGTATGTGTGTCTTTATCAGAGTGCTGCAGGCTGGACAGCACTAGGGTGTGGTGACATTAACGGACACAAATGTATTTTTTATCTTCTGATTCTTTGGCTTTGTTTCTTTACCCATCAAGTCAGATGTCATTATAAGAAGAAGTCTACTGTGGAACATCAACCTGTTCCTGTTTCTGTGATTGAGAGGAAATCATCTTTATCTGCTTGTGTTTGTCACCTGTGGTGGAGCAGCTGTACTGAGGATACTGTGTGAAGGCCACAGCTCTCTCCACTCCGTCTTTCTCCATCTCCTCAATCGCTTCTTCCGTCAGAGGGTGAACATACCGGAAACCAATGTAGAACTTGTGAGGAGCTAAAGGGGGAGAAACAAGGGGTGTCAATAACTGAAAAAAAAGGAATTATAAGAAGAGTAACTGTGTGAATAAAACATTATTCCTAGAACTGATTATATGATCCAAGCAGGTAGAGATAGGCTCTGTTTTCTAACAGCTGCATACTGTTTGTGCTGTTATCAGCGAGGTGTGAGAAGGAGTGTGCAGAGACACTCCTTCACTGAGTCACTATCTGAGTGTAACACACACACAGAAAACTTAGAAGCACTGCTGAGGCAGGATGACCCTCCTGCCTGCTGTGGAGACCTTCATCCACACAGTCCCACCTGTCTCAGGACTCATCTCGTCCAGCAGCTTCACCATCCCTTCCCCCTGCATGGACGTCCAGTGTTTGATGGGCGAACCTCCTCCGATCTTGCTGTACTGCTCCTGGATTTTTGGTGTGCGCCGTTTGGCGATAAACGGGCCGAGCTTACTAGAAGGCAAAGGAAAGGCTGTTTAACTCCTCAATGTATCACAGCAGGTTAGAAATAATAGAGAAAATACTCCTTTATTCGTCCCACAAGGGAAAATTCCCAATAATAATAGGTAGGGGTATCCCGATACGACATTGATATCGGATATTGGTCCGATATCAGCAAAAAAATTGAATATCAGATTATATCGGCCTGCATCTAAAATCTCAGAAATTAGCACTCCAATACAAGCTGTCCATTCCAGACTCCGCTCCGGCACCTCTATCTAACTGCACCCAGATCCAGCATGTAGAGCCCATGCAACTACAACAACAGTGTGTACCAAAGTACCAAGGAGTTGGAGTGATGTCAGCTGTGTGGCAGTATTTTTCATTCAAGTCCAAAAAAGATGTTGCAGCTGAGTGCAAAACAAGTTTGTGCTAATATCAGATCAATATCGGTATTGGCCAATATTGGAGGATACGATATTGGTATCATATCAGAGCAAAAAAAGTTGTATCAGGACACCCCTAATAATAGGTATAAGGCTACAGGGTCTCATCTTCTGACTGAAAATAACTGCATGGAGATGATGAACAACCAAAAGTTTCATCAAAGTTGCATTTTTTATCTAATGCTAATATACTTCATCTAATGAACAAAATGCAGCAGAGAGTGCTTTACATAAACAAATAACATGGGGGAAAAAACTTAGTCATAGTCCAGGTTAATGAAAACGAACAAACTACGAAAACAAAATAACCATGAATTCAGGACTGAGGGGTAGAGAAAAGGCGATCATGAGTTCATGAGGGAACACTGGAGGTGAACTTGGTAAAAGACGAGAAGAATGATTAAAAAAACTGCTGGATAACATTTACGTCATCTAAGAAATAAAGTAAGGGAAACAAAGGTTACTAAAATAATAAATGAATAACACACTGACATGTGCTGACAATAAAATCATAGGCAGAGGGTTAAACGTCAGGAGGAGTACCTATGAAAATATTAATAAAATTACAGCCACTTCAAAGGTAAGACGAGTCTTTCCAGACAGACATTTCCTGTTGCTTAAAATGATTCACAATAAAAAAAAAAAGATCCTGAACTGAGGTCATGTTTGCTGACACGCGGTTAAGTTAAACCAAGATCTAAAACACGGCCTTCATTGTGTGTGAGCTGGGTAACGTCAAATAAAATTCATACAATCTATGAAGTTTAAAAACTCAGAGGTTAAAGACTCGATTGAAAAATACCTAGTTCATACTTGGTGAGAAAGATCAGCAGTAACTGTGAAAACTCTGCAGGAATGATAAAAAGGGTTGTAAAGATTCACTCTGCGGTAATCATGACTGTAAAGAGTTCGATTTGTCCTTCACAGAGTCGCACTCTGACCTGGTTTTCTCAGTCCTTACTTCCCAATCTGTTAGACCGAACCAACAGTGCATCTGTACAGCTGGTCACAACCTCATACAGAGAAGTACATTCAAATTCTTCCTGTTACATCACCGTCGAAAGAAAATCTCTGGTCGAATCATTACCTCCTTCTTCTTTGGTTCAGTGCAGACAAATGTGAGTGGTTCATAAATGATTGAATGTGTAAAAAAATAATAATGTGATAATAATAGCCTTTATCTCATTATAACTGCACACTCTCATGGCAGATATGGAGAGGAAAAACACTTAAATTCAACTGCACGTGACTCACAGCAATGCTAAAGCCATAAGCCTGATGAAAAGACATATTTCTTCCTTTTAAGGATTCACGGGCTCAAAATCCTCGCAACAGCTGGTCCAGGAGGATCAGAGTAATTCATGTATGTGAAATGAGGAACTGAAGAGGGTTTTCTTTTGGCAACAAGAAGAGGCTCTGCCATTTACCGTCGGCTATTATGAAACAGAAAAGAGATGCAGCAGGGGGAGGTGACACAACCTGCTCCTTTGGTTTCCTTGACTCTGTGTGTGTGTCAGTGTCTCAAAAACCAAAGAAAATAAACACATAAAAAATGATCAAAGTAAAACAGAAAAGTGACAAAAAATCTTTTTAAGTTTGTATTTCTCAGATATGAATTTATGTTTTATTAAAGGACATTACAAAGAAATAAAGTCCTGAAAAATATGATCTTGGCTGTATGAGTGCGTGTGTGTGTGTGTTACACATACTTCTGTACAGGGAGTTTCATCAGGTCTGTGTCCATGAAGAGCCGCAGCAGAAAGTCATGAACGTCTTCTAGTTTCTCCGGTCCTCCCATGTTCAGCATCAAGATGCCGGTTTTAGGTTTCCTGCGGGCAAAAGAGATTCATGATCAATCACTGATATCAAACATCCACTGAACCGTCTGTGATATTTATGCATTTGACCTTTAAATACTAATGCAAGCCCATAATCTCGGTATTATGAGTTATTCCAGTATTGATTTTTTATATCCTTGAAATTAGGCGAGGCATGTGTCCCACCAGATTATTTTAGATTTGATGAAAATGTTTCATTTGTACTTCCATCTTATTTTTATAACATACGTATATGATTTCTGAATCAATAAATGTATTAAGTACTTGTTCTATTGCAGGAAGATTTGTTTAAAGATTTGTTTTCTATGTCAATGATCAGTTCAGAGCTGTGGGGGAGGAGTGACGGGGATGATCATCAGGAGGGCAAGGATGTCGAGGAGGTCAACATGAGAGCAGAACAGTTACTACAACTAGGGATGTCCTGATACGATATCAGTATCGGATATCGGTCCGATACCAGCCAAAAAACAAATATCGGATTATATCGGACTCCACTCCAGCACCTCTAGCTAGTAGCCCCTGAATCCAGCATGTAGAGCCCATGTGATCACAACAATGTGTGTACTTAAGTTCTAACAAAGTAGCAAGGAGTAGGAGTGATGTCGGCAGTATGGCAGTATTTTTCGTTAAAGTCCGAAAATACATTGCCGCTGAGTGCAAAACTTGTCATGCACAAGCTTGTGCCAATATTGGATTAGTATCGGTATGGGCCGATACTGAAGGCTATAATATCGGTATTGTATCGTAAGTAAAAAAGTTGTATCAGGACACCCCTAACTACAACACCATGATGGTTATAATGACACGGTTCATCACAGCTGTAGCTTTAATAGTAATAATATGTCAGAGTACAGAGTGAGTTTATTTTCAGCTAGTCTGCCTGTAGTAAAGACAATAATTTTAACTATTATGATTATGTAAACATAACGTGGAACATTTTCAGGGAAGGACCCCTACTCTCACTTTTGCCCCCTGTACCCCTGCTAACTCTGGCAGTTAATCTAAGTCTGACATCATCTTTTCAGATCATGTGAATATACAGTGCAACTGACATTACCATGAAGTCAAACAGCATGTGTAAGAACCCTGTACCCTCAGCTAAAACTGGCCCAAGTACAAAAATCTGAGCTTGTTCCATCAGCTAGTAAAGCCAACTGTTGCCAGCTAGTATCAAGTGGTCAGAAAGTCCTGGTTGTACTTCTCTCAGCTGTGTACTACTGATCGTTGTGCAGTGACGGCTACAGCAAACATTTGGAGCCTTGAATGCACCAGAAGAATCTGCTGTCTCATTCATGACTACAGTTTGACTGCCATCTCTAAAAGACCGATAAGAGCCGAGAGCACAGAGTCAGTGAGGATCATTTCTGAGAAGAGTTCAACAGAGAGTAGAGGCCTCCAACAGACTGCTGGAAGAGATCCAGTTACATATTATTGAAAGGCAAAGAGGAGGTGAAGTCAGGACATGTATGCTGACTGCTCCCATCACTGTCACTTCAAAGCTTTTTAATAACCCATTCACACAAAAGACGTTCTCAACTGGAAGATCAGGTTGTTGTTTTACGGTATACTTGTCAGTTTAAAGACTAGATATTCAGATACTTTCACTGCAACTACACAATGCATCAGAACTCAAACTAAACTCCTTTTTTAATCTATTAATCTGCAATGTCTTTTCAAGTTATTAAAGTATTAATCAGTCCATAAATATCAGAAAGCTGTAAAATCATAGACTGTATATGCTATGGACAACTTGGTTCTGCCTTCCGCCAGCACACAAGTTTGAAGCCAAAAAGCTCTCGGTATTTCTGGGTTTTTTCTCCATTTTCTGAGACCAACATTGCGCAGTAGCGTTGTATGCATTTGGCGGGAGAGTCATCGAGAGTCACTATGATGACGCTCGGCTTAAACAGTGTATCCCCCAGGTGAGCTACGCAATCTTCCCTAGGCTGTATCAAGTGTCAATCATAGAAAACATGAAACCCCTGATAACTTTTAAAAACGGAGCTGCACAGAAAAAAAGAGAACTTGAGCACAAACCAGTCTTACAGTAACTACATGTCAACATCGTAACCAGGGGGGAAAAAAATTATATTCTGTGTAATAAATTTCTAAAGTTTGTCCACAGCTTCATAGGGATTGCTGGAGGAGGCGGGGTTTATGACCTATACTGCAGCCCGTCACCAGAGGGGGCTGTTCTTGCGATGGCTTCACCAAGAGAGGAGACAGACGGTGTTCATTCTATATACAGCCTATGTGTGAAATGCTATTTATTGCCGTTTCCAAGAGTCGGTTTGGTTGCTCCTTTGAAAACGAACAAATTAAAATGACACAGAGTTTGCTGAAGGAATAAAATGACTAACAAACCACCTTTAACAGCCACAGAAAGAGATAATATTCTACCTGGAAAATCTCCAAATTGTTTCACTAATAATTAAAATCCTGTCGCTATTTTTAGAATGAGTTTCTTGGTGCAGCCTTACTGCGCAGGCTCTACATTGAAATGGAAAACCTGCTCTGCAAGTGTTTGGGGTCAAGGAAGGAAACATCTGATTCAAGAAAACACAACCTGTTTTCGTAAGCAGCACATAATGTGTGGATTGTCTATTGTTGTGGAGAAAACTCTGAAAGGCCGTCACATGACTTTTTATGCACAAAAACAGGCCAAGAAAGGAAACTGTCAGATACACATGCTGGAGGTTTTCCCCGACAGCACACAGTCTGATTGTGTCGGGTTTCTAATGCGTATTCACACAGAATAACACCTGTTGAGTGTAAAAAAAAAAAAAAGGTGCTCTGTGAGTATCACCTGTTCTCCTGTGTGTCTGGAGTCTGAGCCAAAGCAGCAGCAGTGGAGCGTCTCCTCAAACTCAGACTGACGCCGCTCCTGGCAACTAAAAGAGAAAAACATTTATTACGTTATTTGCTGTTGAAATTTTCATGTCTCCTTTCACATGTTCAGGGAAAAAAAAAGAAGAGATATTCATCATTTGTCATGTAGGATACATTGCAAAACAATTTTGCAGAAACTTATGGTCCCCAAAGAATGCACACAATTGATCAGAAATACTGTGTTGTGATATGCATGCATGGCTACTGTACAGTACTGTATGTTGAGTTCCACCCATATTTCTGGAGATCTCTCAACACCAATGTTATTTCCTGCTGAGTGCACTGCATTGAGGGAAAAACGTGCCGACAGCATCCTGCCCAACTTTGTGCACACTTTTATGAGTAAATCTGTCCTTTTTTGTGTACTTTTTTAAAATAAGTGTAAAATCTAGGGTCTAATACGATTTCAACTTATGAAAACTACACTACAGTTTAATTTTAGTAAATTCAATCACTGTTTGGCTGATACTATCAGCATCCCTGAATCAATAAATCAGATGTATAGGCAAATATATAAACACCAGAAGCTTCAGGAGAAATGCATTAAATTATGTTCACTTCCTTGCATAAACACAGACACATTATGTAGTCTAATATGACTTGTACAGTCAGACTCACTTTCGTAACCCGAGCTGCAGTACCCCGAGGCGCCGCTAGGACGGTGTGTGCTATTACACAAGTTGACAATATTGGAATTGTGTAACTCAATGACATTGTTTCTCTCTGTTTAAACTCGCTGTGGACACATGGCCCGTAGACAAATAACGTTACGTATTGAATCAACTGATCTCCTGGCTGTTACTAAAAGCAGCATCAGACTGGAATAAGTCCATTATATAACATTAACATTTAACTATAACCAAGAGTAAATGTTGGGATGTGTTAAACTAGCGGAAATCCTCTCAGGGCTGCTTAAAGAGGCTCCGCTAATTATCAAAATAAAAGCACAGCGATTTCCCCTTATAGTAATTTAGGGCTTCAGTACAACCACCTCGGCAAGAAAACGTGCTGGTCACCACAACCGATGCCTGAGAAAGCGCTAAAAGGTATGATGCTGTCAAATTGGGCGTTAAAACCAACACACAGATCTTAATGCGAGTCTCGATGGGGATCTACTTCCTCTAACTGCGCTAGCTTAACGATGGTTTACGAAATGCAGCCAATGTCAGCGTGCCTTGAGTTTTTACAAACGTTCTGTTTCAGCAAGAAATACAATAGTCACAGTTAAATCTATTATTAAACCACGTTAACCGTACAAAAGATAGGTGTTTACTCCGACGCATCACGGTGTAAGTTTTGCCCCAAGTGTACGGCGTTAAACCGGGTAACTCAGCTGCACTCTCACACTCACACTGTATCAAGCGACCGGCGCTGCCAAGGACAGCCATCATGGTATTTTCCTCCTTTCTTTGCCGATAAAAGTCTCTCTTCCCACCGAAATGGAGACAAGATGCGTTGCCCCACACAGTGCTGAATCCACGAGTAATTCCCCTGACTCCTGGCCAGCGCAATGTGACAGTCAGATTCCTTTAGCTGTCGCCGGTTGAGTGTATCAGGTCTAGTCAAGTAAGACAATAACAACCTCAGCATTTCCGGTGTGGAGTTTCAAAATAAAATACAAAAAAAATGTGAACGCTGCTGGACAGTTTCGCATTATTTCAATTAATGATGAACTTTATTTTTCCGCATTGTGTCATTGCCTTTTTTTATGTATTCATATATTTAGTTGTCTGTTTTCTTAGCTATGGTTGGTAGTGATGGGCACGGCAGTACTTTTAAATGTACTGAATCACTAAAATCAGTTTACAAAAAAGATTCGTTCATCATATCACCGAAACATTTAGTGCTTGGCGGGAGGAGCCTGTGACTTTGACCTCCTAAACTAATACACAGCTGAACGTTTCAATTCATAGCTTCTGGGACCAGGAGACGAGAGAGTTTGGCTCAGTGAGTGATTCGTTCACTGAACGTGTAGAAGAATTCACACTGAATATGTACCGTTCCCTCGCAAACTGCTGCAATGACAGGATGCTGAAGGTTTTATCTACTACTTGTTACATGCTGTGTACGATTGTATGCAAGTTGTTGTGGTGGCAATTTAGCAGTAAAAAAGTTAGCTGTGTCCTACAAAAATGATTCCAGAGAGTGTAGCTCAATGCCTGATTTGTTTACCAAGTGATTCAGGCGTCACTGCATGCAATCCCTTGTTTGCTGGCTGCTCACCTGGCAATGCTGTGTGCTATAGCATCTGCCCTGCTGACAGCTAAACTGAAGAGAGAAATGAACGAATCCGGTTTAGTATGTTTACTTAAAAGATTTGGTTCTTTTGAACAAATCGTTCACTAACGACACAACACTAATGGTTGGCTAAATGTTGCACCGAATGATGTACAAAATAAGGTATGTTAGGCACTAATTTTAGTGGAAAGAATTTCGAACTATATTTTAAAGAAATTTGGTCTTAATACGGTTATTTTTGATCAAATATCATGGCGGATTTTTATTTGATGAGCAGTTTTTTCTTCTTCCGGTTTATAAGCGCGCTTTCTATCGTTTGCTTGACGTAAAGCCGTTGGCTTAGTATGACGTCACGTTTACGCTGTTGCTATCAGAAACCGCGCCCCCAACGTTACGATCACGCCCACGTCAGAACGGCGTTCTCCCCTGTGCTGTATCCCTGACAGCCTGATTCTGAATGTGCTCTGACAGTGAGGATGTTTTAGGTGTAGAAAGAAAGAAGAGGAGCAGGCTGGTAAAATATTAAATATCAAAAGCAGGGAGACAGGAAATAGTCTATTTTTTGGACTCCAATGATCTTATAAAGAGGACATTTGGAAACATAGTTGATGCTGACAAAATTAAAGCAACACTAAGTCATCCTGAATTGATCTTTGGGACTGTACTCAGTCAATATAACATGTTATATAGGGCAACAATGTGTCCTGAGTGAGTCTAATTATGTCTTATGACTGAAACCAGTTTTTCCAGGATAGAGGATTAAAGCAGCATTTCCTTCTTCCTTTTGACACTTAAGGAGACTGAGACATGACTGAGGAGGAACCAGGAACTGATTTAAAATAAACATACACATGGGATGAAAAAAATAACTTATCTGTGTTATTGTTCTAAAATAATATTACTAAATTTATATTCTAAAATACATTTAAAACATGTTTACATTATTGGGATGAGGACTGGTGGTAACATTTGAATTCAACTGAACGGTGTTGGACATAAAAAAAGGGAAACAAAAGTTTTCACATTCAGCGCCCCATCGGTTTAGTATAAAGAAAAAGCATTGTTCGGCAGAGGTTCCTTGTTCATTTTATGCTTCAAAACAAACTGAGGTGCCTCTTTTACGTTTATTTATTGTTTTCGTTGAGCAGTATCTAGTGACCAATGTTGGAGCAGCACCCTAGTTTATTTTTATCTATCTAAATTTCAATCCATACCTAATATGCTGTTCACGAGCTGACATAAACTAGAATTTATCACCCATCCGATATTTCTCAGTGCGTTTGATGTTTATTTCCTCCCTTTAAAGAGATTTTCAAAAATGTTTGTCCTTTTCTTTTTGATGCCGATACATCATTTTGGGGGAAAAAAGTAACATAAATAAGGTTAATTTGCTTTTAGATTAGATATAAAATAATAAAAAAAAACTACCAGTTGTGTTATAACTTCTTATGAAGATGAGGGGCAGTGGCGTAAGAGAAACTCTCAGACAGCTGTGTGTTTGATCCAGGTTTAATTTAAGTGCAGTTTATTGAGTCCAGGCGTATGTTGTATGATAGGGCAGAACACACAAACATGATGATCCCTAAACCACCAAAATCTGAATGAATCACTTGATGGACAAGCAGCTCTGTGTTCTTCACAGTAAGTTGTTAAATGGCTGCAGAGCTCAGGTTCTGTGTTTTAAGTTTGAACCAAACAGTTGCTTTATTATACTTTAGCGAACCACCAAGAACTGAACAATTGATATACAGGGTTGTGTGTGTGTGTTAATGTGGCAGCGCTGCATTTATCAGGATTCGGATGCTCTGAACTTGAACTGGTCTTGTTGAGTTTTTCTAGACTTTTTCTGGACATCACAGGAATGCAAAAACTCTGAAACTAACAAAAGAAACTTCAAAATATGTTTAAATAAGTTTTGCAAACTGACATTATTCATCCAAGAAACAAACTGTAAACCTTATCTTGTGCATGTTACTGTCACAGCATCATTTTCTTCTAGGTGGCAGGTATTTGAGCTGTTCTGTGAAGTAGCTTCAGTAGTTTATCAACTCTGCATGTAATCTTAATTAACCCTTGAATTTCAGTACATATTTTATTTGATTTACTTTTAAGCCCTGATGAGAGAAACTAGTTTACTTGGCTGTTTAAATTCTATTGCGGTTTGTACAGCTTCTCAAAACAAATCAGACATTTCTCATGAAATCTGCAGTTTTTAAGTTTCCCTAAAGTCCTAAACATTTCCACAATTTGACAGTAAGTTATAGTAAAAGAATTTAAAGTGGAACAGGCCATTAATGCGCAAAAATCAAGACCACATTTACAACATTTTGGCATTTTTATCTAGACTTGCAGACTCTCTATACAACCACAGGAAACAACCAATAACCACTGTATATTACTTATAAGATGATCAGCAGAATGAGCAGAATCAGAACACGATATTCCAGGACAAACAACATGGAAGCTGTGACATTAGCAGGTGAGATTACTCGCTCTCTCTGTGATGAGACATGGTTGAGTTCAGTGCAAAGACCTGACCTCATCAAAATCAACAGCTGAAGGCAAAATACTGAATTCTTTGATTTAATGACGCTGAGACACATTTCAGGCTCTGAGTGCTGCCACATGCCAGGTCCAGATATACTACCAGTATGTGTGTAACATAATGCGTGTGTGTGTGAGTGTGTGTGTATTATAGGGTGGGTATTGTTGCGTTGTGTGTGTTCAAGGTCGGCAGCGCTGGATGAATCGAGGGTACAGGCAGACGTCCCTGATGTGATGTCTGTTCAGCAGCCAGGTGAGGAAACGCTCCAGACCCAGACCGTAGCCGCCGTGAGGGCATGTGCCGTATTTCCTCTGAAACACAGACACACAAAACACACTGTTACACATCTTTGCAGAGAGCTTCACACTAACATTATTTAAATATCAATGTTTAAACACACACTTCTATGTGGTTACAAGCATTTTGATACCTTTCAATATGGCATTTCATCTTTTGGCATCATACCTTTTTTTACATGAACATTTTTAAAGATGAAGAGATTTGGCTGGGAGGGTGAAGTTAATTGCTATACCTCAATATTAATCAGTGTTAATTCTGTTAATGAAAGTTGTTCATCAACAACCTTTTTTCCATAACAAAGAATTTTTGACATCTAATAAACCAAACAAGGAAATAAGATCAAATGACGATGAAGATAAACAAATGTGTCAACCCTGGACCTAATCCTGCTGTATTGAAGGTAAATGTCAAAGAGGTGTGACGGCGGGACAGAGCAGTCCCCCTGCTGTGTTGAGGTCGCAACAAGTGTTACAGGGGGGAGACAGGATCACTGTGGACAGCTGGCAGGGTGGGAAAGAGGTTTGTATGTGAAGCGTTCCCTGTGTGCTTGGCTCCTGTTCTTTTGCACACACACACAGGACTCCAATATTTTGCCGTTATGGGATCAATAGCCAAGTCTAAAAGTATGATGACTACAGAGGTTTGTTATTGTGCTGTTTGAAGACTTTCAGAGGCTACATACACTTTTGATGAACAGCCTCTGGTTTAGACTCAAAACTATTCACATATTTAATCTATAATCACAGTCATATTAAATGAGCAGAAGAAAACTTTATATCTTTCTTGAACAAAAGGTTTAAAGGCCAAAATAAAAACGTATCCTCTCACCTGGTCGGTGTACCAGTAGTATGGAGTTGGGTCGATTCCCTCCCTCTTGTATCCGTCCAGCAGCTCATCAGCGTCCCAGATACGCATCGAGCCTCCGACGATCTCGCCAACATTTGGCATCAATACATCGACCTGCAGTACGAACATCAGAGGAGACGTCAAGACGGCTCATGATTCAAGCTTTTATCATCTCCAAAAGTCTCCCGGTTTTTCTGACTGACAGTGATGTATCCTGACTATTCTGAGCACAGCTTCAAATCTGACTGTTTCTGCTGCTCTTAGAAACGCAAGTCCTTTGAAAGGTGGGTTGTGTATGCTTGGATCTGAACAAAGACTTATTACTTCCAGATTTTTTTAACTCAAAAAAGTGTGTTAAATTCATAAAACCAAACTTTTCCCATTAATGAAGAAGTGCGTAGTTCATTTAATGTAGCTGAATCCAAAAACACAGCCTAAACTGTTACAATGTGTATTGGTTAATGTGTTTATATTACAATATGTACATACATTCATTGAATTAAAGCTGCATTAAAGCTGAACTGAATTTCTGCTATTGAGCGCATTTGTAGTTTGAATGTATTTCTTTGCAATATATTCAAATTCTGACATAAAACAAACATTTTGGTAAATCCTTGTGTCTGCACATTAATCTCTGAGATTCGTACCGACTCAGTGAGGCGTCTGTCATCGGCACAACGCTGCATGTAGAAGGATTTGATCTCAGCTGGGAAGCGACAGAGCAGGATGGTCTCGTTGATGGTGTCGGTCATCAGCCTCTCTGGGGCCTCAGGGATGTCCTGAGTAAAAGACAAAACAGGACAGTTTAAACAAAGCTGGCTTTTTTGAGGTCCAAAGAAACAGAAAGTCAGAGTAAGAGGAGTTCAAAAGATGCAGGTGTTGACTAAGCAGAGTCCAAGTAGAGGAGTTGCATCATGGTCTTAGCTCCCAAAATAAAGAAGCTTCATGAAACCGAAGCACTAAAGACACTATGAAAATGTGGCTCAAAAAAAAAAAGTGGTTAGAGGGGTATTACGGCACTCTTAAATGTGGATCCAGCTCAAAGTCTGTCTTTTAAAAGAGCTTACTTTGGCTCAGACTCTTAAAAAGCATCTCGACAGCGAAAGTCATTTTAGTATAAGAATAAGAAGTTTTTATGTATCACAACACTCCGCTGACAAAAATCGAACCCATATCTGACTCATTAGTTCATGTTGTTTCACAAACACTGTAATAAATCTGGACTAACCATCATGTGAACCAGAATGAATCACATGATTTACTGAGTGAGGCAGCAAAAGCCAAGAAAGTCCTGAAAACTGCAGTCTTAAATCACAGTCAGTGGAGTCTGTTGTTTTTTAAAGACACAGATCTGACTGTTGTTCTTTAATGAGATTCAGCAGACTCCTGGCTTACTGGAAAATCGTGCATGGATAGAAACTTATTAAAGTCAACACCAACAAAGCTACAACCAATACTGAGAGCTTTGCTGACTCAGGTGTGCAGGTGTGTGTGTGTGTGTGTGTGTGTGTGTCAGAAGTGTTTTGTCGTCACCTCTCCAAACTCATAGTAGGTGCCGTCGTCCTTCTTCACGTCGTGCTCCTTGAGCCACTCGATGGCTTCAGTGTAGTTCATCCTCCTGAACGGCCTCTTGGGGGGCTTAAAGTTCTTGATAAAAAAAAAAAGAACATAAAATAAAATACACTGTCAACATGAATTTATATTAGTGCATATTAAGTGTTAAAAATGACACAATCTTTACTAATAAGATACCACTTGACGGATTAAAAACACTCTCATTCACACAAAATGACGTACAGGGTTGATGTCGTAGAGCAGCTGAGCTGCAGGAGATTTGAGCACCCGGTCCACCACGTCACACACCAGGTCCTCCAGTCTGTTCAGCAGATCCTCAAAAGTCATGAAGGGACACTCGGCCTCAATGTGAGTGTACCTGAACACAAGAAACACAGAATTTATGTACATAAATAAATGAAGATATAAACTTTCCTTTATTATCTGTATGAATGTCAATAAAACCTTTCAAGTACCAACAGGACCTCTAACAATAAGGGTGGATTGTATTTCTAAATAAAAAAAAAAAGCTTTCTCACTCCGATAGATGTCTGCGGGTGCGAGACTGCTCAGCTCGGTATGACTGGGCGATGCAGAAGGTGTCACCCAGTGCAGGTATACAGGTCTCCAGGTAGAGCTGAGAGGACTGGGTCAGGTACGCCTCCTCACCAAAGTAGTTGAGGTTAAACAGAGTCGAGCCGCCTTCCACCTGGGTCTGCACCAGGGTCGGAGGAAAGATCTGCAACCAGAAAACAGTTATGTTAATTACATAAGTTAATTTGGTAATGCTGAGTTAACAAACAGATGCTACAAAGACTCCTTAATGACAGACTTTTTAGATAACTGCACTTGTCACGCTATAAAGGGCTCAGTCTTACATAAACTGTTTTTTCCTCTTCTCCACTCCAATCATGTGATGTGTTATTGTTCTTGGTAAGCTAGTTTTGTATTAAATGATCTAAAAAAAAAAAGGAGAAAAATAAACTTTTAGCAGCTGTGAGTTAATGTTTTGGATTTCTGAAAAAAGACCAGGGAGGAAGAGAAACCTCATGAAGCATGAGTGTGTGGGTCCAGCACTGACTAGAAACAGATTTCTGCAAGAAAGTCGGTATTACTGTTTGTAAATTCACAATAAGTCCATATCAGCTTTGGGGATTTGGTCTTGGACTTGGATCCCCATCAAACCCACAGTTACTAATCTTGGTGAGAAAATGGACAATGGATTTAAAATAAACACAAAAATAATCGCTTCTCTTTACAGTGTGAGGCTCTTAGCCACGATCAAAGCTGTTTTGTGCTGCAAGTTTTTATTTCTACTCATCTGGACTATTGTACTGCACTCTATCTTGACATTAACCTGGCCTCGCCGACACATCTACAAGTAGTCCACCATGATGCTTTTTAACGGGTACCAAAAGCGAGAGTACATACCGTTCTTCTCTCCCTCCGTGTTCATTTTAAGATTCACTTTATTCCAATATCCTGTTCTTGGTTTTGAAATCTTTAAATGATTAACATCACAGTCAATCTCCCCAACAAACAGCCTCTCTAAGTCTACACCCCCTTGAGGTCTGCTGATCAGCTGCTTCTTGTAAACCCTTGGACCAGGCTGAAAACCAAGGCAATGTGCTTTCTCTGCTGTGGCCCCCAAACTGAGAACTAAATGTCCTTGACGTTACTCACCCTTAAATCTTGTCTTTAAACATGTTTTTTTTTTTTATTTCTTGGGTTTTAAAAGTGAAAAGCTTTCTTGTGTAAGTTTTACATATTTCTCTTTCATCATGGTTTATATAACTTTGAACATTATGACATTGACTCTGTGACTTTGGATATTTTAGTCTGTGTGTTTCACCTCGTGGTATCCCCGGTTGAAGAAGTGGTCCCTGAAGCACTGTGTGACGGTAGATCTCACTCTGAGGATCTTGGAGACGTTCTCTCCTCTGATCAGCATGTGTCGGTTGTTCAGCTGAACATCCACGTCGGACTCTTCATTCAGTAGGTTGTCAGCGCCACCTGCTGGGGCCAAGCCAATTATCTCCCAGAAGTCGCAGTGCAGCTCGTGGCCTCCAGGCGCCTGAGAGTGAAGACGAGAACTTACTTACTGAGGACCTTCTGCAAGTTTTGATGCTTTAATTATCCTGCAATGCTGCTGTTTGTACTTAGAGCATACTATAATACAATAATAGAAACGCCTTCAACACAGCATTTTGATTTTGACACGATTTTGGCAAATACCGATTTTATTTTACAACTGACAGCATATTCTCATCTTGTTTCGATTTATTTTAGCCTTACTTAAATTACAATCTGTGAACCTTTGCTCTTTTTCTTTTACAGTGTAATACTGCCAAACAGACAACATGCTTGGTTGACTGCTCCAGGTGACTGTTTACCTGTGCAGCTGATGCATGCGTGCATGCACATGTGACCTATTGGGCGGGCCTGTCAGTCTGGCAGAGCAAAATGGCTGACTTTAAGACCTTTGCAGAAGTAGATAAGATCGGTGGATAAGATCGGTTCATGTGTAAGGATCGGCTGATCATCTATCCCCCAAAATTAAGGAACTCTTCGCCGATTATTCAGTGCAAGTTTACTTTTATCTATTGACCTTTACAAAAACCTCATCCTGGTGTCTTTTAACAGTAGCATTAAAAAAAAAGTATTAAAAGGCTTTTCCTTTCACCTGCTGTCAACAATCTGGTCTGACACCTACCCCCTCTCGCTGGTTTTAGGCATTAAAAATATCAGTCCTGTTGCTGATGGTCTCATTTACCTTTCTCATTACCTTACAGAAGCATCAGTGTCAGTCTGTTTTTCAACCAATTAAAAAATTCCCCACAGTCTCTTTTACCGAAGACAACTGTACTTTAGTATCACAACATGTACAAACAAGGTAGGTCCGGTACATGCATTGTTGTTGTTTACCACCACTCGTCAGAAGGTATCAACAAGTTTACAAGTCAGTACCAGAGAGGAACAAATCTGTATCAGAAAAATGTAAATTTGATCATGCTAAACTGTAGGGTTCATAGGTAAATTATCCTTTAAAATGAACAGCTGGCAGACACAACAGAAAATAGTAAACAGTAAGCAGATTACCACTGTGCATGTTAATGTATTGTCTGTTTTCTTGTATAACCTGATTCCTCTTCATGGCCTGTTTCCTTTGTGTGAATGGCGGCCTACTGCAGGGTTTGAATGTTGTGCAGCAGGTGTGTTTACCTGTTTCCCCTCAGGAACTGGAGTCACGGTGCCGTAAAGAGCTACAGTACTCTCTGTGGACAACACCAAGCCGTTGTAGCACTGGCACTGAAAACAGGAACAAGAAAACAGGTCAGACCCAGAGGGCATTAGGTAGAAACATCACTTAGATCAATCTTAACCTCTCTACAACATTTAGGCTTGAAAACATATTTCCCATTGATTCACTAAAGAGTCATATTGCTTACTTGTCTGAAATGTTTAATGCATTTACTTTTGCCTGTTAGGAAAACAAACCGTTACTCTAGATCCTTCTATGATCTGTTGGCTGTTGAACCTTGATAGTTATTTGGCACAAAAAAAAACAACTTGTTTTATTGTATTATTGTTTGTGCATTCACTACACAGTGGCTTACACATGATGTTATGCAAATAGCCTGTTTATTTGTTTGTTTATTCATTATTAAAATGTACACTTATCATGTGCAATGCATCTTAGTATGCCTTGTTTGACATAATTTACTTTCTCATTTTATTTAATTCATCTGATTCTTGCCCGGTCTTGTCAATACTTGAAGTAACCACATGTGTGCCAAGTGCGAGAGCATATCTGTCATTGTACCAGTAACTTATTTGTTGACTCTAACATGGACCGGTCCCCTGTTGTTTATAAATGTACTGTATGTAAGTCTGAGTTCACTGCCAAAACCAGAGTTCCCCCTTTAGATAAACTAAGTAGTCTGAACTTCACTGAACTTCAGTGAACAAAATGAGGAACTTCTTTCTCAAAGAAAATCTGCCTGACCTATCACATGGTTTTGATGTGGGTCTACAGGACTTGCGAAAGACAAATCTTCCTTATTGAGTCAATACTCTACAGACTTCAAGATCAGATCACATCAAATAAGTTGTTTGAAATTCCCTCATCATGATGAAGAAATAACCTCAACTAGAGGCAAATGTGGATGTGAGACCATTGTCATTTTCAATTATCTTCTGTGCAACAACGTCTCAACAGGTTACTCCATTTTAACCCAGGTGTTCAGTTGACTTTTTTCCTGCTTTATTTATTTTTTTAATAAGTGGAGATGTTTTTTTTTTCATTTTTTTTGTTGTTAAAAAAAAACGAAATTTGAAGACATATTAATAAAAACAAAAGATGAGCGTTATGTTTCAATCATAACGTATTAGATAATGTAGGCCAAAAATGAAAGGGAAAGTGTGTTGGTGAGGGAGAAGTGCAAAACAGGAAAGTTGCTCCATCGTACCAGTTTATCAGAGAGGACACACTGGAGGAAACCAGTTCCATCGCGCAGCACGATGAACATCAAGTTCTTTCCTTTAAGAGACAAACGAAAAAAACAGTAAGAAACATGTGTTAAACTGTCAGTCAAACAAGTTTCATATTTAAGTTATAAGCAGTTTTGAATGACTGAAATACTGTTATGAAATAAAGAAATGAGTTAAAGGTGAACTTAATATTGTCCTGTTTCATGCTGCTCACCTTGCCTCCTGAGGCGATGGACCCATCCAAACACTTTGACTCTCTGACCTCTCTTGGCCTCAAGATGATGAATTTTTACCTAAAAAAAATTGAGAAAAAAAATCATTTCACATTTAGGTGTGACCGTATTCAAGCCTAGAAACTCCTTTGATATTCCTGATTCTGCTTCACATGTTGGATTCAAAGTTGTACTCTCTTTTGTCCTGTTAATTCACTGGCCGTATAGCAGTTCAAAATAAAGTGTCAGTGTTTAATTCCTTTAGTGAACACTTTAGTTATTTAGTTATTTGCACCAGCAAAGTTCAGACACCAGGTACCGATGACAGCTGCAGTTTTAGGCTTTACATGATCAGGATTTTCGGGGGCTGATCACAATCCGATCACGTGAGGGAGCAATATGTCTATTTAAATGACTTGTTTATTGACTGTATATACTTTTGTGCTGTTTACTGAGTTTAAAAAAAAAAAAGCGGCGGGGCACAGTCTAAGGTTGTTTGCGATAGGTGTTTGGGTGTGTCTGTTTCCTTTTCTGAGCTCTGTTTCTCACTCAGCGTGCTCCTGCTTACGTTCTTTGACGAAGTGCCAAATTAAATTTGTTGTGTTAAATCCCTTCATAGATGTTCCGCCCCGCAATACTGTGTTTTATCTCTCTGGTTCACAAGAATTTCCACACTGCAACATGTTTGTGTCTGACATATTCAAGATTCAAAAAACTTTGCTGTCCATCATATAGTGACTAAGCTCAAAACATAAACACCACAAAGACATAAAAAAACACATGAATTAATGAGACGTGTCTGTTCTGCTCTGTTTGTTTAAAGCAAAATCAACCATGTCTCATTGGGTCAAATGTGTGTTTTACGTCTTTGTGGAGCAACCAGCAACATCGTCACCAGCAAACAAACATGTCAATGCAGCGAAACTTCTAAGTAAATGAGACAGATAAAACACATATTAAAAGTTTCAAAACTACAGTGATGTCATTGTTCGATTGGTGAATTAAGACATTACAGCGACAGATCATATAAATTGCATAAAATGCTACATATCCGCTGATCCAATATAGCGGATCAGATCGGCAGAAACCCTAGTAGTTTACTATTTGCATAAACAAATGCAGAACTCACGACTCTTGTCTGTCTTTTTGTTACTTAACTCCTCTCATTTAAATATGAAAACACACACACACATCGCGCTGGGCATCAGTGATAAAAGGGGTGATAATTTTAAGTAACTATGTTCACTGTGTCGCAGAAACTAACTCACAAATTCATCAAACTCTAACTGAGAACAGCAGCATCACTTACTGTACCTTTAACAGTAGAAACTAAATAAACTGTGAGAAGCTTACAGCATCAGGCTCAGGCAGGCTGGAGTCCTTCTCAATGATGATCTTCTTGGCTTCTTCCAGGTTCTTTTCTCTCCTCTCAATGTCCTCTGCCTAAAAAGCAAAACATGCAGAAAACATTTACATCTACCTTATCAAAGTCCCACCACAGTAACACAAAAATGTACATGACATCCCGATCAAAAACTTCCACTTTCAGTATTATGGTGCTCAAAGAAGCGCAACTGCACGCAACACAGGATACACACACCCACCTCTTTCTTATCTTTAGCATCGTTCTTGGATTGTTCCCTGTTGAAGGCCTTCTTCGCATTTTTCATCTGGGTCTTGGAGATCACGGCCCAACGCTAAAACATGAGTTGTGCGAGAAAAAGCAAGTAAATAAGCAAGTCATAAAAAACCATAGAGTTACTTTCTCCCCTAAAAAGGATATTTTTAGGGTCAAGACAAGGCTGTTTGTTATGCTTGATTGATTGTAACTTTGAAACATTCATGGGTCATCAGTTGGTTATTCATGGTTGCATAAAACCAAAAAAATTAGTATAACAACCTTGTATTTTTCAGGGTTTTTCATGCAGTCAAAACAGAACACCAGGTTAATGGTATAACAGGGATAACTCAGTGTTTATGTACACGGTAAATAAGAGAAACCCACCTCTCCTTCCTTCTGTGATTCTACATAGATGGTAGGGAATGGCTCCTTCCCAGCAGACAACAGAGCCTGTGAAGTTGGGTAAGTAAATACAATGAGAAGCTGACAGGCATGTTGGTACGACCAGTGATAATAGCAATATCACCAACAGAACACAAGTGAGGTATGTTACATGACTGTTCACCTTGAGAGCAGTTTTAAAGGGTTTCTGCTCAGTGCCATCTCCATCCTGGTCACTGCCACATTTGTCCGACACATACACTTCACCTGTTTAAACAGAAACGTGTCAGAATCAGGAAACAGTACATCACAGTTTGTTTTGTATGGGACTCTGTAGATCATCAGGGTGTCATGACCATCTAAAATGGACCACAAAGCCAGGGGAGAAGGTGGCCTAGGGGAACACAACTAGCAATCTTAGACTTGGTTTGGATATCTCCCAGATCTTAATCCAAATCCAACATCTATAAGAAGGTATGGCTCACAAATGTCAGGGTCTGTAAGTATCATTTTTGGGGCCAGATAGCAGAGTTTCGTTGCCCTTGAAGAGTTCCTGTTTCATCAGTTCAGGGTTGTTATGACATGAGGAGACATCCACTACAGTGCACTCTTGCTGTACACTTTCTAAATTGTTTTATGTATAAATAAACCTGCTTTGCATAAATCTGTCAATTGTAAAGAATACTACAATGACTTTCTGAGCTACAGAGGAAATCTAAGCAGGTGGACCCAGCCCCCCATGACCCTTTACAAGAATACTAATGTAAAAGAGAAACTAAAAGCTTAGGGCGTTTACATAGAGGGAAAATACTTAACTGTCGGGCATATCTTGATTTAGATAGCTACTGAATATCATCCTCTAACAAAAAGACAGTAAATGACAGCGCAAGGCCGGTTTTATACACTAGGTTTTCTAACCAACACCGCCTCTTAGCTGCTGCAACACAAACTGACAGCTGTCATAGATGAATTTAATATTAGCTTTCTTTAAACACTCCCAACCTGGCTGACATATTTCAACCCTGACTTTCAGTTTCATCTTTCCTGCGCATAAGTTCATTGAACGTGCAAACACGCTCATAACATTTCAAGGCAAAATCACACACAGTCAAAACTACGCTTTGGTTAGCATGCTAACTGCTAACAGCACCTTAACTGATGCAATACGCACCGCACACATGTCTACGGCACAGAGCTAACCCGGCTAGCTCAAGCTAACCTCATTCCGTCCTTACCCACTGAGACCTGCTCCACACCTTTTGTTATCTCCGTCGCCATGTCACGCCGTGTGCAACGACAGTCCGCTGAGGAGGAGAAACAGATATTATTCTATTACAAAAATAGAAATATAGACCCCAGGAGCTCCTGCCAGAGGTGTCTCTCTCGCCGCCGACACAAAACCACGAAACTTTACGTCAGTCGAGCCGCAACTCGACGTCACCGGGGAAGGAAGAGGGGAAGGCGGGCCAACGAGCGCTGATTGGCCAAATGTTACTACGTAGTGACTGTGTCGGCAAACCCCATTCGTCGTCGTCTTCGTCGATTAACCGGTCGGTCAGACGCCTAATAAAAACATCTATGCTGTCGGACAGAAACATCTTACCTACATATTTCATGATTGTATTTCCTTTTACATCATCCAAGGCCATCAGTCATCCTTTACACATCCACTACACGCCAGTGAAATTCTTAAAATTTGACCACTGAAAATCTATCTATCTATCTATCTATCTATCTATCAATCGTGTAAACTTAAAAATCTGATCTTTTAAGAGTTTATGATGCTCCTATACTGACCACTGACTCTGTTGACTCTGCCATTTCAATGCTTTTACTACAGTTGACCACAAAACTCTCACTCCTCACCTAGACCATTGTGTGGGCATAAAGGACACAGCCTTACAATGGTCCTATCTTGCAAAGGGAAACCTGTGGTCAGACTCAGGGATTCTGTGTTGTATTCTGCACAATTGCTGTGTGGTGTGCCCCAAGCTTCTGTTTTAATGCACTTTCCCTCCTTCCCCAGGGTTTGATTTGAAAAGAAAAAAAAAAGTCTCTTACCGTTTGTTTGCAGATGACACACAACTCTACCTTACCCTTGACTGCACACATTTTTAAATCTCAGCTAAAAAGCATGTGTGGATTATAGCCTCAGTTTCCTGTTCTTAGCTGACACGAGTGGCTCCCAGTGTGGTCTTTAGCTGCTGTAGTAAATGTGCTTCAAGGTTCAAACTGTTGTGTGTTCAGAGATAATATTCTGCATACCTTAGTTGTAACAAGGACTCCCCAGTGAAAATAGTCATGACCCACATGCCTTTGAAAAAGGATTGTGTTTTATTTACAGTGAATTTCATCAGAATTACAATACAAACGATTTATAGACTGACTCTTTACAGATGAAGAATTCATTCAGATCCAGAGGAGTCAGCAGGAGGCTTGGTGTGTTTGTGTGTATGTTTATGAAGGTGTGTGTGTGTGTAAAAGCAGAGTGTCTGGCAGCTTTGGCAGAGGAAAAGTCCTTGGATGTATATCTGCAGCCTCCTCTTCCTCTTCTTCTCAAATCCACTTATGTTCTCTTGCTCAGTGACTCTCTCCTTTCTTTCCAGCAATCTGAATAAAAATATAACAAAGACAAACATGAGCACCACATTCTTGCAAAGAACCTGTATCATAAATGTAGCTCGAGGTGCAGTGACCAGTCTTTACCCTCCTAAAGTCGCTCATGTTGGTGGCCTGTACAGGGGTGCCTATGAATGTCAGGTAGTTGATTTTTGTCGTCTCCTCATCTCCTTGGTTTGACTTGACAAACAACTGATAGGAAAAAAACAGAAATACCAACAAACCAGTAAAACAACAGTGGTTAAAAACTGCTACTTGGCTTTTCTACTGCTCCTGAAAGTTCATGTCACAATAATTTAAAAATATCTAAAACATACAATAAAACACACAATTATATATTTTCCTTGTGTAGGTAGAGGAGAAAGTTGGGCTTTTATCACCTCGTTCATTCTTTGGCTCTTATGAGTGTAAAAAGATTACACAGGTGTGCACAGGTAGAGGGATTCTTTTGTGTGTGTTGCAAAAAAGCAATGTCATGTCACAAATTGAAGTAAATATTTATGTTTCTAGATTATCTGAAACTAGAGAGGTGATACAATTGTAAAAAAAAAATGAATAGATTTAATACTTTGTTAAATATCGTGTGTGGGTACTAATTTCGTCTTTCAACAGAATTTGTTTTAGATCCTTTATACAAATAATGAAACCTTTCTGACCCTTGATAACTTGATAATTCAGCACTGACTTCATTCCTTAAGACCGGAGGTGGTCACTTGGTGGTAACATAATGTGGGATGCTAATGTGCTGTTTTTTAAGCCTCAAATGAATAAAGACAAACTTATAAAAAGACGGCTTTGGATGGGCAGCAAGACTCAAACATTCAAATTTGCCATAAAGAACAGGATCACTTTCACCTAAAGCAGGTGCATGTTTCATTTGTGAACCGCGCTTTAGTTTCAGCTGTGTCTTACCGTAACACTTTGTACGTTCTGAAACTTGACATAGCGCAGGGGAATCAAACAGTCCTCTTTGTACTCTTCCTCTGAAAGCTCCAAAACTTGAGTGGCTTCACTCCGCTCAGCGTCATCAAAACCCATTGACCGGGGGAGATTTATGAATATTTTCACCACCTTAGGGGCTTGGGCTACCAGGCACAAAAGAGGATAGTGTAGAGAAGAAGAAGGGGAAATAACAGCACAGAGAATGAATTATTAGGGAATTATATTTTATTGATATAATATATATTTAGCACAGAGACTTAGGTGAGTGACTCAAGAGTAATGGGAAATAAACTCACCAAAGTCTGAGGACAGCAGCTTCATAGAGAAGAGCTTCACCGGCTGGTTGAAGGCCATCGTTATCAGCAACTACATCAGAATTACAGAGGCTGTTAGAGCAAGCTGTTAGAAAAATCTTTAAACATGTACAGAGAAAACAATTACAATGTGGCTGACAGCTAAAAACTGTCCTCAGGTTTTAGAGGATTAACTCACATTTAAAGACTCACCGGAAAAACAAGTATTTATTCATCGCACTGGTGCAAAGATTCAGATATTAGACTTTCACATTTGTGCTTGCAGAGAAAGATCCATCTGTCAAGCAGGATAGTGTTTGATGTCGTGAGTGTTGACACACATACCTGTTCATCACAGTCGGACTCCAGGTAGGTGGAGTCTTTGATTAAGCAGTTATCAAAGCCGCAGTCGTCGCTCTCATTGAGACACTCACAGCCAGCTTTGTTGACAAAAGGCATGAGATCCATCTGAAAGTAAACAGGGCAAAAACAACTTTGGAAAACCTTTTCTAACATCCACATCTGAACATGTCTTTTTAAATCACCTGCCTGATTCAGCACCAACACTGACCAAAAATATGTTTTACAGTTCTGCTGAAACTTTCAGAGTTATTAGATTCTGTGGGGTTAAAGCTACAATGGGACTATAAACAATATATATAATGATCAGTGTTCATGGTGTCCTTTTGTGGTGGATGCTTTTTTGCCTGTCTTAGGGCGAGGACATAGTTGACAAGGATACAAATAAAAGGGGTTTGAGAACATCATGATGTTACGGTGGAAATCACATTTAAGATTTTTGGTACATATGCATCATGCTTCTGTCTTTTCCTTTTTTTTGTTGAACTTTGTGTCGTAACCATTGACTGTATATAAAATGGACGTCATCTGCCTCCTCACAGGGTGAAGCCTACATGAGAACAACATCCCTGGTGACAGGCTGCAGTAGGGGTCATAAATCCAGCCTCCTCCAGCAATCCCTATGGAGTTGTGAACAAACTTTAGAAATGGATTACACAGGATATAAAATTTTCTCCCACCTGGTTGTGATGTTGACATGTAGTAATTGTAAGACTGGTTTGTGCTTAAGTCCTCTATTTTACTGTACAGCCCCATTTTTAAAAATTATTAGGGGGTTCATGTTTTCTTTGATTGACACTTCACACAGCCTTTGGGCTTACAAAGAGTGCATAAACCACCTGCGGGATACGCGGTTTGAGCAGAGCATCATTACAGCGACTTTCCAAACGCTACTGCGCAAATGCCGGTTTCCAGGACACAGAAAAAATCCTGGAAATACCGAGAGAAATTTGGCTTCAAATTCGTACAACGTTGGGAGGTGGAGCCAGGATATCCATACTATATACAGTCAATGGTCATAACTAGTGTATAAAGTATGATTAATTATGGCAAAAAATAAACTTTTCATGGAAGTCATTTTGACCAACACAGTTTAAGCAGTTCACCCTTCAGCTCAAACAGACATTTGTGCTACATTTAAAGATGTTTCCACCAGTTATTCCTGAAGTATCTTGTTTACAAGAATAGAACAGGCACATATAAAACCTGCAAACATCACGTCACTGATCCGGTGTTACAGAACCTGACCGCACATTATTGTATAAACTACATAAAAAGGGAGATCAAACGTCAAAGAACACAGTCCACTCACGTATCCCTTTGGAATGTCAGAGTCCTCGCTGTTCCCCGGGTCGTTCTCTGTGTGCTGTTTGATCTTCTCCTCCAGGCCCGCAGCGTCTGCCCCCTGATACTGCTCCACCCGAACCCGATTCCTGAAGAACAAGAACGTCGGTGTGGCTGAGATGTTGTTAGCTGCTGCGGTTGCCTGTGAGAAACAGAGAAGGATTTGTTAAGTTATCATCAAGTTTATTCAAGTTATCTCCAAAACCAATGGCTTGCTGCTGCAGATGTTCTGTGCAATTTTAATCCAAGAATAGCTCTGCTGTGATTCTTTGTTATGTCGACAAATATTTAAAAATAATTACAAACTCACCTGACAGACATGAACATCTACTTCGAGGAAGACGACCTGTGGGTATTTGGTGCTCAACATGTTAAAAGCTGGAGCTATTCTGATGCAGGGCTGACATCTGAGGAGACAGAGAAGAAGGTGTCAGTTATTGGCTCAGGTCTCTCATGTTGACACACGAGGTCAACTAGTCAACAAGTCCATTTGCGTAAGAATGACTGACAATACCAAAAGAGTACCAGGAATATTGAGTCGAAGGAAAAACATTTAGTTTTAGCTTTTTAAAAGTGAAGACTTCCTTTTCATTTCTGTTGTAAATATTGTCAAAGTTCCACTGGTTTGATTTAGCTAATATTAGATAGCGGACTAAAACAAAGATCCACCTTATTTACTAAAAGCTCCTGTGAACGCTTGATTTTTGTCAGTTTTGGCGCCCCTGTGAATAAAAAATGTCTTTGCTTTGCTTGTCATCTCCATATTTTGGTAGTGTCTTCTGAAAAACTTCATCCAGCTGAATTTTGACAGTCAAGTATACCAGTTCATGTGAGTATTTTACATGGAAAATGAAAAAAATAGGGTGTTTTCTCCAGCTGCTCAGCTGACAACTCCCTTGCAACAGTTTCAGGCTTTAAAAATCACAACACATAAAGGTCGGTCTTGTTGTTAATGGTCTTGTTTGCTTTTGTTCATCATAAACAAGATACTGTTTTATTAACATTGGAAGACTCCTCATAGAAACCTTAAACTTTTGGGGTTACGGTTAAAATCACTGTGCAGGACCTTTTTAGGAGCACGTTTCAGACCTTTCGGAGTCAGTTAGAACAAAAAAAAAAAAAGGAAAATTTTTGGGTGTTAGGGCTTCCCTTGGGTAACACCCCGGTATTGTTTAACAGGGCTAGGGTTAGGGTTTTGGGGTTGGGGTTAAACTTCTACGGACTTAAACTAAGACAACAGAACAAACTGATGGTTTCTGTAAGCTGACAGTTCATCTTCTGTGATTTTTGTGAACAAAAATCATGTACAACTCTGTTATAAAGGCAAATACAAGTCTTGGATCAGGTCCCATTATCAGGATATAACAAAAATCAAATAACTACAAAGGGATTAGGGGTCAAAAACCTAAAAAACATACCTATAACATGTCACTATTCATGTCTTAATAATGTAATAATGATATTTGAAGTCAAATTCCTCAAAGCCTGTATCAGGTTCAATCACATGTAACCAGGACAAGGGTTAGACATACTGGGGACTGAACATCACTTTTACTACACTTTTGTTACATTTCCATGAGTTATTATATAGCTGCTTTTTTCTGGTGTTAATAACAGACTTTATCTGACAGACAATCCTCCATTTATCTGATTAATTCATCTCTAAACTGTGAAATACCTCAGCAGTCAAACACTGTAATAAGTGCCATGTCATTCTAAGCACTGCTACTCGGCTAACAGCTAGCATCCTCAGCTAGTTCCCCCAACAATAAAAGCCTCTCCTGTCAGGTCACGGGGATATCAACATCCTGTCAACTTTAACAAAAAGTTAAAAAGCGAGAGCCAGGTGTTTCTGAATCTTTTCGAAGGAGAGACTAGACCCGGGATAGCGACACAGCCTCGAAGCCGGTTTGGCGATCTTACCCTGCCATTGTGAACTTCACCACGGCGAGCCTGGAGCCGGCGGCCGCTAGCTCCGGCTGGAAATCCGGGTCGCTCCCGATGACTTTTACACCAACCATGGTAACAGTCTGCGGATGTAGTGTGCGCTGGTTTTCTGGCTGGTGTTCAGGGGGGATACTGGTCAGATAAATCAGTGAAAAGTGTTTTGTTTTTAGCTTTCTGTCAGTATTTTTGCTAACTAGCTGTCCTGTTTCAGAGCCACACTGTTTCAGTGAGCTGATTCCGGATGTGGACTCCTGATTGGTCCACGCTCACCGGGGAAGGCGGGGCTTCACATTTTTCTTCTTCTTTTGTAAGTGTAGAGGTATGAGGCTTAATGCTTCTACGTGTATTACTGCTCTCCACAGGATAAACAGTAGAACATGCAATATAACTCAATGTAAAGCATTGGTGCTTCTTTATAACTCACCTGACTTAAATGCACTCCCCTTTCAATCTCTTTCTTTTTTGATTCATATAGATAGATAGATAGATAGATAGATAGATACATACATACATACATACATACATACATACATACATACATACATACATACATTTTAAAAATATATAAATATAAATATAAAGTGTAGTCATGTGTAAAGTGACGTGATGACACTGTAAAATGTGAGTTGAACAAAAACAGATTTTGTGGTTTTCTAATCTTTGAAACTTTTTAATCTTTCTCACTTGATGGTAGCAACACATTTCTAAAAACACTGTTAAAGTTGTGGAGTATCAAAAACACTTTAAAAAGCATCTGCAATTTAATCAGATTCAGTTGCAATTGGTTTGTAACATGACTGGAGATAAAAACAGGAGTACAGAGAGAAAAGGTGGAATGAGGTTCACTACACTGTGAGACACAGCATTAGCAAACAGGCCAATTCAACAACCTCGGAATAATGTTTCTACAAATAAAGTTAAAACAAACTAGGGGATATCAACATGTTTAGATCATAAGATAATTGAAATATTCAGAGAAGCTGGAAAAACGTATGTTTCAAAGGGATGAAGTTGAAAACCAACACTGGATGGCCCTGCAGGTGGCACTGCAGACCAGTACTGGACCATACAAAAGGACAGTTTTTAAAATCTTACACACTGTGAGCCCTGCTCTTAGAAGGAGAGGAACCACCCAGCTTTTTATCAAGGCACGGTTTAAAAGTCAGCATCCCTGATGAAATGCAAAACAGTATGGGTAACTCATAGATCTGGGAAGGCAGATACAGGTTAAGGAGCAACATATGCTGCCACCCAGACAAAGACTCTTTCAGGGAGGACCTTCATATTTCAGCAAAACAATACCAAACCACATTTGCTGTTTATTAGAAACAGCATGGCTCTGAAGTAGTACAGTCCTGTTGCTAAACTGGCCAGTCTACAGTCCTGACTTGTCAAAGCATTTGGAGCATCATGGAGTTAAATACAGCAAGGAGACCCTGGGTTGTTTAGCAGATGAAATCGTCTATCATTCAAGAATGGGACAACATTTCACTGTCCAAACTCCAGAAGCTGGTCTACTGTGTTTACATTAACCAACTGTGTAGACTACACAGGGAGTTGTAGTACCTTTTTGATAGAAAAGACTGTAATTTTGATGACTGTAAAAAAAATATTCAATCAAAATCAAGACTTAACAGAATGAAATGAAGACTTCTTAAACTTTATAATAATAATAAAAAAATATGGTCACAATTTTCCTGATTTAACTTTTCATTTTGACCTTACTGTTCAGTGGGATCAGGGTTTCTGATTAGGTTTACCCACCCTTGTTGATCAGAAGTCTCTTAAGGTGGCACCGTTGGTCTAAATATAGAGCTGAATCCTTCAGGAGCAGAATGTGAACACCCATGACATCTTTTAAAACTGTAATTTCAGAGTGAACTTCGAAACTGAAAGTCAATCACCAATCCAAAACATCATTAGAAATGTCTCCGGTATTAAATGGCAATTGTGTTTGTGTTTTTGGTCTTTTGGACTTCATCTTAAAAGTTACACCAAGTATTCTTACAACCTTAAAGACAATTTTCTTTAGAGCCTGTCTGTGTTTTTCAGGAGTCTGCTCACCTATTGTGATCCAACTGTAGTGTAAAAAATAACAAATTGCATCTGTAGCGCTTGAAGAGCATCTCCAGGTCCTAGTCAGCCATTTCAAAAGAGTCCTCCAGAGTTTAAGAATCATGTTAATGTTTGATTGGCTCAAACCTGAGCGTACCAGAGTCTACAAGAAAATACTTCCCTCACCAGATTTCCACTGTCTAACCTTAATTTAGTTAATTAATAACAATGAGGTAGCGCCAACTGCCATTATCATTATTGTCTCTTTATATTTGATGACTTAAAGGGATATTCTGGCGTAAAATTAAGTTAGGGTCAAACACACCATAACAACAAGTTAGACACCCCATTGAGAGACGAATGTTGCTGACTGCTTGCTTCTCTAGTTATACCAACTTTAGTAACGACCACAGATAGCAATACAGAGAGCCATGCGCTCAACCAAAAAGCCAATCTATAGCCACAAATAATGCTCAGAACAGCACCCAACTTCATCAACAGGACATATAGGGTCCCAGCCATAGTACTAGCCACCAAACATCTTTTTAACTTTGTCTGAGTTCTTTAGCAAAGAGACTAAACACAATTTACCATCCCTCTTCCAGCGGCCGCTTGTTTGCACAGAGACCTCCGGGTGAGTCCATCGACTACAGCAGGGGGACGCAGCTCAAGGAAGAACATTTATGATCATTACTTTATCATTTCCTTGAAGTAACGATCATCATATTAATAATTTTGCACTGCAGACGCGGTAGTTTTTCTGCCTTAGCGTCTCGGTCTGATTGCATTTCCATGAAGTAATAATTTAACAATGCCCTGTGTTACATTAGTATTAAGTGGAAAAAAAACACATTTAAAGAATAGGTTATCTATATAAAACTTAACACTTTAAATTCCTTTTTTCTTCATGACATATGCTGCTGACCTCTTGGCCAGGTCAACCTTGGGAAAGAGATCTTGATCTCAATGGGTTTATCTGGTTAGATAAAAGTTAATGGGGGAAAAAATGCATGCTCTTTTTTATATTAAAGAAAATTCACTAAACTTTAAGCCTACACTTTGCTTTTTTTATACATTAGTTGAATTTCTGTTTTAAGATGATGGTATCACATGTTCAAAAAGTCAGAATTTACTTGTAAGTATCCTTAAGGAGGGTATGTTTGCATGCAACAGTAGATAGCCACATCCCATGTTAGGCCCACCTGGTTTAATTAAGAATTCAATTACGTCCCTTTACCTGTGCGTCACGTGAGCAGAGCACCTCGCGCCCACTTCCGCCGCTGTCATAGCCTCCCTGAATGCCACGCGTTGTTTTTAGCTGCTTTTTATTGTTGTCTCAACTCTGGACGTGTCGGACCGGTCCGGCAGGTTTGAGCGGCACAGAGCAGGTGAGGCAGCGGGGGCAGGAAGGGCGGGGAACCGCCGAGGAGCTCTCAACAAGCAGGAAGAAGAGGAAAACATGGTGCGGTGACAAAACACCCGGACACCGACCGAGACAAGGATTCATCTTTTTAAAACCAGACTGAGAAGAAAACGGAGTAAGTCCTGTTTAATATTCAAGGTTTCATTTAGTTTAAAATGTTTTTATTGGTGCAAGAAGTGTAAAACTACACAATGTGCAGGTAAACGTCTCACCTGGGCGGCTGCTGCCCAGCTCCCCTCTGTAAGGAGACCTGGCTGGTTTTAGTTTGATACGTTTTGGGCTACTTAAGAGCTTTTGGTGCTCATTTCTCCCAAATCATTGGTGCTGGTCTCAGTTAAAACTTTGACCTTTTAAACCTTTATGCTAAACCTCACTGATAAATGTTTCAAAATTGACTATAACTCATAGTAGATATCGTTAGTTTGTGGTAATGTAGTCCACTGATGAGGACTTACCCTACTGTCGACCGTCTTTGCTCAACGAAATGTGATATTTTTAGCCTTTTCTCTATCTTCTATCTTCTCCATCCTCTGTTTTTACTAGAATTCACAACTCCAAAAGGGTTGGGAACAGGGTCATGGGTTACAGTGATGACTTTCAGGACTGAGGCCTCCTTAAGGCATACACCTGTAAACTTGTTGGCCTTTGTCGTCTATTTAGTTACCTTTAGTTTAATAGTTTAGACAATTAGAAATAAGACAGAGAGGTGTGAAAAACCCTGTGCCGGGCTTGATCTGGGCTCTCAATCAGGTATTACATCACATTAGTCTTTAGAAAAGAAAATATAAAATAAGAATTATCAAGAGGAAAAGTAACCAGAAGAAGCAGCTTAGTAAAATGTGATCAGGACAAATAGGATTTTTTTTATGAATGTAGGCCTTTGCCAAAAGGATAATATTGTAAAAAAGAGCAAACTTTTTGCAGCTTTTTAAGTGCAGAAGTGATTGATTTGAAAATGTATTATACATTTTTCAGCCAGAATATTTGGAGTCTGAAATGTAGGTTTAAAAAAAGAGGTAAAAGATAAATAAAATGATCTGTAGGAATAGTTTCCAAGATGGAAATTTCTCTCAAAATACGACATTCACTTCACCCTCATGGTCAATAAAGTCCCCATCCGCAGTACACTTCGATCTTAATACCTCCACTTCCTCCATTTGTGTGTTTATCTTTACACTTATCAAACATAGGAGTTCCTGAAAAAGTAATTTGTTATTTTTGGATAAGGTGATACGTGTGATCTTTTTACCTGCCCCGTCTTACTGTGAGATTTTTTTTGCCCTTATATGTAATATTTTATTTTTTTTACAAAACCCCATATTTCTGCCAATAAAGAGAAAACAAGTAAAGAGGACTCAAACAGGAAAAGATTGGATTGAAACCAGTTCACCCAAGTTACCGTTTAAAGGTTGTTTTCACATAAAGAATGTGACACAAATGAATTTTGGTAAAAGCACAAAAACCTGCAGAAAGTGTCTGCATGTGTCTGACGTACAGCCTCAATCAGAACATTTTGTTATTAGACGAGACTCGGCACAAAATATTGGTAAAAAGGCACATGAGGACAAAGATGGAAACTCCTCAACAAACATCAGCTGTTAGACTTTGAGGAACTTGTGACATGACAGCTGGTCACTCCCATGTTTTGACATTCCTTACAGAGTATAATAAACATGCATGACATGTAAAGACTGTGCTTACTGAGGAGGAACAGATGCATACGTGTATATTAGCTCCACGGTATATGCAAAGACAGATTCATGTGCAAAAATATCTCTGGATCTCAGTTTTTACGCAGTTTGACCTCAATCCTATCAGTATTTCTTCAGGATGTTTGTTGCATTCTGGTCCTGCTGGTTTGTGAATAGAGATTTCTGAAGAAATGGATTGTGCAGCAGTAGAGGTGAAGAAGTTTCTGTGGTAGTCAGTATTTTTTTCAGTTGGTTTTTAAATAGAGTTGATGTAGGGATGTTATTTTCCAAGCTAACTGAACACTTTTCATTTTGCTGCTCCTCAAGTGAAAGACATCTCTCAAGTGAAAGACTTATTGAAAGACTCTGGGTCTAGTATCACCATGAGGTAGGCTGTGAAACGCCCGCACACACAGTGGACTGAAGCTGGTGTTGTGCTTGAACACACCGATAGCTCCTGCACGCATGTGTTACACGAGTCTGGGTATTTTTCCATAAACACAAAATGCAGTTCTCCTTTTGCAGACAAAGCAGGTTCTTTGATTATGGAAATGTTTGTCTCCTCATGGAAATGGCGGAAATTGAAATCCTTCACTTCGGATTTGAATTGTAACTCAAGAGGCAAATAGATTGAAGGTCAAGCGGCGGTGAAGGAGTTATGTCAGCTTTTTCAATCCTTAGATTACGTAACAGATGTTTAGGTTCTTTCCTGTTGCCAAATTTTCCCCAGTTTGTTTTTTTCCCTCAAAAGTAGGAGGATGTGATTCTCAAGTTTAGCAACCCAAGAAGACGACTAAGGAGCAAATTCAGCCCCCAAATTCAAAATCTAGGTCGTCCTCAGGACCTTAAATCATATCCTGGCCCATCGGTCAAAGCTATTATAATGCAAGGGGTACAGTAGCAGGCAGGCAGCTAATGGATCAAAATGAGTCCAGAACCAAATTTAGCCCCCAAATAAAAGAGTTCAGGGGGAACAAGGGGCTGAAATGGAAATATGTGCCCACAATAGCCAAGAGGTTAAAGGAGTCCTACAGCGAATGTATCCTCAAATCAGACATCTCAGGGGCTGAAATGACACTTCTTGCCCCTGACTTAACAAGTATTAGATTTCCAAGAGCAAATTTAACTCTCTAATCAGACATCTTAGGGAGTAAAAAGTGGATTTGACCTTCACAGTGAAAGGGGTACTTTGGGCTTTAAAGCAAATTTAGGCTCGTGTGATTCAGTAGACATTGAGGTTTTGATAATGGATGGAAAATTTTGCCCACGTATTCCAGAGCTTGGGTGTAAATCAGGGTCAGAAGAGGGCATTTAGCGCCCATGATTCAAAGTATTGTATAAAAAGATTATAAAAACTTTAGCCTCCAAGTATTAAAGCTGCTGGAGGGAGTTAATTGGGGATCAAAAACCTACTTTGGAGCGATTTTAGCCCCCAAAATTGACAGTTTAGGAGTCCAGGAAAAAAACATAGTCGGGTAGGCTACTTAATATACAGCATAAGGGTTTAAATTCAATTTCTGGGATGGTATCAGGTCGCTAAATGTAATTGTAGGAACATGATAACCACAGGAATAGGTCTGAGAATAAACTAATACGAGTATAATATTGAAAGCCTTTAGCACAAACACACAGACTATTCCCAGATTAATCAAACAAGAAGAATTTGATTGTCAGGTTTTAATTTCCATCTTTTGAGATGAGAAGAAGTGACAAACAGAAAGACTCGATGAAGCCCGAGAGGATTGTTTTAAAGGAGAAGAGATTTTAGTTTATTCATGCAGACAGTTTGAGCCATAAAAAAAAAAATATTCAAATTCAACAAATGCGAAAACCGTGGGCACTTAAAACCACGCCACAAACACTGCTATAGCAAACATTTTCCACCTGAGGCTCAGGCCTGCCTGAGGTTTCTGTACAACATAGGCAAAGCAGAATTTAAATAGAATTTGAGTATATGAGGGAGGATGATGGTGTGTTTGTTAAAGAATGAGGAAGGAAGGATGCTGTAAAATCACCTCATAAATGATGTTTCTCCTGTTTGAGATTATCGTCCAGGTGACTCTAAACGTCTTTTGCTTCAGACTGAGATTAGAGAAGTATAAAAAATTCAAACATGTATCTAAAAACATGCTTCTTATTTCAGTGTTGCTGCTTTTGCTCAGGTGCTCTGGCGGGTTGCAGACACATTTCAGAGTAACTGCTGGTGTCTCTGTGGGCTGACTGTCTGTCTGTGTCTGCTTTCATGGTCCCAACCCCAGCTGTGAGGAAAGCACTGATGGCTTGACTCATTAACCTCCATTAAACAGCCTGCACACACTCCCACAGATACTTGGAGACTAGTTGACTGGTTGTAAGATTGTTCACATATTTAGGACACTTGTTCTGATGGTGAATTGAATTACTTACAAGATGATACAATAGGCGGTATCCTGTTCATCTTTCTCTGCAAATGTCTCTCTGTCCTGTTCACATGTTGTGAATGGAAATTTTAGAAAATTTATAGCTGTCACAATTGATAAGTCATCTGGAGTTCATTGTCTTTCTGGAGTCATTAGTGGCCACATTCAGAAGGCCAATGATATAGTGATATGTTTAATTTTCAAAGCTTTCTAGCCTGTGTTTGTTGATATTTGCTGGTAAACCTGCGTGTTTCCCACAGTGTGAGGCTCATTTTGTTGTAGCAGGTGGCTTCATGGTGCGAAGCATAATCCTTTCATATTTTTTGTACCTGATATGTTGCAGCAATCCTATTCTGCATCTAACGAATCAGAATCAGAATGTCATTTATTGTCATCATACTAAAAGTACAAGTAAAAGCAGTGCAATAGACAAGTAAAATTAAGGTAGTAAAAGTACAAATAGAAAGATAGAAGGTACTATATATACAAGACAAGAATTCTACAGAACAGTAAAATAAAACATATGTATAAGAATAAAATAGAAAGATAAATACTAAAGAGAATTATCAAAAATAAATATATATATGTGTTTGAGTATATTTTTTTATATGTATATGGACGTGTATTGCACAGGTTAAGGATATAATAATCGACACACGATTATCACGACTGTGTGTTGAGATAAAATGCAGAGCAAAATCTTACCCCAGATATGTCTGCAAATTGCAAACCATCATTTCATGGAGTTACAAGTATTCATCTGCTTTGATTGAGTCTCAGTTTCGCTGTAAACAGTCAATTATGCAGAAGCTGTCCTTGGGTTAACTCTGATGATAAAGACCTGAAAATGAACCTTTCATTCTTGCAGTTTACTTGCTTTATTCAGGTCTTAAGTTTGCAAAAATAAAAAAAGCATGATGCAGATTTATATGAAATAAATGCAAGCATGTGTCCTTAAGTGGAAAGAAAACAAATCTTCACATTTTTGTTGAACAAAGGATAGATCAGTTATCTCTAAAGCATTCAATTTAGTCAGAAAATCTAAACGCTGACCTGATAAACACTAAACAGTTATTTGTACCAACACTGTTATTTGCAGTCTTTGTGAAATTAAAAAGTTCCCGATGAGCTTTGCCTAGCACAGAGGCTTTCAACTTGTCTAGCTGTCCCCTCCCAGTCTTATCATGGAATCCATGGTTGTTGGGGCTCTATCGACTAAAATAACAGATTAATACCAAAAAACTGGGTTTATGTTTGCTGGGCTTTCGGGCAGTTTCATGTAGCTACACCCCCTTACTGGATAAAGAAATAATCTGAAAGAATGTGCGGTAGGAAAAACACCAACTAAATAATGACCCTATTCATCTGGACTTTCTATTCTTGAAAAAGATGCACACAGAGTGGAGGACAGCTGGTTTGTGTGTTTGTCTGCATGTAGAGTCGCAGTGTTAAGTGGGAGTCCAGCAGAGAACAGGCAGTCGTTGTTCCTTTTTGTTTCTCACCTGTTGATTACAGATAGATCAGCCCAGGGCTCAGAGGGATTCCCCTCAGGTGCTGCAGAAACCCGACCCTGCATTAATCTCCCTGATAGCATCTTTTCTCGCACAGCCGAGTCGCTCAGTACCCGACACCGATACGTTCTCCTCTGCCGTGGCCCAGATCCGGGTCATGCCAGGAACTCGTCCTGAAAAATAATGAAGAGTTAAAAATAACCTTCTCTTTACATTTTGCTTCACCTATGCTTGGTCCAGAAACCTTTAGAAACTGTAATTTCCTCCGCAAAGTCTTTTTTTTCCCCCATACTGAAGTTTGTTGGCAGGAGATTATAGAAAATGTCTCGCAGACGTCTGTACTTAGATTCAAAAATTTTGTCAGGGACACAGAAATAAGCAGTTTAAAGATTTATAAATAAAACAATGGTGATTAGTTTTGCAGTCATCTATTTATCATTTCTCAACCATAAAAGCTTTTCAGAGTTTTATATTATCCTTAACTATCCATCTTTGCTTCATTACTTTAAGTTCTCTTGATTGTTGATGGAGGGATGTGATCTGGACCGAACTGTGAAAAAGACCTTTTAGGGCCCTGTTTTTACCTTTTTTTTTCTTCTGCTCCTGTTTGAAGTCTTTTTTAAAAAAATATATCATTTAGGGTTTAATACTTTTAATTTCACAGCTTTTCTTGAAAAGCTACAATTTTCTGATGGGAAACTGCCTCTGGGGACCCTGAAATTCCCAGCATGTTTCTGCTTGTTTTTCTGTCACAGACTGTCGTTGTGGGAGTCTTGAGATGAGGACTAGCACTTCTGTCAGAGTGGAAACATGAATCAATCTCATTTTTGTGATTATTTGTTCTTGAGCTTTTCTTTAGAAAGAAATGCTTTTATGCTCATCTGCATGTACTGTAGACAATGCTGAGTCTCCGTCTGTGTCTTTGTACGCCAAGTGGGCAAAATATCAGCCACACATTGTCATTTGTGGTTTCCTTCTCATGTGCGGTCAACACTCAGAAAACACTTTCGGATACAATTGGAGCTGAAACCCACGTTTGAGATATAAATTTAACTCAGTAACTGATACCAGTGTTTTTTGCATTACTTCTTTGTATTTTTTGTGTGGGACTTGATGCATGTGTAAACAGTGGCTAGTGCCTGGAGCGTGTCTAACAAACTGCATGTTGCTGCTCTTTCTCAGAGATGGAAGCACATTCCACAGACTTTATGTTTCATCATTAAATCACTTTGTCCAGTCAGGGACTTCTTCTGCCCAATAAGAAGCATCTTTGTATAACACCAGTAAGGTGTAAAAGACAAAAACAGAAGGCTCAAGAGTACAGATACATTATTTTCAGATGTGCCGCCATTAGTCAACACGGCAGATATTTGCCAATACTGATGTTCATCAGAGCATCCGTAGTTGGCACTCAGCCGTCAGTCCTGGCAGGTGGCTCTCTGCATGCTTTTGCTGGTTACACATTGTTCAGGTAGAGCAGATACCAGTATAACCAGACACAGTCAACAAACAACTTTATCTCCATTTTCTGGATCAAAACACTGACTAACTGAGCTGCTTTACAAGAAGCAATCTGCCATCTTAGCTTGCCTACATTCGGGTTGTAGGACACTATAAGATAACGACAGTTCTCATTAACCTTAACTGGTGCAGTTAAGACTCGATATATGGCATTTTAGGCCTCCAGTACAGGCCTAAATATGCACATCCCTCATCTTAAATCTAATTGATTACAAAGTTAATTCAAAAGCATTTTTTTTAAATAGACCAGAAACTAGTTCCTTGAAATAATGAAAACAGAGGATATATGATATCGGACTTAAATGATATCCAACCTGCTGGTATTTCCATCATGTCCCATAGTCTCAGAATTAAGCTGTTATTGTGATAGATAGATAGATAGATAGATAGATAGATAGATAGATAGATAGATAGATAGATAGATATAAAACAAAACAAAATACACACTATTCTTTCATAGATAATAAATGTACTTTTTTTTTCAAATATTCAAATAGACATTGAAGTATATGGTTGTTGCTGTATGTCACCTCCTCCCCTTATCTCACAGGTTTTAATCATCTGTTGTTTACACTGAGGGTTGGAGTGATTTTGTTGTCGTGACACTTGAACTATAAAAGCACACACACTTACTAAAAACAACAAATTGACAGCGTTAGACAGCAGAAACAGAATCATGCAGACCCAGGCTGTGTTTTCAGAGAATCGTCTGTGTTAAAGAAACACAGGCTCTCTCTCCCATCCTGTAGTTTGTTTGTCTGAGCCGTCCTCCTTACTCCAGTGAGTGCTGAACCTCCTCCCCCCTCTCAGGTTTCACCGTTGTCTCAGGTATGCTCTCCTCTGTCCCATTCCCTCAACCCCCCACCCTGCTCTTTAGTCACCATGACTACACCCTCTGGCAGACACTAGAACTGATGAGTGCTGAGTGATTGTCGGGTGAAATCTGATTAGTTAGTTTTGGAAGTGGGCGGGGCATTTACAGTTTTGTCGAGGATAGTGAGTGAATTTGTTTGTCTTCCTGAAGCTGTTTTCAGGTTTGTTTGATGGCAGAGTTGTAGGGATTCCTTCCTTTTACAGTTTGGTCCTCCAAATGACTTAATCAGATAGCTTAGAGGTTAGGGCAACCCTCTATTTTTCAATGCAGGGTCTAATTATAGTGGGGTTTTATGCTTCTCTGTAAAAGTTGAAGAAAATCATGTAAACCAATTTACTTTTTCTTGTCAAGTGTAAAAAAAACTATCTGGGTTTGAGTAGATCTTGATTGATTGATTGATTGGCAAACAAAATTCCTTGAAAGCAAAGTCGAAATCATTGAAAAGTTGTACATTTTGCATCGATTTCCCCATCAGGGAAACATATTTCTTACAGCATGCGTTCCTTAACGGTAACAGGTTTCTAAAGAGTGTAGAGATGACAGGAGGAGTGACGCAGCACTTTTGTTAAGGCTGTGTACTCTTTTGGCGTGGCACCTTGTTCGACATGTTGACAACATTGACATCAGGTGTCCTCATCTGAAGATAAATGCTCATGCGTGTTTTTTGTGATCTTAAGTCAAATGGGTGCAGAAACATGCTACTGGATATCTGACTCAAGAGTTCTGGCTACTGCTGTTAACAAACATTTTCAAAAGCTCTCTTTTTTTGGGAATGAAACAGTGAATTACTGTCTTGTTTTTAGTTAAAGTTCCTGTGGAAGTTGGCGTCCATTGTGGACAAAGCCGTCTCTGCTTATCTTATCCTCTACATGCTTACAAAGCGTCTTCTTTCAGAGAAATGTTATCACGATTTGACTGATGACAGTCAAATGTCTCATTCACTGTCAAAACTTAAAGAGGAAATTGTAAAAACACATTAGTTTCTTCAGCTGCTTGGCTGACACCTGCCTCTCACCTACGTTTTAGGAATTTTGTTTCATATTGATCTGAGATGCTTATGATGAAGTGACAGTGAGAGCTGTTTGAAGGGAGGGGCCACGCCTAGGCTCTGCTGTTAAGGAAGAGAGGGAGGGTGCGCTTCATTCAGTGTATAGGATGTAAGAGGGCATCACAGCAGGTAGCACGATACCATTCAGTCTGTATCATGTTTTTTATGATCGTAGGGGGCTCAAAATTATAAATGAAATACAATTAATTGCATAACTTCAGTGTGTGATCTGCTAGATTAGCAAAAACACTGTTAAAAAAATGACTTATTAATTCCTGTATTGTAATATTCAATACCTGTGACTGTCTTTGATTTCCCAACCAATCACATTGAGGGATATATTTACCATAAAAAAAGGTGCCATTCAGGGTGGGTTTTTGTCAGAAAACATGACTTATATTTATCTAAATGAAAAGAACAGCAAACAGAAAAGAAGTTAGATTTTTTTATTATGAGGCTTAAAATCCTCCCAGAGGTCCTCATAGGAAAATACCTGCTGAATTATTTTTGGGGTTGTCTTTACTCACTGCTCCAGGTTCCCCTCCCCCATCTTAACTTAACCATCTAATGTTGTTTTTAAATGTCCGCCCCGTCCTCATTCAGAGTCATGTTCAGACTCGTATAACCCAGCCAGAGCTCATTCAGTCAAACCAAAGCTTGTCTACATTAAGACTGTTAAGTTTAAAGCTTTACTTTAGCGGCTCTTAATGGACCTTTTGTTCATGAATGATTCGAAGTTTGCTAAACTTTGATCACAGGATTCATGCAGAGCTGGCTGCTTAATGCAAAATGTTTCATCACATCAGGTTTCTGGTAAAAACTGTTTATTGGTTTTATAATCCTTTTGGATTAGATTTGACAGATTAAAGATTAAAAAAAGAGATACACATCATTTAAAGAAGCTCTACTAAGTGACTTTAGTAAAGTACAGCTGCCAATGAAGGCCTTGGGAACCGTATTTATGGCTCCTTAATACCTGAAACTGCAGAGTACACACTTGGAGTCTAAGACAAAGCTTGAGGAGTAGAAGTCATGGCGGTCCGAGCACCAGCAGTCTGTATCAGTGGTTTCAGCAGCTTCAGCTTCACATGATGGCCTCCTTCACTCTGAGTTCATCTCTTGTTCCTGCTGTTTCTCTCCTCTTTATCTGGTGAGCTTTTCTCCAGGTTGCTACAACGATGCTGATCATGACGATTAAATAGAGAATCACTGTTCCTGCACGAACAGCTAAATGCCACGGGTAAGGAGCATCTGGAGGATTTGGAAAAGACAGATGAATCCCTTTGTTCACACAAAGCTTTTCTGCATACGACCATGAGCAGAAATAAATCCCAGTGTCCTCCTCCTCCACCTGCAGGATCTCCAGAATGACTGATCCGCTCTCCAAACTCCCTTTACTTCTCATTTGGCTGTTGTCTTTGTGGAAGTTGACTGAAGTTGACTTAAGTTTAGTTTTTTTGACTGTGAGGAGAGGCAGCAGCTGATCTGAGCGCAGCAGGTACCAGGTCAGCTTACGGCTGGATGTTACATTACAGGTCAGAGAGATGTTCTGACCCGGTTGGACCACCAGGGGAGAGGCTGAGGAGAGGAGAGCTCCTGCTGCACCTGAGGTTGGATACAGGCAAAGAAGAAGCTTGATAGCTTAAATTTCACAGAAAAGTTATAAGTTATTGATAAGAGTGCCAATCCAGTTGCACCTTTGGTCAGAGACAGTTACTTGGAAAGGTCCCCAGCTTTTTAATCACGATCTGTCTGTTTCTTTGGTCTGAAATCTGTTGTTTAGTGAGTTCTTTTGAGGCTGTGCTTATTCTCTCAAAACATTTAAGAATATTAAATGCCTTTTTTCGTCTCGTCTAAAATCCGTGTCCCAAAAAAACATACTGACATGAGCTTTGTTAAATCCCCTGCCCCCCAACCACGACATTCTGTACCAGCATCTTTGCTGCCTGAAAGGAGGGCAGTATAGATATTCACATTAACATTGAACAACACCACACAGGGTACACAAATAAACTTAAAAGAGTAAAATAACTCACAAAGCAAGAGAACACTCCATGCCAGCGCTGCCATAGTTCAATTTTCAGAGTTCAAGATGAATTTTCCTCATTTGTGCTCAGGTAACAGACTGGTCAGAGTGAAGGCGCAGTGATGAGGAAGTGAGCCACAGCTTTAGTTTTTGCAGAGCCAGAGACCACCGACTTCTTTGTCACACAGGGGAAACGGAAGAGTGACCTTTTTTTTAACCTTAAACACCTAACCACGGAAAGACTCTGCAACCGATGAGGCTGGCTGCACCAGTGCGGTCTGAAATCATGACTGAGACACAGTAGATGGTTTGAGAGAGCTTATTCCGTCAAATACAGCATTTAACTGACTTATAACTTCAGTGTGTGATCTACTAGATTAGCAAAAACATTGTAAGCAAAATGACCTATTAATTCCTGTATTGTAATTTTGACTGATGATACACAGCACAGCAAAAAATAAACCAAACAAAACTGTCTTTGACTTTCCCCACCCAATCACATTGAGGGATATATTTCCTCTTAAAAAAAAGGTGCCATGGTGGGTTTTTGTCAGAAAACATTACTTATATTCATCTAAGAGAAAAGAACAGCAAAGAGAAAAGAAGTTTGATTTTCTAATAGGAGGCTTAAAATCCTCACAGGAAAATACCTGCTGAATTATTTTGGGGGTTGTCTTATTTACTCACTTCTCCAGGTTCCCCTCCCCCAACTTAACTTTACCATCTAATGTTTGTTTTAAATGTCCGCCCCGTCCTCACAGAGTCATGTTCAGACTCGTGTGACCAGACAGAGTGCGTTCAGTCAAACCAATGTTCTGAAATCAAATGTCAAAAGTCCAGAGCCACCCACAGGAAAACTGTAGACTATCCACGACGGAAAGTGGACACACCCAGAGGTGAGAACTATTTGTCCATAGATTTAACTCCTTCATTTTCCCCCTTTTAAGAGTCTTGCAGTTGTCCTTATCTGCCTCATTTGGTTTGTTCAGGTGTTTGATCCTTGAAACAGGATCAATGAAGCCTCTCACAGGGTAATGGACTCTTTTCCACATCATTAAACTTTAAACAACGGGAAGCAGTGAGGTGCTAACCTGAACCTCAGATGGCTCCAGTTCACCAGACTCTGCCGTTTAGTTGGTTGTGGATGATTCAAGGCCAGTGAGACGAAGGAGGGGGAAATGAGATTAAATAGTTAGTGATGGTTATGACTGCTCTGGCAGTCATAACTGATCATGTCTGTTATGAGGCTTTAGCTAGTATACCTTTACCTCCTGGATAAAATACCTTAAAACAAAACCACAACAGTATAAATCAATGAGTGAATATTTGTTTCGGTCATTCATTTAAAAGAAACAAGAAATATATTCAACTTGATACAAAATACAAAGACCAAAATTGTACATGTTTACGCTTGTTCATTTGACATAATAAAACTCACAATCACTGACAAAAAAGAATAGACTAAAGATGAAGTTTGTTTTTCCTCTCCTGTTTAATCTGCAGTGCATCCCGGATATCAGCATTCAATGACAGGCAAAAAGTCAACAATATCATAGGATAAGTGGAAACTATTACAAATAGAATAAATAAACAGTGAATGTACAAACAGTTTCATGGATTGGTTCCTTAGGGACACCAAGGCCTCTTTTACATATGCATTCCTGAAATTTTCAGGAGCTTTACCCTACCAATTTCATCAAATAGGATAAGGTCCTCCCGGTTGTACAGATGGGGTAGTGAGTAAGGGGCATGGCATCAAAAAACTTGCACTGTTCGGACTTCATTCGCCGATGAAGTTGCAGAGAGACATGCACCATGTTGACAGTTTTCGCTTTTGTATCCGTGTATACGAGCAAGAAGAAGGATCTGCAGACATCTTGGAAATGCATAACTCTTGGATATTTTTATTCATATCCTGTTACGTGTCACTCTTGCAGGTTTGCACCAGTTGCATGACATAAACTTCACCCCGCCCACTCGTCCCTGAAGTTTCCTGCTTCATTCTCACATCAGTTTTCAGAAGACTTTGCATATGAAAAAACAGCCATATGTAAAGTTATACTTGCACCCTTTAATAAGGTATTTTTCCTTTATTTCCACTCTGGTCAAGAGGTACTAAAACGAAAAAGAAAACAAAAACTGTTAAAAGGATGTGGAAAATTAGCACCACAGACCCAGTGAGCTCTCTGTACCGTAGGTGTGTTAGGAGTATGCTCTTTTGGTCATGAAGCAACCAATCAACTTGCACAAATTGTGACTCATGTAATCCCCATCTGAAACCTTTGGCTCAGTAAAATATAAATGTGCATACATGTATAAATAGTCTCAAGAAACAATTGTAAGTTGTCCGTCTGGCTTTTCTGGTTGTTCTTACCCAGATTAAAAAATGCTGGGAAACCTGAAGGGTTTGCCAGGTTAAAGGTTATCAGGTTATAAGGTCTAATGTTTATACATTATGCATTATTGGTGCCGTTGTGCTAACTTAAGTTTCTTAAGTTCAAAACGGGACACCAGGTTTAGTGTCTACTTCAACATGTGTGGAGTCGTGTTTAGTCTAAAAATAGACGGCTCGATTTTTCAGCTTGATAAAGCTCGTTAAGTCTGTGATTGTAATGTCTCTTGAACGGAGGGTGTGCTCACATTCCAGCGTATTCTTTCTTGACATGGCACTTCAACACACACAAAGACACACTGCAACGTCATCACGTCATCCTTTGTGTGACTTCTGGAGGGTTTCAGAAACCGGCCTGTCAAATCAGCCTGGGCACCTCTACCACAGTTTTTTATGTCCGTCCATGAGTATCAGTGGCTTTACAAAAAAACATTGAGGTGGATTTTTGTGACAGAAATTTCTATCTCATTAGATTACAGAAAAGTATTTGACCTATTTAAGCAATCCTTACAGTAGCTTAGTCATCAGTGTCAGCAGATTGACTTCACAAAACTGAATAACTTTTTATGAAATGAAGAGATACAGATAATCTCGTTTCCTGATCCATCTGAATCCATGTTACCTCTTTTTTCTTGCTTCATAAATTATTCCTGCTCATGGTACATGGTTTTCTTTTCAGGTTCAAAGCTACAGATAGTCAGTTAAAAACCTGTCGGACGAGTTGCCAGTGTTTTTACAGTCATTAGCTTTCTATATTTGTCTTTCCACTGGCATTTGTCCTCCCCACTGCAGCTTTAACCATAGACTCATATTTATTGCTCCAGCTGGTATCCAGTCCTTTCATGCTTCAATAACCAACTAAATTTCTTAAAGCCTTTAATTCATCAACATGAAATGACATAAGTGAAAAATGCAGATCTTAAATAGCAATTCTATTTACCAATTCTCTGTATTTCAGTGTCACGTTGTGTCAGTGTCAGGTTGAGTCTGACGCTGATAGATGGAGTCAGTAACCATTATCAACTGGTTTTAGCCAATCAGAATCATGTATTCAAAGCATCTGTGCGATTAACAAGACAGACAGGTAATACGTTGTGTTTGAATGATGCAATTAATATTATTTCATCTCAAATTTATTGATCGGATCAAATTCCTTGTTTTTAGAGAAACTTGAGGCGCCAAGATGAATCGGCGCCGTGTAAACTCCCAGGGGTCCCTGGGGCCTGACGATGAGGTCATGCCGTACAGTGACGATGAGACAGATGACGAGTTGGATGTGAGCTCTGAAGAGGAAGCAGAAGAGCCACCAGGAGCCCCACAACCCCCGGTAGAGGTTCGACCCACTGGTGAGTGGTTTAAGTCTCATATATTTGTACCACTTTAAGTGTAATCATGTTTTCTGGTCAGGGAAATTTTATATCTGAGACGGATGAAAGTATTTGAAATCTGTTTTGTTTTTAGTGCATTCAGTCACAGAGACAGGTCCAGGATGTTTTTAGTCCATCTTTGTAAATAGACTGGACGTAGAAGAAATAAGTCTGGACGTAGAAGAAATAAGTCAACATGTACAGAAAAGTTTCCACAATCCTTGACATGGTCTGATTCTTCCTCTGTTAAGTTTTAAAATCATGCTTCTTTTTCAGAGATGGCATGGAAGGTAAAAGCCAACGACCGACCTTACCACCATCTGCCAGAGTTTGAGAAAAAAGTCTTCCTTTGTTTCAAGAAGAGCAGATACTCGGTGAGTTTCATTATCAGCATAAAAGTTATTTAAAGACATCTGTATTCTTGAAGGTCCTGGATTAAACTTATCCTGAGCTCATAGAGCTGAGTGTGGCTGACATACCTCGGACAAATACTAGTAAATGAGCTCATTTTCAAACCAAGTTGAAATCATCAGAAATATTTTCATCTCTCCAGGACTGTCATTGGTCTTGTTTCTTTTGAGATCAACCAGCAGAAGAAAAAAAACTTGCTTTAAAGTAAAGTGAGTAAAAGACAAGGGGAGAGAGAACTCGGTTAATGTTTGCTGAATAACTTGGTATCAAAAGTCTAGAGGTGTATGTGTCATACTCAGTAGCTAGCTTGGCTCTGATAAAGTTTAAGATTGTCTAATCAGCGCCGTGGCATATACTGATCAACAGGTGATCTGTTGAGTTTTGCTAACATAGTCTGAGTCAATAGAGACCTGATTACTCAAAGAAAGAAAGAAATTTTGTTCTTTTTTAGTGGGTTAATACAAATTTCACATTCACAACAACATTTTCCACCCATTGAAACGAGATGTTCCTTACAGGGAAGCACAAAAAAGGGAGGAATAGATTCAGAACATGTGAGACTTATTTAACACGACTATGTGCATTAAAACATAGAAAAGAAATGTGCACCTATGGGTTAAATTTACATGAATGGAAACAACACTCGATTTACATGACAAAGTTATGTGAGTATATCCTGTCTTTCAGACTCAGTGAACTTCAAGATTTTCATACAGATGAAAAGAAAACAAATGGTGCTTGGAGAGATGGAAATTACTTTAAAACCTTGTGCTTGATCTGGAACTTAAGTGTGGAGTTTTAGTTGCTCGATCCAATAGGAAAACTGTTGTAGTTCCCTTTGAGTTGAATTGGAAACCTGTCATGCCAAAAAGATCTCACCAATAAAAGTCAAAGTGTCTTGCAAGAATGATCAGCATTAGACAAAAAACTATGGGCTGAGTCTGATACAACTGGATTCATATCTGTCAATACAGGATCTCTTAGGTACCATAAACATGACGCACATCACCAATGAGGGACCTGCCGTGCTAAATAAATAGTTTAGCTCCTGTTTTATTCCACCCTTCAGATGTTTTTGTTTCTGCTGAGTCATCCCTCATAGAAAGTGATTTACAGTTGGTTAGCACAGTCATGTTTTACACAGTGACAGAATGACAGATGTCGATGGAAGTTAAGATAAAGTTGAACACTTGCGAAGCTTGTTTAGATAAGTTTGTGAACATTTTAGGTCTGTAATTCAGCTCTTTTCTTAAGTCATTCTGTCTACCAAGTGCAATCAAATGACTTAGAGTACCTTTCCTCTGTTTTCGAACACTCACCAAAGAGTGCTGACTTTGTCTTGTGAGCAGCTGGTGAACAGAGGAGTGTCTTTTTCTGTGTCTGAAGCTTTGTGTCGTCAGTCTTTGTGGCGGCTGAAACCTGATCAACCAGCCGAGCCGACCTGTATGTCTCTAATAGACACATTAGACACTGTGGGACTGAGATCTGAACATGTCAGGGACGGTCTCAGTAGTCAGCTTCAGGATGAGAGTCCTAGATCCAGCAGGATCATGCAGAGAGAAGATAGAAAATGTAATGTGTGTTTTTATTCTGCCTGTCATTGTCCTGCAGCTGAATCAAGGGTGTAACTGACCAGATGATTATCTCAAATGAAATGCTGCTCCGGCTCATTACCGATGTGTCCACAAACTGGGTCACTGCCCACATAGTAAACTAGGACGACTGGTCTTGAGGTTGCAGAGAAGAGGTTCAATAAAGTAGTACAGTACACACTCAACGAACACATCGTTTTCTTGGTTTTGTCCAGCCCTCTCTTGTCACACTACATGAAAATGTGACATAAAGGAAAAACTCAGCGCACTACTGGTCCGAACAGAGACTGAGATCAGAGGTTTGCTTGTCCTGAAACACAACGCCTCCACAGTGGCAGTTCACTGACACCCATGATAACAGACTGACACTGAGAGATTCAGCACAGAGTGCCCCCTCTGAGGCTAGTCTGTCACCCATGAATATTTCACTTAAAAATGTGAAAACCTGCAGATCAGGAGTGGCCTGACATTGAGAATTTTTGATCAAATTCTCACTTTTTATTTTCAGTAAATTCCTATCACTTGGAGTACAAAGTATTTAGGATATAAATCAGGTCATTGTGACACAAAATAGCTCAAGGCACTAAGAAATGTCCAGATCAGCTGAGGTATTCAGCTGTTAACATGGGCAGTTTCAGGACACTAAATTACGACACTCACCTTTGCTGTGTTTGTGCTTCTTCTTTAGGGAAACGCTATCAAGACGTACAAGTACAACGTCCTCACCTTCATTCCCCTGAACCTGTACGAGCAGTTTAAGAGAGCTGCCAACCTCTACTTCCTGGCACTATTAATCTTACAGGTATGTCAAAAAATTAAAATAAAATAAAATCAAAAACTTTTCTCAATGATACTTAATTAGTTTTCTAAATTCATTCGTCTGTTAGGTGATCCCCGACATCAGCACTCTGCCGTGGTACACCACTCTGATCCCTCTGGTCGTGGTGCTCGGAGTCACCGCCATCAAAGACTTGGTGGATGATCTGGTAAGAAAGGCTGACTCACTCACAGACTCAAATTCAAGTTTCCATTAGACCAGTCAGTTTCATGGAGCTCTTAAACGCAGCTTCACAGACTCCTTTTCAGACTAATGCACATTGTCATAGTATAACTGAGTATTTATTTGCTCCAGGCTCGGCACAGGATGGACAAAGAAATCAACAACAGGAAGTGTGAAGTCCTGCTGGATGGAAGGTCAGTGGTTACTTTTCTGTCAGCTCTGATTTATTTAACATGATATTTACAATTTTTGAGATGAACAAAAACTCAACTACTTGGTTGACCACATTTTTAGATACTTAAAGTCAGACCAAGAAAGTTATTTTTCAGAATATAAGATGAAATGGTTATGCTATTACTATATTGTTCTATTGACTGAGTTTTGACATACATAGCAACTGTGTTTGAATTTGTATCTGCTCCAGGTTTCAGGAGACAAAGTGGAGGGACATTGAGGTTGGAGATGTGGTTCGTCTGAAGAAGAACGACTTCATCCCGGTACAGTGAATTGAACTGAATTTAAGCCAAAGCTCTTAGCAAAAGTTTCCTGTTTACTTCACTGACTGGTACATTTAAAAAAGACAATTGAAAGAGCAGATTTGACCACCTGCATGGTTTTAGAGCAGTCAGCTGGTTGTATCTTCGTATGAACATGACCAACCACTGCAGTACATCTGTTTCCATAACTATGTTGAATAAGCTCATTTCAACATATCCATATCTATTAAAAAAGCAGCCATACTACTAATTTAAAACAAGTAAACTGATAAGTAAAAATCAAAGTAAATTATCCAGCCATATATTTATCTAGAACACAGAATAGAAGGAACTCATTGCAGAGTCCAGATCAGTCCACGCACAGATGATGAGGAGGGGCATCTCATCTTAGTGTGTTTTTAAGTTGTTAATCAAAGACGTGACACGAATGTCAGTAGACGGTAAAAATGTCACTCTTTCTGTGTGCTGCTGTCAGTGCAGGCGTTTGTGAAGGTGACCTTTTCTGCCAAGGGGTTGATTTGCATATAAAGAGGCCATTTTTACCCCTAATGAAAGCTTAATGTCTTATACAAATATGTGCAAACAGCACAAGAACACAGAGCTGCTGTTTGTCATGCAGTGCAGTGTGGGCGCATTTATCTCTTTAGATGGTGTCTTATAGTCTAGTTGGCACAGGTTTGAGGGTGCAAAAGCTTCACAATAGTTTTGTTAAGTTTTGTATTTGCCCAAGAAGTGACCTGGGCCTCGAAGTAAATTACTAACTTTCTGTTTGATCTGTACTTTAGTAAAAGACGTCATTTGATTTATAACTACAGTATATTGCCTGTTAAATTCACCATGCATTAGATGTTCAGCTCAAACGCACAAAGTAAATCCTGATACAATAAGATAACCTGGGATATTCATGCATCAAACTCAATTTAAAAAGCAAAACATGCACTCAAGTTCATACTTATAGATCATCATATAGATTTAAGTACGGAGTCTTTAATTCATATTTATTCCCTTTCCCTCCAGGCTGACATCCTGCTATTATCCAGCTCCAATCCAAACAGTTTGTGTTACGTGGAAACGGCCGAGCTCGACGGGTAAGACTCACCTCTAAGAAATCTCTACAACTGAAATAATGACTTCAACCCCGATCAAAATTCAGAGCTATGTTCAGTTATATTCGCATTCTAACATCCACTTATTCCTACATCCTGCAGTGCGCTTTATCTTGCACATACTGATTCAGGATTTGTACTCTTTGCTCTGATAAGTTTGTGTTTGATTTATGGTCTTTTCAAGAGTTCAGTCAACATCTTACCGGTTGATCAGTAGAGATAAATATGTGAAGAGCTTTTGTCGAAGTCTTTGCATGAACATGAGCTGCAGCCATGTGACCAGTGTTACTGTATATTCTGTGATTAAGTCAGGAACACCTCAAAAGCAAACAAACTGGAGTGCACACCTAACTGTAATTGACCTCTTTATCAGTAACAGGCAGATAACCTGAAACCAACTGCAGTGTGTTTAAAGGTTTAAAGCCTCTGTGACTTCAAACCTTTGTCACACTTGTGTCACAGTTTGAGTTACAAGGTTGTTTTTTCCATTAATGAGTGTGATATTAGGGTTGTTAAACAGAATACCATGAATATTAAAGCTACAATGAAAATGGTCATCATAGTGTTTTTTGTGGGTTTGCTTTCAGTCTTGTGTATGAGTCCTTTTTATTTTTCTTTCCTCTGCAGAGAAACTAACCTGAAGTTTAAGATGGGACTCAGAGTGACTGATGAGAGGCTGCAGCATGAACGTCAGCTCGCTGACTTTAATGGTGAGAACAGCTCCAAACTGCAAGAGAAGTTTCTTGTGTTTGTTTTTTTTTTCAACAAAACTTTCTTTTTTTCCCCCAAGAATCTTTTTAAACAATTGATAAAATGTACAGAAATCGAACACCTGTGGGACAAGCTCAGAAATTGAAGTTCACAAAGAATAAAATAAATACTTATAATCATATGAAGCATGCATCACCCTTTCACCTTTCACTGTTGAAACATTGAACTTTAAAGTGCACCTCATGAATATTTTTAATTGTTTTCCCTGCACCTGAAGCTCTGATTGAGTGTGAAGAGCCAAATAATCGGCTGGATAAGTTCATTGGGACGATGCTGTGGCAGAGGGAGCGTTACCCTCTGGACCTGGATAACATGATGCTGCGAGGCTGCAAGGTCAGGAACACGGAGTATTGCCACGGACTCGTCATCTTTGCAGGTATGAACCCTCTAGATTGCATTCTGAATATGTCGGAAAAGAACCATCTTTGTTGGTTTTAAACAGATTTTTTGAGTTAATGGATTTATTTTTGAAACTCTTTTTCTTGCATCTTTAGAAATCTGATACCCCTTACATTTGTATCAGATGATGGCACCTAATACAAGAAATGAAAATAATTCATGACGTGATTATACCCGAAAAATCCGATGACAGAAAGACAGCTGAAGTTTCTTTGAGCCTTTGAGACAATTTTCCTGCATTTGATCGATTTTATAAAACTAAAACAGAAGTCAGTTGCAGCTTCAGACTACATAGTTTTGTATTTGTTCCACATTAAGTTGAAATGTGACCTTGAATATATGTCACAGAGTATTAGGTCATGCATGATAGTGAATAATAACTAAGAAATGACATGCGATGTTTTGATTCTTGCTCTGTTTCTGCAGGAGCTGACACCAAAATCATGAGGAACGGTGGAAAGACCAGGTTCAAGAGGACAAAGATAGACGAGCTGATGAACTACATGGTCTATACCGTGAGTCTGAGTCAAATTCATCTCTGTTAGTTTAAAGTTTTAATTCCAGTGCAGATAATTTGCCGTTGCATGTTTACAAAACCGATTTTCCCAACCTCTCATGCAGGGACCCTCAGACTTCAAATTCCCAGATCGTACCTTTAAGGACTTGTCTGTTGTCCTTGGTCACTTCCTGTTTAACTGTGTCCCTGCCCCTCTCTATGTAGATCTTTGTGCTGCTGATCCTCGTGGCTGCAGGCCTCGCCATCGGTCACACCTTCTGGTACGAGGAGATCGGCTCAAAGGCCTGGTATCTGTACGACGGTAAGGATCAGGACGCCTCCTACAGGGGCTTCCTCAGCTTCTGGGGATACATCATCGTCCTCAACACCATGGTGCCCATTTCCCTCTACGTCAGGTCAGTAATCCTTTATCACAAGAAGCAGCTGTTGAAAAACCCTCCAGAAAAAACAACGTTAACATAATCTTTGTGTGTGTTTTTGTGCTCAGTGTGGAGGTGATCCGTCTGGGTCAGAGTAAGTTCATTAACTGGGACCTGCAGATGTATTATGCTGAGAAAGACACACCAGCGAAGGTAAATCACTGCTTAGCTTTTGTCAGTTATGAAGCATACATCATATTCTTGTGTCCTGGTGTCAAATAAAGCAGCACATCTTTAGATAGCAAGTGGAGTCCATGTCAAATCAGAGCAGGGCTGAACTTGGGCTTGTCCTAAAGACAGAGGGTCATAGTATTATTGCTGATTGGAATACATCCAAATATCAAGTTTTCCAAATGTGTTCTACAGCAGTGAAGGTATCTGAGAAATAAACATTTTTATGTGTTAAAAGCTGCATTCATCATCAAACAAGGCTGCAGAGCCACTGTGAACGCTCACATACTTAATGTCTTCCTACTTATTTTCAGTTTTTATCTTGGAGTCCAAAAAAAAAAAAAGAGTAGCACAATAATGTGACCCTGATGAGAATTTGCCTTCCTAAGCTAATGTGGTGCTGAGCTGCTGCAGCTTTTAATGAAATGAGGACTGATTTCATCTGCACTGAAATCCACACCCTGTGCATCTTTCTGCACTTCTTCATTAAATCCTTGTTGCCTCCCTCTGCAGGCTCGGACCACCACCCTGAACGAGCAGCTCGGTCAGATCGAGTACATCTTCTCCGACAAGACGGGAACTCTGACTCAGAACATTATGCAGTTCAAGAAATGCACCATAGCGGGACGCACCTACGGTACTTATCTGTGTTGTTATACGTGAACACGCAAAAAAAACATTTCAGAGAGGAAAAACTCTCTGAGGTTGTAAGAGTTGCAGCTCTGCTTTAGCTTGTTCAAGGGAGTTCACCTTTAAAGTAGGTGCACAAAAGATTAAGGAGGTCAAGGTGAGATGGAAAGTCATGGAGTGCCATCTGCTGCTTTTATTTTGCAATGACCACTTTCCCCTTACTCACACTGTAACACCAAAATAAACTAAAATCTGCTGAATGCAAAAACCAACACTCTAACTACGGGGTTCATATTTAACATATGAGACAAAAATACACTGAAAAGGGTTGACAGTAACCTCCATCTGCATTTAAAAATGATATCCAGCCTTCTGCTTCAAAATGCAAACCACTTTTCTCTGCCGTAATTCATGTTTGTAGATCTACATCATTTTTATTCTGTAATACTTTTCTCTTCTTTTCTGCAGGCGATCCAACCACTGCTGAGGGAGTGACGCTGGACAGAGGAAGGGTAAAATTCAACAATATTTGCTATGATATTATTTTTATAACATTTGGAGACTTTAAGGAGTGGGCATAAAAATGGGGTCTTTTCCAATCTCCTTTCCAGCAGATTGATTCAGTCACATTTTCCTCATGATTTTATGGGCTTAATCCAAAGAGAAGCAAAATACAAATTTGTACATGACTTAACTGTCACTACTTCTTGTAAACTGTCTGTGTTGTGAAGATAAAGACAAACTTCAGTAGTCTCAGTAAAATGTATATCGGCTTTTGAAAGTAAAACTTCACCCGCCTAAATCATCTAATTAAGTTTTTAATGCTGTTCTTCTGTTTTTTTGGTTTTGTTTTTTTTCCTGTTAGCCGGTGGACTGGAGCTGGAACCATCATGCAGACAAAAAGTTCCAGTTCATGGATCACTCCCTGGTTTCCACTGTGCGATCGAGGAAGGATAAAGATGCCACAGAGTTCTTCAAACTGCTCTCCCTCTGCCACACCGTCATGGTGGAGAATAAAGAGGGTAAACTTCAACTCTGTAGTTTGTTAGAGGACTCTTTGGTTCCTTAAGGCGACTTCAAGCTACTTTTTAATACCAGTCCTGTAAATTCGATAATGATTGGACATATTTCAAAAGTATGCATGTTTTTGCATAACCCCTTATCCGTCTCTCAGGTGAACTGGTGTACCAGGCTGCGTCTCCTGATGAGGGCGCTCTTGTGACAGCAGCCAGGAACTTCGGCTACGTGTTTCTGTCTCGCACTCAGGACACCATCACCATCAAGGAGATGGATCACGAAGTCACCTATGAAATGTTGGCGCTGCTCGACTTCAACTCTGACCGCAAACGCATGTCTATCATCTGTAAGAACACAGTCATAGAATTCAGACTTGAGTTGATGTCTGAGTTGACCAAATCCAGTCATGTATGCCTCAAATTTGACTGAAGGGTTAAACACAGAGGATTTAAACTCTGTCCCATGTCTGCTTTCTGTTTCAGTGAAATTTCCTGATGGTCGAATTCGTCTTTACTGTAAAGGAGCCGACACTGTCATCTACGAGCGTCTCTCCCCTGACTCCAGACACAGAGAAACTACCCAGGCAGCTCTTGATGTAAGTTTTTATGCCCACACAAATGCAGAAACAGGTGCTAATGTTTGCATGAGGTGTGTGCATATTCACTCTGAGGAATCACGGTCTGTGTTTGGTGCTTCAGATCTTTGCCAACGCCACATTGCGGACACTGTGCCTGTGTTACAAAGACATCAGTGCAGCAGAGTGGGCAGACTGGTCCAGAAAACACAAAGAAGCTCAGGTCAGCTTGTCGGACAGAGAAACCGCCCTTGACACAGTGTATGAGCAGATTGAGAACAACCTGATGGTGAGTCAAAACCTCCTTTTACTTGACAAATTTCAACAAACCAGTTGGGCTCCCTTTAACTTCACTGAAAGTCGCTGAAATTTTTCCTTTTAATGACATTTTATGAAGCTTGCATTAGTCAGACATACCTGTATTCAAATGACTGTATCTATTTGTGCAGCTGATTGGAGCGACTGCCATCGAGGACAAACTGCAGGATGGAGTACCGGAGACCATCGCCAAACTCGCCAAGGCGGACATCAAGATCTGGGTCCTGACTGGAGATAAGAAAGGTACCATCATCTCAGACACAGACAGGAGTCAGACCATGATCAGCCCATGATAATGTGCTTTTAGGCCGAAAGGATCTATGTGTTTGGATTCATGAATGAAGCAGCTTTTCTTCAAAACAAGCAGAGGATAACTGAATAAGGTGGCCTAGAATGGATACTGATCTTTTGAATATGTTTTATCCTGACCCCAGAAACGGCAGAAAATATTGGGTTTTCTTGTTCCCTTTTGACCGACGACATGCAGCTCCACTACGGAGAAGACGTCAAGTGAGTTGATTTTTAAAGCTTTATACGACCCACAATGAGGACAGAGTTGAGATACACCTCGAGGCTCAAAAGACACTTTTTATTATCACTCATGTCTGCTGTGTCTCGGCTTCCAGTGAGAAGCTGAGGATCCGTCAGACCAACAGGAGAAACGAGCCTCAAACGGTCCACAGAGGGAGGAAGAAGACTGCGGAACCGTTCTTCCCAATGCCCGGCAAGAACGCTCTCATCATCACCGGAGGATGGCTGGTCAGTTCTGGAGAAGGGAGTCCCGATATATTAAAACCTGGGCCTTATTTGTCCTTAAATAATTTTGGGTCCAGTTGACACATTACAAGGACCTTTAGGATGGCTCCAGTATATTTCTTTATCTGACACCTGTGGAATAAACTGTACAAGCTTTACGTACGACCCTCAAGGACATTACCAACTAAAATTGGTTGTGTATTACAGCTGACAGGCTTAGAGTACTTTTTAAATCATCCCCACAGAAAACATCAGGATCTGAATGCTGTCAGGCTGTTGAGTTTACACTTCTCTGCTCATTTTAAAAGAAGGAGAGAAAAAAAAGGCTGAAAAAGGCAACTTGGCATGACCAGTGTAGCACGTTTTCTCTTAGTACTCTAAAGTGTGACATTAATTAATATCTTGTCTTTGTCCCAACAGGTTTTAAATTATTATTTTTTTAAAGTTACATTACTTTTTTATGAATATCATATCATCTGTTTTCAATGAGCCTTATGCAGGGTATATATGAAATATATGGGTTACATTTCATGTGACACAGCCTCTGTTTCATGTCCGGTTTTCATCTTATTGTTTATTGAAACCAAGAGCGACTTGACTCGGTCTTGCAAAGGTGATTCATGCCCATCTCTGCAGAGGCAGACCGAAGCATTCCCCTGATATTAATCAAACAACTTTGAATTTATGACAATATGAACGTCTTCATTCTGATTTTCCTTTTTTGCCTTAGAATGAGATTCTGTACGAAAAGAAGAAGAAACGCCGCCGCTTACGTCTTCGCCGTCTTGGAAAGCGCCATCATCCCACCACCCCTCAAGATGGACAGCCGATGGATGACTGGGAGAAGGAAATGAGACAGGTATGACTAAATAACGACACGTTTCAGATAGCTACAAGTTATGGTTGCATGATGCAGTGTTTGGCGTATCTGATAACAAATATGGTGAATTGTCTCAACAGATCGACTTTGTGGACATGGCCTGTGAGTGTGAAGCCGTCATCTGCTGTCGTGTCACACCCAAACAAAAAGCTAACGTTGTGAGTTTGGTGAAAAAGTACAAGAAAGCGGTGACACTGTCTATCGGAGATGGAGCCAATGACGTCAACATGATCAAAAGTAAGGACTCAAGCAAACCTCCTCATGGTCTGTGTTTTTCCTCTGATATTTCATGGTCTACATTTCCTCTTCTCTCTGTCCAGCTGCAGACATCGGTGTTGGGATCAGCGGTCAGGAGGGGATGCAGGCCGTCATGTCCAGCGATTACGCCTTCGCTCAGTTCCGTTACCTGCAGCGTCTCCTGCTGGTTCACGGGCGCTGGTCTTACATCCGAATGTGCAAGTTTCTCCGTTTCTTCTTCTTCAAGAACTTCGCCTTCACGCTGGTCCACTTCTGGTACTCCTTCTTCAGCGGATACTCCTCACAGGTCAGCACCACGGCAAAGTTTGACACAGCAAGTGTTGCAAAATGAAGCCGATTCAGTTCCACAAATGTCCTCTAGAGGCTGTTTCCAAAAAGGCCAAGAAATACCAATTACTGCCTGATTAAAAATGCGACTTTTTCTCTACAGAATTACCACTACCACTGTCCAAAAACTGTTTTTGTCTCGATACCTTCTTTATTTGTAACAACTGCACAGACTTGAATTTTACAAACTGATGGATCGAGTAATGTACAAACATGATTAATAAGTCAATGTTTCCTTCTCCTTAGGTCGCCTATGAAGACTGGTTCATTACTCTCTACAATCTCTGTTACAGCAGCTTGCCGGTTTTACTTGTTGGACTTCTTGATCAGGTAAAAAAAGGGTTAATATCGAGCAGAGCCAACTTAAGTTGTTTTTTTTTATTTTGTAAACCCTGTGCTTTACTTTCACGACTTCAGATGACCTAGCTTTAGAAAGCTGACGGATTGCTTGAGTAAATCTTTTCAGCTAGAAGAGGATCCTCTAAATTTTCTCTTTATAAAGGCTCGAATTGCTCAATGGTGTGTTCAACAAAATAACAAAAAACCTTGAGAGCATTTTGTGTGGATAAAACGTTTTCATAATCAAACCACTGCTACTTTGCTCCCTCCAAAGCTCCACTCCACTTTAATTTTGGCAAACACAAGCATCGCAGGTCTTCTGTCAAAGCAAGTTTTTTGTTTGTTTGTTATGTGGGGTGACTTTGGAGTTTGAAAGTATTGTCGCAGATCCAAAGAACACAATATAACCATCAAACCAACCAGTAATTTCCCTGTTCTGTTCCCTGTTCATAAGCCCCTTAATGGCCTCTTATTATTACAAATACCCTGGCATCAGTTGGCTGCTCCTCTGTGGCTACCTCTCTTTTTTTTTAATAATGCAAATCTAGAATAATTTAAGAGGGCAGTAATGAAGAAGTTACCCTGAATGCTGATCAAAGTAAGAGGTGAGGACATAGTTGTAGGTTTAAATTGGTGGTGTTTGTGTGGTATGCTTAAAAAGGTAAGAATGTAAATCATTACATGACAACACGATGTACAAGGAGTACGTCACAAATTTGGCGAAATTCTAGTCAAATGCTAAACTTATATATTTCAGAGTGTGGCATTGGGTACTATTCATCTATTTTGCTCTATGTGGTATGAACAATTCATGTTGGCTGCAGGATGTTACATGAAGAAATCATACTCAGCATTTCACTCTACTTAAAATATAGAAGACCTCAAAATATGACCAAGATATAATCCAGATTCCTGAGAAATTAAACAAACTCTCTGGATTCTTGTGTTTCTTTCTCTTTACTTGGTCCTCTCTTGTCCTCTTCAAGAAGATGAAACCAAAGTCAACTATACTCTGTTAAATTGATCCCTCTCCCTATTTCTTTTGCAGGACGTAAACGATAAACTGAGTCTAAAGTTTCCGAAGCTCTACCTGCCGGGTCAGCAAGGGGCGTTATTCAACTACAAGAACTTCTTCATCAGTTTGTTCCATGGTATCTTCGTCTCCCTCATCATCTTCTTCATCCCTTACGGAGCCTTCCTGCAGACCATGGGGCAGGACGGAGAAGCCCCCTCTGACTACCAGTCCTTCGCCGTCGTCACCGCCTCGTCACTGGTTTTCATAGTCAACCTGCAGGTGAGTTGCGCGTCAGCTGTGACTTAAACTGCAGCAAAAACTAAGATAGAAAAGGGTAATACCAACGTACATGTAGAGTGAAGTCTGGAATCAGAAACAAAAATATATAATTTAACCTTTACTGCTGCTCTCTTCACCACAGGCTCTGGCATTCCATGTATGCCCATGAAAGGAAGTGAGCTCTCACAGCAGAGCCATTTGACCAAATATAACTTAATATATACAACTTATGATTCTCTTTAACCAGTATGGCTCTGGTCTGGACTGAGTTTGAAGATTCATATGAAGTGCATGGCATGATTGTATGTTTTGTGAATGACTCTCTGAACTTTGTCCTCTTCTTTCCTCTTTTTTTTTTGGTAGATTTCCCTGGATACCTCCTACTGGACCTTCGTCAACTGCTTTTCAGTTTTGGCCAGTATAGCGATCTACTTTGGCATCATGTTTGACATCCACAGTGCTGGGATCCACGTCATCTTCCCGTCAATGTTCAAATTCACCGGTCAGTCAGCGTACATTTACTGCAGTATGACATGGTTATCTGGCTCGGTTGGATTTGTAGTCTTAACCAAAATCCACCACATCGACTCAAGCTACAGAGAGAAACAAACCACTTCCTTCAACTGTGAATTTGCATTTCTCTGTAATGGGAATGTTCCCAAACTGAGAGCCCTGGATAATCTAGTATTAATAACACTTTTTAGTTGAACCTACACTTTTCAAATGTAGCTGCACATGTACCTCAAACATCGTCCTTTACCAGTCTTGGTTTACCAAAGCAGTGTGAAAAAAAAGAGATCTCCTGCATCAAGGTTTAATGCTTTTTCCTCTCAGTCCTTCAACAAAAGGATACAAGATCTTGATTTTGGCATCACGGCCAAAAGAATCTAAAGCTCCCTGATTTGCTGTTTCAAACTTAAACAGTCAGACTTATCTTTTTTCCACCCCCTCCCCGACTCTCCTGGAGTTAACATTTTGTGTTTTGTAGGTGCTGCGTCCAATGCTCTGCGTCAGCCCTACTTGTGGTTAACCATCATCCTGACTGTGGGCATCAGTCTGCTGCCTGTCATCTTCATTCAGTTCCTTCATAAAAGCATCTCGCCATCCGTTGGAGACAAGGTGAGACCCCAGGGAGGCAAGCTGCTGACCTATAGCTGAGTCTGCACAAATACAATACAGGAAAAGATAAAATGTACTTCTGCCGGATGAAAAAAAAAGACAAAGGATAAGTAACCGTGATTATTGATCACAGAGAAAGCTTTTTTTTGCCTGTTGTTACTGATACTGGGTTGGCATCTTATGAATGCTTTTCCGTATGCATTCAGAAACAGACAGTCGAAAAGATTTTGATACATATATGTGTTATTCCTAGGTCATGCAAAAGAAGCATTGTTGTCTTGTTCATTGAAAAGTCAAAGCATGTCACTTAATAAAAACAGTTTCGACCAACCTCAGCGGATGGTTCAGATTCTAATCTAAATATGTGACCTTATAGTGTTTGATAAAAACCTGAGTCCAAGCTGGATACAGGATTTCATTCTGGTGGATTGAGTCTGTCTCTTTGCTTTTCACATGGACTCTTTATTTCACATGGTAATGCTCACTAAACTCGAGAGTGGGTAGTTTTATTTGGACTACTATGAAAAGACAAAAGAAAACCTTCAGTAACCAGATTGTGTAATTTTTCCACAGATTAAGATTTTGATTTAACATCACAATAATCCTGTATGAGCTGCTTTTCTGTAAAAGGAGAAAAGTGACTGATGTTTGTTTTGATGCCACTTCTCATTTTCCCATCATCCCCCAGGTCCAGAAGAACAGAAAGAAGTACGAGATGGAGTTGGAAGAGGAGGAGAAGAAAAAGCCATCGGCCTTCCAGCGCGGTGGCCGTTCACGCCGTTCTGCTTATGCCTTCTCTCACTCAAGGGGCTACGCCGACCTCATCGCATCAGGGAGGAGCATTCGGCGGCGCCCGGCACCTCGTGGAGGACCACAGGACAGCATCAGAGAAGCCCCGCAGAGGGAGGCTGAGAACATCTAAGGGAGCTGATGGGGAGAGATGGAGTGACACGTTAGTCAGAGCAGGTGTAAATATTTATGAAAGTGAGAGGATGGCAGGGTTTCTCCTGAACGTGTTTCTGCTCCAGTCTGTGATCCCTGACTCCTCCCCCCTTCAGTGCCTTTCCTCCGGGCACAGACTCTTGAAAAAGATAAAGCTCACCGAAGAGATGACCACCGTTATCGGGGTGTGGGGTCATACAGTGAATGTGTGACTGATCATGTTGTGTATCTCAGGATCTTTTATTGATAAAAGCCTTAGTTTTAGTCCCTGTCTGACGTTCCTGCGGCTGGATGAAAAGCTGTAAAGTTGTTTGTTTTTGACATTTGCAGTTGATGCCTTAAGTCTGCAGAGCACTCAAAGTGTTAATGTAGTAAATCCCTGTCAATTCCTTTGTTACATACAGCGCTAAAGCTTTGAGGTGAAAACACTAGGCCTTAACTCGACATGTCAAGCTATCCTCTTTTATGATTTTATCGTTTATGCTGTGATGTTACTTTACCAGGCTATCCAAGGTGGTCGGATGTTACAAATGTATCTTAATTTAACTTTGTCGATAGTCTTTTGTTTTCTTCTTCTTTTGCTGTTTCAAATGTCACAAGTGTCCTTTCAGGTGGGTGTTATTCAAGAACCAAAGTCTTCATTTTAATGCAAATCTTGATGCTCTTATTTGTTCTATACCTCATTTTTTTTAATGTCTCTTATGCAAAGTAAACAACTCCTTTATGAAACCTACAAGGGATTTTTACAGTCTTCCTTCTGCTGCAGCTTATTATTGTTATTAGTCAACCAAATTCAAATCAAGTGCTTCTTACTTCCACCGGAACAAACCAGCAATAAGGACTTTGTAGTTTAATCTTCTCTCACTTGATTCTTAACTTCTCAAGTTTTTAGCCGACAAAAAAACTTTCTTCATGTGTGTCAATGGTTGTTTACGACAAACCCAAAGATGTGTCTTTTATCCAGCCTCATAACCAGCTTTACAATGTCTGCACATCAATGCGCCAAACCTGATGCCTTCCTGTTCTGTTACCGTATCGCTTCAATGCGAGTGTTACTGTATGCAGACAATGTCTTTTTATTATTGAATGAATGGAGAGAGTCGATGGAGGCTGTTGTTGACTGTTCCGGCAGCAGTTTGCTCTCTGTCTTATGATGGTGTTATATCATGTGGTTGTTAATAAAAGCCAAGGGCAAATTTAGCAATCTGAAACAAGTTATTTCACTGTGATTGCTTGTATTGTATTTCTTTATGTAAGTGAGTGTGCAATATGATATTAAAAAATCATGTGGTTGAAGATCATCTAAACCCTAGTTGAAGCTAAAAAAAAAGTGCAAGTGTCTTTGTTAAGTTAATGCCACCAACGCTGTGGTGAGACACCTCCTCCTCTTGTTTTATTTTGGCTGGACTTCCTGTGTTTCTTTGTTTGCCTGGTCTGGCTTGACTCTATTCCAGAGCTCCCTCCCCTCCCCCGGTCGCTGAGGCTGAGTGAGACTACACACCTGCACTTCAAGAAGCCAGCAGCCCTCAGTCTCAGCACCTGAGTATTGTCTTCACTCCCAAGTGGTACAGACGCGTCTCCTGGCCTCCTCTTTGATAAGTGCGCGTAACTTTGCTCCTCGTGATCCTTTGTATGTCTCCTAACATCCCTCTCCTCTGTTTTCCCAGCAGTGTCTCCAGCCCACACGGCAGCCAGCCAGCCTACCGGACTTCCTCTTTTGCCTTTAACCTGAGTTTGGATTTTAAAATCATATCTTAAGTTGATATCTGATACCTCTGTGTCTGCTTCTGGGTCCTCAAAACACACCACCACGCCACAAAAGCGTTTCTAAAAACTTACTACAAGGGCATGTTTACCATTGTGTTCCATCACTTCTTCTTTCAACCACACTATGTAAATATCTGGAAACCCAGGAGACCCGATTCTGATGTTTCTGAAGAGAAAATGTTCAATTTTTGCCTGATATTCAACCCCAATCCCTTTTGACCAACAATTGATTTTACAGACAAGATATTTAATGTTTAAACAGATTAACTTTTTCTTTTTCTTTTTTTTCCAAATATTTACTCATTTTGACTTTTAAGACCTGCAACACATTCCAAAAAAGTCAACGTATGATTTCAGTTTGGAGTCTCCTCTGTTGTGTTGTTATTTCTGGATGCTCCAAATGTTTTCAATGGATGATGAGGCATGACTGCAGGCAGGGCAGTTTGGCAGCAGGACTCATCTACTATAGAGCCATGCTGTTGTAATTCCTGTAAGAATATGTTTTGTCATTGTCTTGCTGAAATATGAAGGTTGTCCCTGAAAAACTCTTTGCCCGGATGGCTGCATATGTTGCTCCTAAACCTGTATTTTTCAGTGTTAGTGGTGCCTCCCCAAATGTGTAAGCTAACTATGCTCTGCCTAACTATGCTGGCTTCTGCAACTGCTTTATTCATCCCACTGATCTTTGCTTGTACTGATAAGGGCATCCATGTTTGTTATGGTTTATTACTGTGTTAGTGATATTCGACACTGAGTCAGTGTTAGACCAAGATAATTAACTTTTTTTTCTTTTGTGGTTGTACTTCTGGCCCTTCCTGAAGTGAAGAATTCAACCTGTTAACTTGTTGACCATGACGGTTTTAAATGCAGCATCTCTTTAGCATATTACAAAATGATTTACTAACAGTATAATCAGTTAAGTCTGAGGGTGTCATGGACTGACTACACAGAGCCCCAATGGAAGAAAGGGCCTCAGCTAAGCCTGAAATAAAAAGATACTCTTATGGTTTACCTTAAATCTCCCCTTGTGAAAGCTGAAGCGGCACAATACTTAATTCCTAAGCTGGAAAAAATAGGGAATGTGTGGAATTAAAAAACTATTCACCTTCATTTTAGCTTTACAGTTTTGCTGAAATCTAATCGATGCTTCAAAGTTGTTGAGATGCTGCAATGGTGCGTTTTTTGCATGGTCTAGTTTATTCTTTGTTAGACAGCTACTGAGTTTGTAGTTTTTTAAAATAAGTACATTTTTAAGTGACACAACAGTTCTAGATATTTGGTGCTTTTCGTGCGTCATTTTGTACACTGGAAGTGTGAGTTGTGCAGGGTTGTGGCCACTGAGATATGTTTTCATGGAGCCCAGAAATACAAGCAACACCCCAGGGTTGTATGTAAATTAATCGTTTAAACAAAAAGCTGTAAAATTAATCATCCAATGTGGCAAGTATAGCTTGTGAACAGCTTTACTGTTCACTCTGCGTTCTCCTGATGCCACAAGTGTTCTTCATTTCTCTTTCTTGCCAAGTCATTCATTGATCCTCCTTCATGTCGTAATGGTGCAAATTAAATGACCTTCAGACCCGACAGTGTTTCCACGAATCAACCAAAGTCTGATCTGATAAGCTCCCCTTTTTAAAACCTTTGCAAGCATTCGATTCCACTTCCGTCTCTGAGAAGTAAAATGGCACAGCAGAGATTTCAGATGGACAAGGAGAAATTCTGCTGCTCGATCTGTCTTGATCTGCTGAGGGATCCGGTGACTATTCCCTGTGGACACAGCTACTGCATGGACTGTATTGAAAGTCACTGGGATGCAGGGGATCGCAAGAAAGTTTACCCCTGCCCTCAATGCATGGCGGTCTTCACTCCCAGGCCTGTCTTGGGGAAAAACACGATGTTAGCAGATTTAGTGGAGGGGCTGAAGAAGACATCTTTCCAAGATGCTCCACCAGACCAGTGCTACGCCACTCATGAGGATGTTGCCTGTGATTTCTGCACGAGAAGAAAGCTCAAAGCTGTCAAGTCCTGTCTGCAGTGTCTGGTCTCTTACTGTGAGCAACACCTCCAGCCTCACTTTGAATCCCCTGCCTTTAAAAAACACAAGCTGGTGGACCCCAGCAAGAAGCTCCAGGAGAACATCTGCCCTCTACATAATGAGGTGATGAAGATTTTCTGTTGCACCGATCTGCAGTGTATTTGTTATCTCTGCACCATGGGGGATCATATGTACCATGAGACAGTTTCTGCTGCCGAAGAGCGAGCTAAGAGGCAAACTGAGCTTTTCACATGTTGCCAAAATATTCAGCAGAGGACCTCGAGCAGAGAGAACGATATGAAAGTTCTTCAGCTAGAGGAGGCTATCAATCTCTCTGCTGATAAAGCAGTGGTGGACACCAAGAAGTCCTTCACCCGTCTGATCCATTTTATTAAGAAAAGGAGATTTGACGTTGAGCAGCAGATCAGATCCAAGCAAAAAGCTGAGGTCAGTCGTGTAAGAGACTTGAGGGAGAAGCTGGCGGGAGAGATCGCTGAACTGAAGAGCAAAAGTGCTGAGCTGGAGCAGCTCTTACTGACGGAGGACAACGTCAAGTTTCTTCAGGGTTATACTGCTCCACCAACCACCGATGAATCCATAACACACTTATTCAGCGTCGACACCACCAGTCCTGTGCAGTACTTTGAGGATGTGACGGCGGCTGCATCTGTAGCCATAGATGAACTTCTGGACGTCTTCAGCAGTAAGTGGGAAAAGATCTCCCATGCCGTGGCAGTAGTGGATGTTTTACCACCACAACTTGAGCCCCAGAACAGAGATGGATTCTTACTGTTAGGTCTAAAACCTGCAACATTTACCTGATAACATATAAAGAAGAGAAAGACAATGGTATATACTCGAGGAGAATGGACCGAGATAGCTTCAGGTACCATGTCGAAACCACTCTAAAGGTATTTCCGCCCAGTCTCTTTTATTTAGTCTTGTCCCTGGTTACATAATGTTTCTAAAAGGGGTGGTAGATGGTGCAGCAAAGTAAACATTCTCATAAAGCATAATAATGAACACTTGTGAATATGTGAAGGTCAAGGCGGCATCTAATGAGCTCCTTCTGATAACAGCGGCACCTCCTCAAAAACTCCCCACGATTTATTGCGGAGGATCCATCACTCACACACCCCCACCTGCTGATAGGAAAGACACAGTCACAGAAAACTGAAAGAACATTGTTCTGCTGTGTAGTAAATCTATTGGAGAGAGAAGTTAGGAAACACTCTTATATGATAAAAATACTCTTATATAATGTATTAAAAGAGGTCAAAGCAGTTTACACTTGTAGTATAAACTCTTACATAAGAATATGAGGAATAATGATAACTTCTATATACATTTATGCACATTATTCTAACATTTCCCTCCTGTTTATCATTACTTTGCTCAAATTCTAATAATCCCTCTAGTTCAGCCACTTCTCTCGATTTTCAGCTGCGAGTTCATGTTTATAACTACAAAGAATTTACACACGGAGGTACAAGACGTTGCTTTAGTCAGAATTATACTCATCATCTGGATTAGGGCACAGGTCAGGCCATTGAGTGTCATCAAATCTGTCCTCCTCGTCCTGCTGATGGAGCAGCGGGTACAATTCCTGCATCTGCTGCTCCACAGGAGACAACACTGTGGTGTTAAGACGGTTAAGAAGAGAACAAATACAGAAATACAACAACATCCACACAAGGTCAAATTAGCTGCAAAAACAGCAACAGAGATTAGGACTGAATCTACAAGATTTTTTGTATTTCCCAAATACATTCATCCAATTGTCCCAAGAGGAGTTATCTATTCCTGAGTGGTCTTTCATTTTGCTGTGAAGCGTTTTTAGGCCCTCTATGGCTCGAGTGAGGCTGCCATCAGCAGCAGCAGTGTCATCAGGAATGAACGTGCAACACGTTTCTCCAAACATGGCACATACACCTCCTGTTTCTGCCAGCAGCATGTCAAGGGCTATACGGTTTTGGAAAGCCATCAGGGATGTTGCAGATAACTGCGAGTGAACGGCCTGAAAACCAGCCTCAGTCCAATTACCTAGCTTTTGAACGTTGAAATGGATGTAGTTGATTCTGATTTGATCTATATTTTTGTTCATTGTACACCAAGGACAGACGAGAGACTCAAAGTCTGCAGCAACTTGATTTACTAGTTTGTACTCATCTGGTACCTCACAAGGAACTATCTATATAAGTCGGGTCTGACTCTGTTTGCTAATTTCTTTTACCCTGGAGTGGCTCAACAAAGGAATAAGACTAACTGCAGAGGTTAAATTTGCCACACTGGTCTGGAAAGTTACAACAGTTAGGATTAAAGTCACTAAGGCCCTATTATCAGTCTGCTGTCATTCAGGTACAGCTACAGAAAACACATACACTTTTATTATAGTTAGGGAATTCCTAGTACAGACATAGAAGTTAGACTGATTCTTCATTTTTACTAGATATTTTTGC